GCTTATGAATTGCCATGTTTTGTGTGTCTCATTTGTTAATACTTTGTGTCTTGATTTTTTTTCCCCTCACCAACTGCAAAGTTATCCCAAAAACCAAAGCTTCTTCTATATACTCACAAATATTAATTGATTAACTCTTAATTTCTACTTTTGTACACATATTTGTTGCTGCCATTCGATTTTGAAATGATTAAAACGCTTTAAATCACACGAACACCAAACACAAACATGTGATACAATTTTTGATCAAAAAATACAAACCTACAAAATAAATTACTAAATCAATTCGCTGCCAATAGCAACGGCAGATAATTGAAGCCTGTATCACCATGAAGGTATGATGATTCTTTCAGCTCTCTCTATTGCAACTAAAATAACTAACTCTAACTAAGCCTAGCCTAAACTACTAGCCCCCTACGATTAATCTTAATAACACCACTATCTCGCTATCTACTAATCACAATCAGCTACAAATACGAATCTAACCATCACTAGCATAGCATATCGTTTCCATTAATAATAATAATAATAATAATAATAATTAAATAATAATAGTCTGAGCAACTTTCACTTTAAACGATCGGCATATTCTTGGCTTGATTAGAAATGGTCAAGTTCTAAAAATATAAAAACACCACCAATTATCCTCAAATGTTTTTAAGACCTTAAATTAAGCAGTAAATTGTTAGCTAACTAGCTGAAAGGCACATCTGCACACCACTTACACATATTTAAATTCTATTTAGTTGTAAAGTTTCGTTTTCTGTTTTTTATTATTTTATGTGCCCATTATCTCTCGAAAATCCCTTCGCATGATTGAATGTCTTTATCGCCTTATTTTCATTTTTGTTCCATTTCCATAACTTTTCTTTACGGTTTTATTTGATGGCCTGTTGATTTAGAAACTGGTTTGATTGATGTCGAAAGCGGTTCCATTGGATTATCAAAATACTTGTATTGTTTTGGTTTGTTGATATTTCTTTCTGATTTTCTGTTGTTTTGTACTGATTCTAATCACTGCGTGCAACTCTTGTTGAGTCTTGTGAATGTCTTGTCCTTTTAGTCCTGATTTGTATTCTATTACTCATTGTGCATTCGCCTTTAAAGATATCATGATGTGTTTCTTTAAATTCAATTAACTAATGGAGCTCTTATTGCCACAGAATTCCCTGACTGCTGACGGGCAAAAGGAGGACTTTAGCGATCTGCCACCTAATCAGAGGAGAAAGAAACTGCAGGGCAAGATTGCCGAACTGTCGCAGAATATCGCCCAGGAAACAAAAGCCCGGGATGGCCTAATGAAGATGAAGATCGTCTATGAGGCGAACTCATCGCTGGGCAATCCCATGACCGTCGAGGGACAACTGAACGAGTCGGAACACAAGTTGGAGAAGCTGAAGGTGGATCTGAAGAAGTACCAGGACTACTTGGAGAAGGCCAGCCAAGTGCCGGTGGCCGCCAGTAGTCCACAGGCGAGTCGAAATCAATTGCAGAACGGTCACAGAACCTCTAGGTGAGTTGGCTTAGAACTTAACCCTAAACCTATATCAATTCATAAAACAGTATCGATTTTTATATAATAAAAACATCGATGTTTTCGATAAATATGGATGTTTAAAAAATATCGAAATTTCGATTTTTGTTCAAGCATTATCTTAACCAGAAAAATTAAATATTTAATAATAATACCCCTTTTCAGACATTCCAATGGCAGTGCCGATGACCATCATGATGATGGCGACGACCAGCCCGATGACGCTGGCAGCTTAAGCAGGTCAGATTCTGAGGATAATGTGGCGCAAATACAAAATGGGCATAATAATAACAATAACGGGTACACTCATAAGTCTACGTTCAATGTTTATAAATATATATATATCTATCTCACCCACATACATTATACTCGTACCTACATATTATCGTAGCATTATGATTTGGCATCGCATATTTGTAATCTGTATTATTTAATTCAATCATACTCAATCACTGCACTCTTCACGGTGTGTGGCATTTTCTTTGGTGTTGGTTACATCCACTCATTCCCAAAAATCTATAAATTAATAACAGCCCAGAAAGTCCACAATAAGCCCAAAAAAAAAGATACAAAATTTAATTAGCATTCTGCAGTAACTTTTAATTTGTAGTTTTACTTTTGATTCTTTAATTGCTCAAACACCAAACATGATGACACTTAATAATGTGACAATTGCAACTTCTTCAAATATTTCGTTTCATTTTGCCTTTTCCATGGTGAAATCCAGCAGTTCGGCAAGTCCCGAGAGCGGCCTGGGCACTTCGCACACATCCCTGCCAGGATCGGGACAGGGCAGTGCCAATGAGAATGCGATTGGCGATGAGACGTACTATGAAACAGAAGTGGAGACCCTAAATCCACTAGGCACATGTCGAGCCCTGTATCCCTTTGAAGGTGAGTAGTTCAGATAATAGAGCTTAAAAAATAACATTTTTTTGATATTTTTACAATATTGTATCGATAATATCGATGTTTCAAGGAAAGAAAATTTAAAAAAAACTTTAAAAAAATGTTATAATTATGATTATACTAAGAGGTCAGAAAACAGCAATATTGTTCAAACCCCTATGTTTATCGAAAATATCGATGTTTTTCTGACTTTTTGTTATAAACATAATTATAATAATATTTTTTAGATATTACTTTTTTTCCTCGATAGCATAGATATTTCCCATAAACATCAATGTTTGAAAAATATCGATAATATCAACATTTTTCAAGTTCTACAAAAAATATCCCTGTTTAATAAATTCTAATATATTTTTATTCCAAATCCTTACAGCCTCCAGCGAGGGCAGCATACCCATGAGCGAGGGCGAGGAGCTGCAGGTGATCGAGATCGACCAGGGCGACGGATGGACGCGGGTGCGGCGGGCGAACAACTCCAATGGCTGGGACGAGGGCTTCGTGCCCACGAGTTACATCGAGTGCACGCTCTACGCTTAGGATTAAGTTCAGGATTTCGGGGCGGGCGATCAGCCGGGCGGTTTTAAATGTTACCTACTCAGCAACTCTTGCGTATGATCGATTGATTTGTGTACTTTTGTCATAACTTTGCGTTCTGTCGGATAGCCATACCATACACAACAAAAAACACACACCTAACTTTCACACTGTACATTTGACCTAAGCTAAGTTCGATTCATTTACCCTTCGTATGTATGCTTTGTATATTTACTTTGATTTTAAACGTCATTGATCTTATGGTAGTGCAAGCTATATCATACTATAAATACTATAGTCATATGCACCTACGAGCAGACCTCACCTAATTGTAAGCACCGCAACGTTTCCCTCTTCACCACAAAAAACGACAACAACAATCATGATAACACCTATTTATATACATATATGGAACCAGATTTATATGGCACTTGAATACGTGAGAGCATGAAAAGAAAACTAAAACTGAAACTATGGCCGTTGGACATTAAAAGTGATCTTGTGAGCACGTTTTCAGATGCAATTACCGTTGATAATGTGTTGATAATATTCATTTTTGTATGTTTCCCGGCCTTGGAGCCTTAGGAGCACCTGCCGCTTTTCCCGCTGACCAATTGGAAAAGCGTCAGAGTGCGAGATTTCATCGAAATTTAAGCACTAAAACTTTGGTAAATATGCAAAGATCATAAAAGCGGACATCGATCATACCCCATAATATACAAAAAAGAAAAAAAAGGGCAAAAGTTATGGCAATCCTGCATGACATGCGGCATATGCAATTGCGGAAGCAAAGAACGCGCTAGCTTGTTTTATATAAATAGCAACAATTGTACATTTTACTTTAAACACACTCTATGGATAATTCGTAATTTTAATTTGATCATAATTTTGTATTGCTCTTTGCCTTGTACATTTTCACACACACACTATGTTTAGAAGGACGCGCGGATATAGTGCATATATACAATGAGTTATGTTTTAGGGACCCCTATACCATTAAGTTCACAACATTTAAGGCTTAAGTCAGCAAAGCAAAGCCGGGCGGCATTTGTTATGTTCAAACGCCACTTTGCAATACATTTATTTATACTTTAAAATATGATATACCGCTGTATATTGGTAGACCACAATCAAAAACATGAAACAGAAGTCTGCGGAGAAAGTCCAGGCGGAGCGAGATATAGGTCCTTAGTTAGATATTCAGCAAGAAGCCTTTTCCATCTGTATTTTGTACTTTCATTTCGCATAAACATATATTTTCGTATGCTATCATGCTTTAGCATTTAAGTGTGCAAACAACTGATACAACTGATGAATTCTGTTTCTTCTTATGTTTAATCAAAATGAACGATGTGAACGAACGATGAACTAATCTTAGTGCGAACGCAGAAAATAAATAATTCCAAAATTCTTAAATTTATCTAATTTTAAATTCGAACCGCAAAACAGGCACATACGTATTAACGCTAAAATGTTTACAACATCAAATGGAATGAGAGTAATTCAGTTTAAGTGACAGTGACTACGGCAAATGTATGTGAGAATTGTCGGCATAATAAAAGTAACTAAAATTTAATGAAAAAGTCTATAGCTGATTGGCGATTTCAATATTTTGCAAATGTTTCTGGTTTTTTTTAATAAATTGGTTCGGGGATGGGAGGTTTGAAGGATTATTAAATACTTTGAAAATGTTAATGAAAGATTGGCACAGATTAAAAAGCTTTCAAGTTCGTTTGATAAAATTCCAGTTAAAATAGTACAACAAAAAACTAAAGCTGATTTTTTAAAACAATATTTCATTGAAATCAATAATACAACTTTTTACCAAATTATTAGAAAAAAAAATACAAAAATTATTGCATTCAATTAAAATTTATAATTGTACTTCACAAGCTTTATTAAGAATTAGGCTAATTAAATTTCTAAAAACAAAATTACAAAATTCTCAATATTTTTTGAACTTGGTGTGACCGTATTTTATACAGCCAATTTTAGTACTTTTCCCAAAAGTGTGGGTATTATTTTGACGCCTCGTTTACGGTCTCTTTTATTTAGCAGCCGGCAAATAAATAAATAGTTTTATTTTTATGGAACCTGCTGTAAAGAAATCCAAGATGACGAACAATCACAAGTTCAAGAACAACAAGAAGAAGTACTTCCAGTCGAAGAGGCAGGTGCTCCAACCTGGTCTACGTGGATTCTTTGCCACGTGCAACATAAACGAGAAAGCATGTGTTCGCGAATGCTACAATCTGTTGAACCACTATGCGGATATAGTTTATGGACCGGAGAATCCCGAGAATGAGCAGGAGAAGAAGCCGGCGGAGGAGGGAGCAGCTAGGGATGCTGGAAAACCCCCGTCAGGAACCACCAGTGATGACGACGATGACTTGGAGGCAGCGGCCGCCAAATGCCGCGAGAAGGCATCTCAGCGCAAGGTGCGTTTCCAGAATGTGGACACCAACACCACCAATTGCGTGTTCATCCGGACCCAACTGGAGGATCCCGTGACCCTGGGCAAGCACATTGTCAACGACATAGCCACCACCGGCAAATCCATGTCCCGATTCGTCCTGCGCCTGGTGCCCATCGAAGTCACCTGCCGCGCCAACATGCCCGACATCATCGCAGCCGCCGGCCTGCTCTTCGACAAGCACTTCCTCAAGGAAGCCACCAGCTATGGCATCATCTTCAACCATCGCTACAATCAGCAGATCAAAAGGGATGAGATTATCACCCAGCTGGCTGAATTGGTAAACTCTAAGAATGTGGGCAATAAGGTGGACCTCAAGGAGGCCAAGAAATCCATCATCGTGGAGGTCTTGAGGGGCTGGTGCCTGCTCAGCGTCATTGACAACTATCTGGAGTGCAAGAAGTTCAATCTGGCGGAGCTGGCCAATCCCAAAGAGAAGCAATCCAGCGGTGAAGGCGATTCCAAGACGGAAAAGTCTGTGGAGGAGGCTGCAGAGAAGAAGGAAACGAGTGAGGAAGAAGATTCAAAGTCTAAGGAGTCGCTGGAGGAGGACAAGCCTGCAGAGGATTCCAATTCTAAGGAAGAAGAGAAGAAAGAGTCTTCAAAGGACTCGGCAAACTAATTTAGATAAACTCAGAACCCTTAAGAGGACTCCCAACCCAATGAAGGGTTTCGGCGAGAAGACCACAGACCTAGTTTAAAGATCTAACAATCTGCTGTGCAGACAAATATGAATAAAGAACGACCAGTTATTATTTTCTTTTGTTAACAATTTATCTTTTCTTTATCCATTGACGCTTAGCGACTAAACTTTGGAGAGTCTGTATTGTGTGGGTTGTGCTGGCCATATCCTAAGTCAGATTGTGTGCTTACATTACGTTTAATTGTCGAGTAAAACTACGTGTAGACTAGAGCCTCTTTTAGTTTCTCTTGAGCAGCATGACCACAGTGCCGGCTATCTTCTCGTAGGCCATGAACATCAGCGCGGCTGTGAGCACAGTCTGCAGGATTTTGGCCTCCAAACCCCGGAATAACCCACGAATGCCCTGGTGCTGCAGTATGCTGATCATCAGCTCCAATGTGCTCTCCGTGCGGGGAGGGGATCCCGATGAAGTGGAGGGCTTGGAGTCCGACTCCTTGCTGCGATGACGCTGCTTGGTCTGGACCAACTGCAGTGGATAGGTGAGCACCGTGGCGAAGGCCTTGGCAATGGCACCAATGAAGAAGAAACTCAGGCTGCCCATTTCGCCGCCGGTGAACCTCATCAAGTTGCGCTTGAGCATCTCGTACATCATGAACTGCAGGGCGGGATTGGAGACGAGCATCAGGGAGGGAATGGTGCCCGACCACAGGCCGGCGATGCCCTCCTTCTGTGCGACATACTTAAGACCCTCCAGCAGGTTCTTGTAGTGCTTGTTCACCTCATCCGAAGTGCCGGCCACATTGCGCATGCGCAACCGCGTGTTAACGACCCAAAAAGGTGTTGTGGTCAGCACATTGATAATGCCCGCCACGCTGCCCAGAAACAGATCCTTGAGAGCGCTGTGCTGCGCGGGAGAGCCACCCGAGGCCACCGCCTTGAGGGCGTGGAATGTGTAGAAGTAGACAAAGTTCGAGATGCACAGGCTCTGGAGAACGGGACCGAGTCCTCGGTACAACGACTGGAATCCCTCGCCCAGCACTATCTCCTTGATCACCTGCCTGGTGCTCCGCACTTCGCCGGCCTCCTCCACTGAAAAGAGAGAAATTGTTGGGAGTTATAACTTATAAGTTTCAAGTTGGAGATTCTAGAACCCAGAACATCCCAGGTGGATTCTGTTTCGGGCGCTAATTTAATTTGTCACGCATAATCCGAGTCAGTGATATCAACCCAACCTTGAACCCCATTTATCATAATTATCCAATTTCTGGTATTAACCTTTAAGGCGTTTTATTACAAGCACGTAACATGTACAGTACATTTTGACTAGTATTTTAAAAAAATATTGCAAAAGTCATACAAATTCTATCAAAAAGTCAGCTTACAAAAAGCTTTTTTTATGACTGTTTACATATTATAAATTCTACTACTACTACTATTTTAGAATTATAGTTTCTTCTCTATTTACTGAATAGATTTTTCAAAATTTTGTAATGAAATATTTATAATTTTTGTTATGGAATTTTTAATGTTTATTTTAGCCAATGTCAACTGTATTTCATTTTATAGTCAAAGTCCAAGACCTTTAGGCAACTGCACAATTTTATGCATTCGTATACTATAAACTGCGAGTGTACTTTAAGTGGAAATAAAGTGGAAACTCTGAAAAGTGAACCATTGATATTACAAAATATTTGTATGATTCAGAAAAAATATACTTTGTAGATTAAAAATTTTTAGGTGAAAGAAAAATAAAATAAAACATTCTTTATCATTAAATCTTAAAGTTCATTAATAAGTCCTATATAGTTTTTCTCTTCTAAAAATAAATAATCCCAATCTTGTCTCGCCACAGAACTAGATCCTATCGAATTCCATCTATAAACAGAACCCAAAATTGGATTAGCGCGGGCATTTGATTAGACGGGGGGCTCTTTAACATATCAATAGAAAGTTTCAAACGCTGGAGTTTGAACTCGCCCGCAGGTATATCAATATATGTATATACCAATTATCAAAGCGTGTTCCGCTTATCTAGGTCCCATTGAAGATTAGTTTGTAACAAATTAACCGCTCCCCGATTGCACAAATCCCTGGGGAAACTTACGTTGCAGGCGGGAACGCACCGTGTCCAGGGGATAGAAAGTGCTCATCGCAATGCAACCGCCCTGTGAGGAGAGATGACCAAATAGAAATTAGCACCAAGTACCTCATCTTGACCTTTAGCCGGCAAATATTTGACCACTCACCGCGGCACCGGAGACGGCATGCACGAAGTTCTGGTAGCTGAGCACCTGGCTGAGTTTCGAGGGGGCCACCATTATGTTTGTTCGTCGGGGGATCGGATTTCTGGGATTGGAACGTCAAGCGGCGTCTTCGGGCGAGTGTTTACTGATTGAGACGACGACGACCAGCCGGTAGTTGAAAATTTAGCTGCGACAGCGCTGTTCGCCGCGACGTCGAGATTAGATTAATTCTATTGGCGGCAGAAGAGGCGGTGGCTTCGTGGGCGTCGGCGTCGAACCCTTTGTGGTGCCTCCTGAATAACAGCTCGCAGACTTGGTGAATGATTCACATATTCACCTTTTCTATATACAATTTTGGTTTTTATTCACTGATTTAGTATGACCGCAGGGGTAGGCACGGAATATACCAAAAGGCTGGAGAAATATACTAAAAAATACAAAACTTACCGTTAGCAAGGATTTCAAAAAACTATTTTTGAAAGCCTAGTACTAGTACTATATGGTTAAACAAATTCATTTTCCTTTCTTTTAAGCCTTGGTTTAATTTAATTAAATTACGGTTGAAAAACTGAGTAAGAAAGAGAATTTGTGAGAAAATCATAGTGCATATTTGTTGACTCAAAAATCAGTTTTTTAGTCGTATGCTACTAAAAAATGGTCGAAATATGGAGTGTCATACCTCGATAAGCTCGTTATTTAAATTCTAATCGATCGACAATTTAAACTAAAAACTTTTATTTTTGCCAATTTTTTTCAAAAAATTATGATGTAACCCCTTGTCAAAAATGAAAATTTTGGTCAAAAAATTAGTTTTCCAAAAAAAGATGGGGATTGTTTGCTTATGTCGTTAGCTATCTAAAGCAGTCATTCTTTCTGTTCTACGCTTTAGTTTCACAAAATTACGACAGAAAAACCACTATAAAAGGGTAATTTTGTCTCAAATTATAATCCCTGTTTCCTGTCCTTGAAAAAAAGTCAAACAAAATGTATTTATTTTAACTTATTCACCTATATTGTATATCCTTATTATATCTTCTTACATACCAAATTTTCTGACGATTGAAAAATAATTGTAAGGATTAAAATTATATAGCAATCGAAAAAAGTAAAAAATTGTTTTTATCTAAACATATACAAATTAAATTTATGGTTTATTCAATCCTATCCACTATCTTACTAGACTATATAGCAAAATGTACATTTTAGTTGTCTAAAATTAAGAGAGCTTAGTCTAAAGAAGCTGATCTATAAGGCACTTCTCCCTCCGAGGTTCCAATCGTGGTTTCTTCATGAAATTCACGCCCGTCTCGGTGCTGCTGTTGAGTATCTCGGCTGCTTTTCGTTTGCGATTCTGGAAAATAAAAAATATATTTTAAAAATAAGTGTATAGTTCATAAGAATTCTGGGTAGATCCATACCTCATGCTCCTCTTCCGTTAGCGTGGCGAACACAAAGTTCTTGGCCTTGGTAGATTTTACGGAAATAGTGCCTTCTGTTCCGTCCACATCGCCGGCGGAGGTTCCCTTGGAAAGGCCTGCTGCCAGTTTGGTAAGCGTCTGCTGATCCCGAATAAGAAAAGAACCACGAACTGCACTCTTCTGTTTGCCAGCTGCTGTTTTTGAGATCAGGAAGGGTGAACTCTTCTTCACCTCCACAGTTGTCTTTTTGGAGGAGATTATGTTCAGTCGGCGAATGGAATTACCAGAGTTACTGGTGTTAATCACGGATGTGGAGAGTGGAGAGGCTGCCTCCTGGAAAAATCAAGCTTTATTAGATCAGAAATAAAAGAAATGTAAGGATTTTCCTACCGGCTTTAGGCCTTTTTCCAACAGTAACTGCTCGCGTTCATAGCGAATTTTTCGCCACAGATGCTCGTTATCCTCATCGCCACTGCCCTCGTTTCCTTCACCATTTTCCGGTCGATGATCATCCAAGCTAAAACCATTCTCCACATTCTTCCAACGAAACTGCCGCTGTCGACTGGCTCCCTCCTCTTCCTCTTCGAACAGCATTTCTTTGATCTTGCGCACCTCCCGAATATCCTGGTCCATCATCTTACGACTGTCAAGGAAAAATATTTAATAATTAACTTGTATAATTGGAATTTACTTTATACTCACGCATGAATCTGTCCCAGTTCGTGCCGCAGCTTATCCCTATCGAACTGATCTTCGTCGCCCAACTCTACGTCATAGTTATCCATGTTCTTCTCGTCCTCATCGGCGGATCCCCAATCGGATTCAGATAGCTCAGCTTCTTTGTCCACAAAGTTGGCCGCTCGCATTTTCTTATCCTTCTTGGTCATTTCCACAACAATTTCATTCTCCTCGGAATCGTAGTCCACAAAGGTTTCGGGGATTTCCTCCACAGGCTCTCCATCGCTTTCTTCCTCGAATTCTTCGGCTTCATCGGCTTCAGCATCGCTCTCTTCATCATCGGAGAATCCCAGTTTCGCCTTTTTCTTTGGCCTCTTTTTGGTGAGCTTTTTGTTGCGCGGCTTATCCGTTTCAGTGGTTTCCTCCTTTAACTCCTCATCACTGGACAGAATTCTATTGGCCACCACTGACGGCTCATGGGATTCTTCCTGCTCCGGCTGTTGAGTGGCTGCTTGCGTTGGCAGTTGGGTAGCAAAGGTGCCGGAACACAGACCTTCCAGTTCATCGGGAGCCTGACTGCTGCCTCCGAACTGCGTCATGGGAATCTGGCTGATGACAGCCGGATCCAAAGAGGGCGCGGCGGAGGAAAGCATCTGGGACTGCTGCGGAAACTGGCCGGAGCACAGATCGAGCAGCTCGTTCTCCTCGTCGCTGGCTGTGCGACGAGTTTCAGCGTCGAAGAGTTTGTGAGCGGAAAGCTGCAGTTGAGTGGCTGTTAGGGGAGCCACACCGGTGGCCTTGGGTGTTTGCAGCAGGTCGAGATCATCATCGGAGTTGTCGTCCTCGAAGGCTTTGATGATGCGGTTCTTTTTCTTCCCAGCTTGCGTTTCGGGCTCGCTTTCCTCATCGCTCTCACTGCTGTTTTCCTCTTCCTCAAGATCTTCAAGTGGCTCTTCTTCTGGTTTCTCATCTGCTTCGATATCCTCTGCTTCCTCCTCATCCTCCTCCTCAATAGTCCCTTCATCTCGCTCAACAATCTCCTCATCTTCGTTAATGGTAACCTCTGCGTAGCCAGGTTTATCCTCCGGTTCGTACTCCTCATCCACATCCATGCCTTCCTCCTCCTCATCCTCTGCCATTTTCTCCTGTTCTTCGGCCTGCTTCTTGCGCAGCTCCTCCATGCGTTTCTTGGTGATCAGAGACTTGAGCTGCTCCTGCATTTTAATGTAACCCGCTCCTGGTTTGGGTTCCTTCATGATCTCCTCTTCGTGAAGGTGAATATTTACCTTGGACATTTCCAGTTTGCCATGCTCAGTGGATAAGATGCTAGAATTAATTTAAAATTAGTTGGATTTAATGATTGATAAGTTGATTTACTTACTTGACTGTTTCTGTGGTCTTGTGCTTTTTGGCTTCCCGGGTTTTCATCAGACGCTTCAGTAAATCCTCCACTCCGGTTGGTTTCTTGGCAAACATATCGCCCGTTTCCAGGTCAATCACCATGTTGGCATCACCCTTTAGCGAGGGACTCACATCCAAGCTCTTTTCGATCTTTAGCCGCCGAATGGCTTCGCTGATCTTTGGCGTGGCTGGCTTGGAAGGCGGTGTAATGCTGATGGTGCTCAAGTCCAGCCTAGGCAGTTCCACTACTTCTGTGATTAGACAAACTTTGCTGGGGGACTTTGGTTCAGTTTCCTGTTGGATTTCAAAATTATCTGGGAATTTTAGAGCAGCTGCAGCAGAGGTGGAGGCCATGGGTTCTTCTTCGGGGATGGTAGCTTCTATTATTGCTTGCTCCAGGACGGGATCTTTCCCTATTGCTTTGCTAATCAGTTCTTCTATGTGGTCCTTGGGTTCTTCTGGTGTTTTGGGATTATCTAGCACCTCATCCAAGACACCTGGATTGTCTTTCAGCTCCATAGGCTCTTCGTTCTCTGAATCATTATCCTCCTCTGGCTCAGATTCGGATTTAAAGAACTCGGTGGCCTCTTTGGCGCGTTCTTCCATTAATTTCCTAGGGGTTACAGTCTTTTAATAAATTGATTAATATATTTTACAGAACTTACGCATAGGCCTCCAGCTCTTCACGGGTCATTCGAAGTCCCACGGACTTTCTGGGCTGTCTGCTGGGCATGGGACTTCCCCCAGCCAGCGCGGTGGCCAAAGGAGCATTGATTGTACGCCGGCTGAGGAATTCCTTTAGCGTTCTGGGCTTCGGCTGATGATAGGGCACATTGATGTGCGCCTCACGATGCAAACGCTGCTGCTCGCTTTGGATGGCCTGCATCCCCTCCAGTGCCTTCTTAGCTGATTCCTGATTAAGTAAAGGAATTATTAATATTTAATTTAATTTTTTATTAAATAAACTTACCCTCACAACTTTGGGCTTCTTGGCTTTTTCTTTAGCCACTTCAGTGGTTGCTTCTTGTTCCCCTTGAGGTTCCTCTGGATTGCTTAACTCCGGTTCGGATTCAGAGTCCACTAAGCCTTTGAGTTTGTTCTTGGCAGGACTGATTTCTGCTGAGGATTCTTCCTGCTCTGATTCGGAGTCCACCAGACCTTTAAATTTGTTTTTGGGTGAACTGGTTTCCTCTTCGCTTTGATTTTTCTGGATCTCATCTTCGCTGTCACTATCCATTCTTTGTTTCTTTTTCTTCGATTTTTTGGAAGGTTTCTGCACATCCTCATCATCATTTTCACTGTCCATTTCCTTGAGATCCTGATCCTGTACTTCCTCATCTTGGCTTTTCTCGGACTCCTCATCACTCTCTATTTTTTGTTTATTTTTCTTGGACTTCTTTTTGGGCTCTAATGATTTTTCCTCATCCTCTTCATTGTCAATTTTAGCCAACTTGTTTTTCTGGATTTTTTTTGAGGGTTTCTTCTGCTCTAGATCATTCTGATTGTTATCCACCTGTGATTCCTCCTCACTGTCCATTTTTTCATTCTTTTTCTTGGCCAATTTCTTGGGCTTTTGTTTTTTGGCTGGCTTCTCCTGCTCCTGATTTTCTTCCTGGTCCATTTTGGAATCCTCATCCACGTCCATTTGGTTGTCTTCCTCTTGGGATTCAAATAGAGATTCCTTTTTATTTTTGACTGGTTTCTTTGCCTTTGGTTTCTGGGTAGGATTAGGTTTCTTTTCCTCCTCACTTCCGTATTCTTCCTTCTTATTTTTGGCCAACTTCTTGGGCTTTTGTGTCTTGATGGGTTTCTCTTGATCCGGGTTGTCTTCCTGGTCCATTTGGCTGCCCTCCACCTTGTCCACTTGGTCTGCAGCCGGTTTGGCAGGTGCTTTCTTTGTCCTTACAACCTTTTTTGGCTTTTCCTTCTTGGAAGGAGCATCCTCCTGGTTGTCCTCTTGGGTCTGTTTCTTACTCTTTGTTCCTCCCTTTTTCTTGACAGGATTCCCCTGCTCCTGATCCTCCTGGGATGTCTTTTTCTGAATTTTCTTGGCGGGTTTCTTCTTGGCCACCTGCTGCTCCTCCTCACTATCCGAGCTTAGGATGGCAGATACCTTCTTTTTCGGCTTGGAGACCACCTCCTCCTCCTCCTCTTCATCGCTGTCCAGCAGCCTTTGTCCCTTGTTTTTGGGTGAAATGTGCTCCCGCTGCTCCTGCCCTGCTTTCTCCTCCTCATCGCTGTCCATCATCCTCTGGCGCCTGGCCTTGGGTGAAATTTTCCGGGGTTTCTCCGTAGATACCTCTTCATTTTCGCTGTCGTCCGACATCATCAGATGTAAATCTTCGCCCAGTAAATCTTCGGCGGACACATTCTTCTCGTCTTCCTCGTCGAACGCCAGCTTTTCCATCGAGTCGTCGGCCTGCTCTTCATTTTCCGCTGCAGCTGCAGTTTCTGCCACCGATTCGCTCATATTTCTGGGTCACTTAGTTTTTTGTTAATAATAAGAAAAACCAAAAACATTGCCCGAGTGCAGCACGCACACAATCACACGCAATTCGATTTTTGGCGCAAAGAGTGTTAATAGTGCGGGAGCCATCAGCTGTTCGATTTTTTAGATACATCGATATTTTTTGGCGATAATCGATGTTTTTGTCACATCACCAATTTTAAAGTAACGGTTGAAAAAATTTAAAATTTAAGTTTACTGTTTTAAATGTCTGCAAACTGCCTTCTCCACCTCTAATCCTTATTTTAATTCAAATCAGTTCAACTTTTGCGCAAAAAAAACTGGAACAAAACAGGCCCACAGGGTGATTCGGGTGTAAGTGCAGTGTTGTAAAGTTGGGGGAGTAAGGCTATAGGGTCACACTTGTGTAAAATTGTATGTAAAATAAATGAAGAATTAGGATATGGGCACTTCCAAAAAAAAGTCCACCAAGCCAAAAACCTTAAAACTTGAATAAAACATATTTCCACGTGATTTTGCCCCGATATTAGTTTCTAATTAGTTGGATACTGAGCTTAACTACAAATTTGGAGTACAGTTTGATTATTTTTATGACAAACCCCACCAATATACGCAAAAATCACTTTAATTTTATTTTATTGTTTTCCTATCCTAGCACAACAAGCGTGAAACTTATTTTTACTGCACTAGTCACTATGAACATTAAATCTTAAATTAATTACATTAATCAAAATCTATTACAAATACAGTTACAAGTTATTATTTTATTATTTTATTATGCCTTTTACTATTATATTTTATTTAACTACTTTTGTTTTATGTGAGTGTGTTAAAGTGTTGTTTAAGTTTAACACTAAATTTTAATGTGCCAGTAATGGTTTTTAAGGAATGCGGCAAAGAGTTCCAAATTTTTATGGCATATACAAGAAATTGTTTCTCCGAGCTTGCAAGTTTTGTTCTAATGCTTATTATATTGTTCGTCCTTTGTGAGGACGTAAATCGAATCATGTCATACAAGTAATCAGGTTGCCTGGAATTAATAATTTTATGAAGAAGAACTAATATTTTTAGGTCAATCCAGCTGTCAATATTCAAGTCAAAGATTTTTTTGGCGCCTTCAGTAACATGGTCATTCCTACCCAATTGGTATATGTATCTGGCTATATTATTAAATGTCACTTTTATTTTATGTCGACTTGCTACATTACAGGTACCAAAAACTTCAACTCCATAGAAAAGAGTCGGTATAACTAAAGTTTTAGCAAGTAATAACCGCATAGAAGTAGGCAGAAAAGTTTGTGTCGCATGTAATTGTCGCAACAATCCATATGTTTTTCCTGTGGCTGCTCTGACATGATCATTCCATGACAGGGTTTTGTTGAACAATATGCCCAGGTTATTTGCTTTCTCAACAAAGTCCAATTCTACATCTCCTATTCTAAGCTTTTGAAAATCATTTGTGTTTATATTTTTCTTGTAGATGACCAAGCACTTTGATTTCTTAGGATTTAAGCTCAAGCCATTCTTTGTAGCCCAGTTATCAACGTTAAACAAACAAATATTAGACAAATTGATACATTCATTAACTAAACTCAATGGTCGACTAACATATAATTGAACATCATCCGCATACATATGTACGTTACACATAGACAATTCATCAGATAGATCATTAATATACATTGAAAACAATAATGGCCCTAATACCGATCCCTGAGGAACACCACGATAGGATGTTTCAAAATTTGATGTATTTTCTTTTATAACAACAGCTTGCTTTCTATTTGTGATATAAGATGACATTAGTTTTACTGATGTGTCAGAAAATTTAAATAATTTCTTCAGCTTTAGTATTAATATTTTGTGGTTCACTGTATCAAATGCCTTACTAAAGTCCAGCAATGTTAAGGCATTTGATACAGTGAACCACAAAATATTAATTTTTTTTGGCTATTTTTTTGTTATTTTTTGGACCTATCTTCTGTTGTAAATTTATCCTATAGAATTGCTAATATGTGACATTTTTCTGTACTAAATGCTTCATTCACATGCTAAACTATTAAGTTAAAAGCAAAACATCCAGCAATTGAGAGATAGAGGTAAAGAAATCCGCTTTACAAAACAGTCGGAAAAAATGTCCCGAGCGACATGTCCCGAGCGAATGTGGTTGAAACTGCATAAAAAAAAAACGGCAAAGAATTTTTGAGTAAAACCAAAAGCATTTCATAGCGACATGTTTGAACGACATTCTAAAAAAAATCGCATTCAAATATTCCATCAGAATTAGCTAATTTCTGGTGTTGTATGAACTTCCCCGAAATCCACTTCTATTTTTGTCCCGAGCGAATACGGCAGTTTTTTACCGATATCTTAAAAACTAAAAAGTGGTACAAAATCAAGATTTTTACCAAAAATAGAGCTTGGGAAGAGTGAAAGGAAAAGCCCATAATTAAAATTTAAATCCATTGTTTTACAATTTTTTTTCAACTTTAAAGGTGTGCAAATGTCCCGAGCAACATTTTGGAAGTGCCCATATTTAATTTTTTTAAAATTAATACGTTAAAATACAAAATAGTTTTTAAAATGCATGAGCTTAAACAAAATAATATTTCAAATTCAAAGCTATTGATTTAATTTCTTCCTTCAAAATATCTATTTTTAATGTCAAAAAAATAATGGAAGGCAATCACTAAATGTAAATATTCCCTTTTTATATGTAACACAATAATAATAAAATTCTTAAATTTTCCATTTCTTTTAAAAACCAAATTTTTAAAAAATTAGTTAGAAGTAATATAAAATTTTTAACTAAAGTTATTTTGTATTTTAAGTAAAAGTGGTTTTTAAATGGAATCAGTTGGTTTTAAAAACATCTCCTTAAATAGTGAAAACACCTCAGTGGCTTAATGTATTTTCAAATGAATTTCTCGACAGGCTTACACACTGCTAAAATCTATTAAAAGTACAAGATTTATTTAAATGCAAATCAAACAGCGTGAACAAATCTCGGACAGCAACTTAATCAGCAGGCGGCAACCTTTCGGCAGGCAGTACAGCAATCGAAAGTAATCACCCATTGGATGAATTTACATGCTCAAATGAGGAATAAAAAATAAAAACACAGGTGGGCCAAGTGAGTAGTTCACCTGTTCTTGTGGTTGTTGCTTGCGAATTGTTGCAGTTGGTTTGATTTTGGTCCGATGTCGATATATGTTGCCATGCTGCTTGCTGCGATGCTTTCTCCGCATCTCTTTCTTTTGCTCTGAGGCCATTTCTCTTTCACAGTTTAGTGACTGAAGCTGAAAAGCTGAAAAGGTCTTTCGGCCGAGGGTCATTAAGTAACCCAAGAGAGTTGCCTAATGATATAGCTACCAAAGTCCGATATAAATAGCATTAAAATGCAATTATAAATGCTGAAAAACGCATCCAATCCGCAATCATTAACCGCGGTTTCAGTTTCAGTTTCGGAGCTTAATTGAATATTAACGCCAATGAAAGCAAAAGCAGAGAGGCCTCCGAAAAACCGAAACCAAACCGTTTTAATAGGTGTTAAATTCCTTCGGCTTTTCACTTTATCGCCGTATTCTGAGATCACCTCGGCAAACCATTAAAATTCAACTTGAATTTGATTAATGCATTTTACAAATGCCTTCGATTTTAAAGGGGGACAAATGTTTCACCTTGCCGGTGGATTGCGCAACTTATTCAAAAAAATCCCACACAACAATATGCGATATGTTATTTAACTTTAGAAAGATCCGAAGAAAGCAGCCATATTTTACGAATTTTATGCTTTCCGCTATGCCAAAACTATAATATATTTGCATGCCCAATCGCAGCTTGAGCCAATCATTCGATAAATTAGCGGGGCTAAGTCAATATTTGGATACTCTTCTACTTAGGGAAAATGTTTTGGACATATTTGCGATTAAGAAAAACAAATAATTATTTTGTAAATCAAATAAATCTTAAGGAATCTTAACATTTTTTTCTTTTTATACATAGTTAATAAATCACTTTAAATACAACATCCCATCAATAAAAAAACTATCTTTACAAGATCAAAACATTAAAAAATATATCATCAAGCGGTAGTTTTATGGCTACTCAAAACTTAGGTAATGTATGCCCCTTTTCCAGCAGCCTGATTAAATCATAATGCCCTGGCTTATGGCTTATGAGCTAGACATTTATAACTTTAAGCTTCAGCTAGCGCACCAATTAGCATACTATATAAATAAAAAAATAAACAACAAAAATCTTGGTACCTCCGCACACAATTTCTCTTTCATTTGGCGAAAAAGAAAAAAAACTCAAAAAACGGTTAACTCTGCGTATCTTTCAGGCATCTTTTTTTAATATCTGTAGCAGAGATTTTGCTTTTGGCCACTTACGGTATTTCTGCGCCTTGTTGTCGCTGTCGCTACCTAATTTGCATACGCACACAGTTCAGAGATGCCACCGAAAAATAAAAACTGAAAACTTTAAAGCCGAATAACGAAAAATCACAACTGGGCCCCGAAAACGAAAGTGAAAACATTTGAGTGTGTGCTAAACGAAGAGTCTAAACGAAAGATACACATAATTTCCAACTGTCCAAAAATCAATATTGATCGCCTCGCAATCTCTGGGAATTCGAAATGGGATTTCTCGATCAAAAAATAAAGCCAACAAACAAAAACTGTATACAATACAACCATTTCTTTAGAAAACTATTTTTAAACGATCTTTTCTTTTTGGCAAGGCTAAAAGGCTTATGCAATCGCGCGGACTTAAGACCTTTCAGTGCCTTCAACTTAAACTTAAGTTTATGGGGTTTAAGACAAAGTCGCTGTCTTTCGCAATTAAATGTAAATCGTCCATAAAAATCAAGAAAAAAATCTGCTTGTAATGCCGCATGTTTTTGTATAAATAAAATGGTAGGAGTTGGAGTAGGAGCTCTTCCTTGGATACCCAGACACGCCTTTGGCTGTCTGCGTCTGGCTTTTCGTTGCCCGATTGAGATTTCTTACCGTTTTGCTTTGCCATTTTTTTTTTGGTTTTTTTTTGGCGAGTGAAAGTGATATATGGCGCATGACTCAGGCGAAGTCCATGCTCGACTCCATCCGACTTACAACCGACAACCCCATCACCATCCCGACATCCCGGCCCCAAGTCATATGCATAAAATAATAATTAAGCGCCATTTATGCAGCCCAAGTCAAAGAAGAAATGGCCAAAAAGGGCGCAGCAGCCATCGAGCGTGGACCGAAACTGAAACCAAACGCGAAAATCAATTGACATGTTTCGCAGGCACTGGGAGAAATTTATGTTGTGGGGATAAAAATAAAATTGTTAGGGTTTTCAAGAAATTAATTAAAATTACTAAACTAAATTTACATAACCAATTTTGATTTTATTGTTTCCTTACTTTTTTGACCCATTGAAAAATATTTTATGAATTCAAAAAGAATTAACACAAAATAATAATTTTTAAAATATGAATAAATTATTTTTAGGTTATTATTAAATTTAGAATTATTAAATGTACTGTTAATTACCAAGTATTCGAGTGATTTGACTGAAATCAATTGTTTTTTATTATATTTAAACGTTCCTTTTATTTTATTAGCTATTTGTTCAAACAAATTTTCCTTGGACACGAAACTATTAAACTAACTAGCGTGCAACAGATTCTCAGCAACAGAAGACTGAATAAATGGTTGTGAATTAAATAATTTTGCATTCGCCAGGCCAAGTCGTGCCCCCTCATTCAACCTTTAAGCTGCAAGTTGTACATACACCTGTAACTGCTGCTCTTCCCCTTCCTCCAGCCCATCCGCCATCTAACTATCCAAGACCCAAGACCTAGGTTCATTGTCTTTATAAATGTGATTTAGGGCTGGCGACAGCAGCCCAACGGAAAAGCCGCCAACGGAGTGGAGTTAACAATAACAAAAAATAAAAAACGGCCAGCAAATTGTAGCCCAGCGACTGACAAAAGAAATGGAAAGTAAAAAGGTAAAAGAGCCAAAGGCAAAAAGCAAAAGCGTGGCGATTCCATTGAGCTCGATGACCGGGCCCAAAGCCCAAAACCCCAGAGGTTGCAACTCCGGCCGGATTGCGACTTGCATAATGATTGACATTGTTTGGGCCAGGCCATGGTCCCCAATAATAATTTGTTTATAAACAATAAGCGCCCAGATTGTGCACCGTTATAACTGCACTGCAGAAGCGGCTCAAATAAAACGAAAGAAAGACAAAAAAAAAGAAAGAGTTGTGCAAAACTCTGGCAGCAACTGGTTTTTATCTTCTCATAAATGAAACAAAATTAACTGAATGAACTCGGGATTATTTTGTTATTGCTCGATGATGAGGTGAAAGGGGCAACGAGGTGGACTAAAATGTTGGTCGGAGGTTTAGGGTTTTTAAAAAGATATTTTTAGACAGGTGGTAAACCGTTTTTGGCGTTAGATAAACAATTTTTATACCCTTGCAGAGGGTATTATGATTTCAGTCAGAAGTTTGCAACGCAGTGAAGGAGACGTCTCCGACCCCATAAAGTATATATATTCTTGATCAGCATCACAAGACGAGTCGATCTAGCCATGTCCGTCTGTCCGTCTGTCCGTCTGTCTGTCTGTCCGTCTGTCCGTCTGTCCGTCTGTCCGTCTGTCTGTTTCTACGCAAACTAGTCTCTCAGTTTTTGAGCTATCGGGACGAAACTTTCGCAAAAGTCTTCTTTCTATTGCAGGTAGTATATATGTCGGAGCCGACCGGATCGGACAACTATATCTTATAGCTCCCATAGGAAGGATCGGAAGAAAAAAGCTTTAAAAAATTCTAGCTTCGGTGTTTTTTGAAATATTACCTTCTACTTTTGGGGATGTTATTTTTTAAATATTTCTGAATTTCGAATTAATTAGTTAAAAAATCGGACTACTATATCATATAGCTGCCATAGGAACGATCGGAAAATTAATGGAAAAGTAATAGGAAATAAATTCTAGCTTCTTTGGTGTTTATTGTATTATCTTCTACTCTAGGATATAACTCTTTTTAAATATTTCCGAATTTCAATTTTAATTTGATCAAAATCGGACGACTATATCATATAGCTGCCATAGGAACGATCGGAAAATTAATGAGAAATATTAGAAAATTGAACATTTTTGCGATTTGTTAATTAATAGGAATGATCTGCAAGGGTATATAAGCTTCGGCTGGCCGAAGCTAGCTTCCTTTCTTGTTATTTTTTATATTGGTAGAAAAGTAGGGGAGTAGAAAATTGAGATGGAAGTTGAAAAAAGCTTGCGGCTTATTAAACCTTATTGTTTTTAAAGATACGACAAATAGCTTTCATATTTAACACATTAAGAAAAATTAATGGGTTTATTTAACAAAAGAAAATTAAATAGCTATGCATTGAAGTTATTTCAAAATAAAAATAATAATTAAAGTTATTCTGGCTCGATTAAAAAACTCCTTTTGCAAAAGCATATAAATTATTAATAAACCTTTATACATATAACAAAAAATTATTTCTTTCTTTCAAAATATTCGAAATTATATTCCTCTTAAACAACATAAAAACCTTTTTTATTAAAAACTTTTTATAATTGTATTTTAAATATTTTATAGCAATAGTTTATAGCCCTTTAAATATTTTATATATATTTCCCTCAAAGATTCCATTTAAACTTCAAATTTATTTAAAAACAAAACTGTGATTTCATTTGATTACGAAATTTAGGGCAAACGCCGAAGATGTGTTATACTTTTCCTAGCGTTGCCTCACTTTCTCCAGAAAGCTTACATCACAGCCGAAAACCATTGCCTTTCCCAACTTGGCCCTCTACCTGTGCCCCCCGAAAATGCGGGCCCAGAAGTTGCTCAATTTTCTAGAAACGAAAGACAAAGCGAAAAGAAGATACTGGATGAGGGCCTGCCCACGTACGAGTGCGTCAGCCGAAACGGAGATCACGGCTCAATTAGCATGCCAGGCACGTCCCTGACCCAATTCCATTTTGTGCAGTGTAACTCGGCGATAATGTTACCAACTCACATAGAGGATCTACGTCATTGAGCTGCGTGTGATTCACTGATCCAAGGGGGTGCGGATCCAAATCCGGGGCGTTGCCAAGAGATCTCGACTCTGAAATGAAATCGAAACCCTCGAAGGCAAAAGGCGGAACTTTCGATTTCTTTCGATGTCATCGCTTGGGCAGCCAAGGTGCGTAAATACATATACAGTATATTCAAATGAAAGTTCATAGCGATCGGCGATTACTTTCTTGGCTTTTGGGATCGGCTACAGCCAATTGTATCTCTCTTGGATTTTTGGGCATTTCTACTTAATCATTTTTCGTTCGTTTCACTTGCCTTTTGGCTTTGATTGGCCATTTTGGTTAGACATATTTGTGCCATTTCATCATCGGAAATTGCCTGGTCCACAGATCCACAGAAGACACATATCTCTTTGTGTCCAACTAAAAAAACGAGAGTGGCGAACGACAAATTTACTCTTGAGTTTGGCACTTTGGCAAATTGATCAAATTTGTTGCCCGTAAAATTGGCACAAAGTTGTTTGCTTTTCTTTATTTATTTTTTGGGTTGTGCAATAGGTGCAGATGGAATTACTGGCCTCAAGGCATTTGAAAATTGGGCTGAAATCATTAAATAAATGTTGGTTAAACAATCTTTAATAGTAAATAATTGTGACATTTGCCGGGGATTTGTGTTAATTTGTTTAAATTACAAATCACAACATTGTTATATTACCAAGATTGAACACTGTAAAATACATAAATAATAAGACATTTAAATATTTGTTATGTATTTTTAAAGGATATTTTAAGTATCAATCTACGAGCCTTTATTAATTTATTTTCAGATAATGTCTTAAAAATGTAAATGTGTTTCTGTATTTGTTTTTAAGATTTTTAGCCATCAATCTTCGGGCTTTCCATCACATAATTTTTATTTTTTAACAAAAAAATTTACATCATTTCTTGAAATAAAATTCCTTTTAATTGAATCTTTGCAAATTCTTCGCGCTACTTAAAATGACAATGAGAAAACTTTCACAATGTATTCTGAAAGACGTTTGGGAATGTTAATTGGCACATAACAATGCCAAAAACTGTACAATTAAAATACAATACAATTGATTTATTTTAAATTTATTTACCCTCAAAAACAAAAGACTTAGGCAACGAACTTGAATTAATAAATTATTCAATTAAATCGGAAACATTTTCTATGCGCTCCAGAGAAACAAAAAGTTGACTTGATTAACGAATTAAATTTATTTACGCTAGGCACACACAAAGGTCAACGAAAAATGAAAATATTCAACGCCCCATAAGTGTGTGCATTATGTCATTAGGGATTGCATAAGCATAAGCGGCCGAGGCGATCATAATTTAATTTTCCAATGCATTGGCCAGAATAACAAGCGTGGCCAAAAGCCGTTAGCTGAGTTAGCTGACTTCGGCTGACTCAGAGCCGGACGCAAGCGAACCCTTTTCGAATAACAATCGAAATTAGGCAATCGTTGAGGTAGTTCGCTCCGCATATCCGCCACTTCGACCGATCGACGTCACCAGTTACCTTGACACCGCACACAGACGGTTGCCAAAAAACAAAGAAAAAAGAAATATTTATATCTTTTACTTCAGAAACCGCAAGAGAAAGAGAAAAAGGTGGCCAGCAGCAGCGGCGGCAGCAGAAAGCGGCCTGAAATGAAAAGTTGGCCGAAAACAAGTTTTTGGAATACCCGAAAACGGCATATTTTGCATTCGGCGAGGTGTTCGGCAGAGCAAAAGAGCGGCTCTTTTCCTCTTCGTGAGCTCTCTTTGCGCTCAAGCGGAGCGACTGCGCCAGTGGCAAAAGGGGTCAAAACTTTCACGCGATATAAAATCTTGGTTAGCGATACGGCCTAGCCGCATTTTCATTTCAACTCTGTGTGCGACGAGTTGTCCCAGCAGTCGCAGTCGCGTGTCCTGTTTAGCACCTCCTCCGCGTTCGCAGCGCGTCCCTTTCGTTTCGTGAGATCGCAGTGTTTTGGGAATCGAAAATCTACATAGGAATATATTTGAGAAAATTTCGAGAAAAAAATACAAACAAGCTGCAATTGTGGTTCAATTTGTGCATCGAACACAACCAAACAAAATCGTCGATTCCAGTGGAACACCAAAAAAATAAACGTGATCCGCTGCTGTGCCATTGACTTCAGCTGAAAGGGATTAACCGAACCCAAATGCAAAGGATTTAAGCCGCCTGAAGGTAAGAAAGTGTGACGGAATTGGAAAATAACTGGTTGATAAATCAATTGACCGAGTTGAAAGTTCAATGAACGAATTTTAAGTGAAAAAGGATAATTATGTGAGAAATATAAACCTTATGACATTGAATTTTAGATATATTAAGTGGTTTATAGTAAATATTGTTACAGAATAAAAACAAAAGACTTAAGCAACGAACTTGAAATAATTCATTTAATTTAAATAAACAAAATTTGTTGTCTAGGACAAAAATTATTTACAATTTTGTTATCCTCTAAACAAAAGACTTAGACGAACTTAAAATAATTGGTATATATGTGAAATATATTTATTTCTCTTTAAAAATCAATAAAATGTTCTAATAGGTAAATTCATTGTTAAATTTCCACAGTAAAGATCTCTATTGCATTTTCACAATTTCTTACGCCAATTAAAAAAGTTTGGCCTACTGTTCCGTTTTGAAAAGCGCTCTTTTTCTGTTAAAATATTTTTTTCACACCTCGTACCAAATTAATGATCAGTATTACCAAAAGGCCCGCTTAACAGTTCTTTAAATGCCGTCTATCGTCTGTCTGCCGACCATATAAACATCTTACCTATTCAAAAAAAACCTTCAAACACTCAACCCACAGTTCCATTTGCTTACAAAAGCGTTGCAATCACTTTGCCGAAAGAGAGAATATACCCGTAAATCTTTGTTATTTTCGTTTCGAAAAAAAGAAGTGCAGAAGAAAGCCAACGAAACGCACGGCAGCAAAACTTTCGTCGTCGTTATATGCATTATGCGGAAATATAACTATTATTAATAATAGTTAAGGAGCTGCTGAGCCGTGAAGCGGATAAAACTGTTTGGATGTGTGGGGAACCCTTGGCTCATTAAGCTTAATTTGGATTTGCATACTCAAGGCTTTCAATCGGCCAAAGACAGAGTTAGGCAGCATTTCAGCCACCAGCCACCCACTTGAAACGAGATTTCAGTGGTTCGGTGGTGCACCAGTAGCCGGCTATCTCGTTCTGTGTGTGTGCGTCTCATGTTGCTGATCTTTCTGCTGCTGGTGAAATTTCATCGCGTTTCGCGCGAATGAAAGTCTGAAATTACCCGTGTGCCGCTTCTCATTCGCAGTCGGTTCGCTTCTGCTTCTGCTGCAGTTGGAGTCGCTGACTTACACACATGTCTTGCAGCTTCTTCTCTTTGATTAATATTGCGAATTGCTTTGTTCAAAAACTGCTCCACTTTGGGCCGCCGCCGCTCTTTCTTCAGTAATACAAAAAAAATCAGATATACTTTCTGTATCTATATCTCAGCTCATCTCATCTTCTGGTTATCTTAGCACGCGCGCTCTTAGCCAACTGGGTTGCATTGCTCATACGCCGTGTGGTACGCCACCACCATCACCACTACATGTCGTTTTGCTGCCCAAACATAGCGCCTAGCAATACTTTTAATTGATTCCACACAGACATTCTCATAGTGAAAGAAGCTGCACCACTTGCTGCAATAATTACTGGTTTCTCGCTCTTCAGTTGGGGCTTCTATGGCTCCATCTCCAGCAGCTCCATCTCAATCTGAAAACTGAAAACCCTGGCTCAAGACTCAACAGACTCTGCGACTTGGCGACAATTTCAAATTAACGGCAATTGTCTCGCCGCCTTGTGCAATTTTCACGCAGTTTTTCATGGCAGCGTGAAAATGTCAAACAACAATAACAAGGGGATGGATAGAAAGAAAAAAGAAAAGCGACCGAACTTTCATTGGCAGCTACAGGAGTTGTGAAAACATGATTTTCATTAGCTGCCAAGAGAAAAGAAGAAGAAGGAAGAGAACGCGAAAGAAAAATTTAATGGTAGAAGAAACAAAATTCTCTAGCTAAAAAATGGTTGTTTGCTTAGCAAAAAAACAAACTACTTAAATAAAAAAAAGTTGGAAAATATTTAAAATTGATGAAAGAATAAAATGCTTTCCTAAAAAAAGTCGGAATAACAAGATTCTATAATTAAAATGCTAACTTAGATTTTTCTTTATATAGTTAGCTCTTAAAAAAAATATCAAATAGCTTCAAAAAATATAAAAACTAATTCAAAATTGCAATCTGCTTTTACCGCAAAGTGAATTTCTCATTACCCACATGTAATTACCAAAATAATTCAATTCACTTTACTTTATCTTGCTTTACTTCCATTTGTTTTGATTTCTTTCCTTTTCACTTGGTTAGCTCTGTTAACCCTCTAATGTTCACCGTCAGCCAACTCAGCGTTTTTCGGCTTGTTGACCACAAAAACTCATTTGGCACCATCCGCTGCACGTCAAGTCACTCCCCATTCCCCAACTCAAGTTGCACCCAAAGCTCTTCATTAGGCGCAATCAAAGTCGATTCGAAATTATCATGGAAATCATGGAAAATCAGTCAAATCAATGGCCGTTTCTTCTGTTTCTTCTTTTTTTTTTGATTGAGCCGCGCATTAACTCAACGAGAGTCACTCCAAAAATCGAGCAGCACAAACGAAACATCTCAAGTAACGTACAGCGTATAAAGTATCTGCATGTGTGGCTGTAAAGAAATGAAAACCACTTTCTTTGCATGCATGCCACAAAGTACGAACACCACCAAGTGGGGCTCCTCCGCAGAGTCGAGACATTTGCTTGCACCACTGCTAGTTGCAAGTGCTGCGGTGGTGGTGGTGGTGCTGTTGCAGTGGTGATGGTGGCTCGAGGGGCAGGCAAGCGGAACAGGCCGCTCTGTGGCGACAGCCGCCGCAGCCCGAAATTGGGTCACTAATTATTTCAGAGCAAAATGCAACCGGCTTTGGCTTTGCCAGAGTCGTTGTATCGTTTTCTGCACAGAGAAAAAAGATGTCAATTTTTTTGGATTTTTTTCAAATGTTATATCTGTGGATCTTACGATTTAATATTTGTTATTCTAGATTTCGTAAGATGTTTGAAGAGTTAAATATTATTTATCAGTGGATCTGATTTAGGTTTCTATTACCCAGTTTTTTGAAGAATAGAGGGAGTTTTCATTTTTAGTTAGTTTAAAAATATCTGTAATATATCTGAAGAGAATAACTTATTGTAAATTTGTTTCAATTTATTTTACAGAATTTTTCCAAAGAGTTTTCACAGTTTTAATAATTTTTTGTTCTTTATTTGGAAATCTGTGTTGCATTTACATTTTTACTTTTGTCCTGAATTTATCCTAAATTAGTTTACCTTTATGTTTATTTGTTTTAAAACATTTGAGATTAAATAAATAATGTTGTAAAAAAGTATTTAAAATTTTAAAATTAAACCCATTTTAATGCATTTTCTCTGAGTGCTTGCAACTCTGGCTTCCACTTTAACTTCGGTTTCAAGTTGGCTTCGGCTAACGATGCGTTGCAAGTTGCAACTAGAGGATATGCCTGCAGCTCAGCGCCCCTCTCTCTCTCTGCCCCTTTCTCCGTTGATCACCTTGTCGCTTTTAGCTTTTTGCTTTCTTTCACCCTCCACTCCATCCCATTTCACCTCTTTCATCGTTCTTTCACCGTGCGTCGCTGAACTGGACCGGACAACTTGGGCAGAAAGTGCAAGCCCTTGAGTTTTTACTTTCGTTGGGTTGGCTTTGCAATGGCATTATAACGGTAACCGGTTCGGCCCATTCAATGGCATCCGATCCCAAACCGATCCGATCCCTCCCCCCTTTTTGCAATTGGAGTCGTTTTTTATTTTTATGTTGGCGGATTTCGCGTTTACCGTTAAAAGAAATGGAAAGTAAAAATGGCCAACAACGAAAAGGAACCAAAAATGGGAAGGAGAATATGGGGTTTGGGTTTTGTGAATTATGTTAATTGTCTCGTTTCTTTTATCTCTATCTGCATCTCTGATCCTGGCTAACGGCATTCCCACTAATGATCTGCAAGGGGCGACTCTTTGTAACTGTTGGGCAATTAACGGAAACGGGTAGCGTTTCAACAGGTAACGGGAATTCTTAACTCATTTTGGGGGATTTTCGGGGGAAAATTATGTGGTTATGGTTCACTGAAAACTGGGAGAAATTTTAAAGATATATAATTAAAATGTTTTTACGAAAGAGTGAATTTAAGAAAGGGGTTAATAAAATAAGTTTTTTGGTTTAAGTGATTTTTATAAAAGCCACAGAAATATTTAGTGGGTTGTACTAAAAACTTTTCTTTTGATTAAAATACTAACTTTTCCTCCAGATTAAAACTCAAAAATGCTGAGTAAGCTTTTGTAAAGACCTACGAAAAAATCAACGAAAAAGGCAAAACCCCATTTAATAGCAATTTACCAAAAATGCCATTTAGGCCGGCATTTTTTCGTTTCCTTTGCCATGATTGCAATTTCCTCAATTAGCATTTTTCACACCCCTTATCCCGCATTTCGAAGTCCACAGCCCGCATTCCGCCTTCTCTCTGGCCTTCAACCCGTTGTGTGCCGCAGTTGAGTATGCAAATTGCTCGCGAGGCCCATTTCTAAATTCACTTTCCCTATTTTGCGATAAATTGCGTTATCATATTTGTACGCACATGCGAGAGAGGCAGGCAAAAAATTTCCCAACCAAGGCGGCGGCGACCAAGTGAATGGAATGCTGTCGAAGAATGAGATATATAGAGAGGGGAGTCGCGACTGCCACTGCCACAATTTACTTTCATTTGCCACTCAGACGGCAAACACCTGGGGCAAGTAAGTCTGCGGGCGCCTTCGCCTTATCGCATTGGTTAATTGTCGCCTTGTCGCCAAAGTGGAGCAAAGAAAATTAATTGTTTGCTCTATTTTACATAATGCCGGGCGTTGTTGTTGCTGTTGGCTCTTCTTATCGGCTGCCCGGACATAAGTTGTTTAAAATAATAATGCGGGTTCGTTGCCTAAGTCTTTTGTTATTTGCCAAGTTTTTTGCTTAAGTCTTTTGTTTTTTGCAAGGTTTGGTTGTAGGTTTTTATTTAAATAAAATATTTTAATATTCAAAATAAATAAAACATATTTTCAATAAATATTCTGAAGTAAATTTAAAGATTTAAATTAATTGATTTTTAACCTGTATGAAAAAAATATTCAAAAAAAATTCACCTTTAAACCAAATAAATTCCATTTAAATTAATTTTCTGTTGTTATAAACAAAACTTTATAATTGTAATGAAAAATACATACCGAAAATGACCAATTTCAAGCGAAACAACCAAAACGATTACCGAATATGTAAACCCCCATTAAACTTATGACCAAACTGAACCCCGAAACCGATTTAATCATGCAATTAAGTTTACGAACCACTAACTGAAACAGTTACCGATGCAAATTAAAAAGTCATAGGAAGAAAATTAAATTAGTGTGGCAACACATGGGCATTTCATCAGCGAAGGAAGGCCTCTTTCAACATTCGAGCACGCTTCAGAGCTAATCGGTTTACCCCGTGTTGCCATCAGCCATCTGTTTATCTGCAAGAAAGAAGTTACTTAATAACCATAAAAAAACCCAGTTAACTTACACAAACACTCACACACATATGATCGAAAGTAAATTGCCCCTTTTACAAGAAAGAAAAAACCTTCGACGGCTGTTAACATTTTTGCGCTTTTGCTGCTTTTTCCACTCCTTCTACTTCGCCATTGTTGTTGCTCGCTGCTGCGGTGCGAACAAATTTCACTTTCACAGCATCCAAAGCTCGTGATATCGACATGTGTAGTTAATTACGCATGATCTGGAGGGGGTTCCAGGGGGGTTTATGGTTATATAGGGGGAAGCTGGGGGCCGACTTCAATTTCTATGCCACTATGGCAAATAATATCGATCGTTTACGGCCACAAAAGCCACAAGGCGGCCACAAATGACATCAAATTGAGTGGAAACGCTGGTCTTACCGTTACAATTTCGAAATGCTGCACTGCAAGAAGAGGGTTATGAAATGTTATATTTATCAACAAGTGGGATATATCCAAATAATTATTACTATCACATTTACTTTAAATGTTATTCATAGCTTAATTTTGTTTGTCTATCGGTTTTAAATAATAAATGTAATAAATATGAATACCATTGCTATCTATAAATTTGCATAAGTCTCAAATTTAAATTAAATTAATTAAACCACGTTTTTAAAACCTGAATTTTATTTATGTTGCATCTTAAATGGAAATTTAAATCCAGTTTATTAAATATGGATTTTAATGTTTTCTGTTATCAACTAATCTTTATGTGTAATTTAACACGCTTCTGTGGCAATTCAAATCCGTACCGCACATTAATAATATAAGTAAATGTGCTCTAAAAAATATATAAAAAACTGGTAGCCATAAAAATTGCTATAGAAATTGATAACAGAGATTTAATTGTTTTCGGTGTATGTAAAAGCAGCTCCACAGCATTTGCAATAGTGAAACTTTTACCGACGGCGGCAACAACCGCCACTTGGAATCGATCGACAAACAAAACAACACACAAAAAACATTCCAACGCATAAAACTCCATTCCAAGTTCTGTGTTTTGTTTGCTCTGGCAACCGCACCTCTCATTTTTCGGAAACCCATTCCATCTGGGGGATCATCTTGTCTTAGGATCAGCAATCCCATGTCAAGAGCAACAAATTTGTCAGCTACTCAATTAAGCAAATACCCCAAGACATTTATGAAGACATATAGAAACGTATTTATAAAACGCCATACTCCCCGGGGCTCCGAAAAATGCCAAAGATGAATGAAAACGAAATAAAAACGAAAAAAATAGTGAGCATAGTTTTAGTTTCGACGGGGGATTTGTGAAAGCGTTCAATTAAATTAATGGACTCTCCGAGCAGCCGTTTTGGCAAATGCCAAAACCAAAAATAAATGCAGCGAGTGCTGATAAATAATTACTTGCAATTTCGTTTTCGTTTTTAATTGACAACCGATGTCCAATATTCCTTACATGGTAATTAAATAGTACATGGGTTGTACGCCAATGAGAGTTATTATCGAATTAAAGCAATCCAAGGGGTTGAAAATGTGTGAATAAAAGCCTTATAATTTCATAAATTATAGGTAGAGTCAAGCAAATAGACTCTTGGATTTACAGGAAATGTCGTATGTGCTAATGCCTGCTATTCAAGTCGAATCCTATCCTCTGGAACTGAAACTCCATTCAAATGTCAGATGATTCCTATCGATATCCGGCTTCGGGGGGCCCGGGTCCCAAAAAGTAAGCCACGTAAATTACCGAGAATTAGAACGATCCAACAACCGCGAGTTATGTGAGTGCAGTGGTTCACCTAGTTTGCAATGGACCAGTTACCATATATCATGTACCGTCTATCGACCATCCACCATATATTTTATTTTAGAGTCACGCATTGTCATTCAATCAATCGGCGACAGTAGAGACATCGCCACCAGTCATCCAATCCAACGACTTTTCATTGCATTTTCACTTGCTTTGCTCTTTTTTCTCATGATTTAATGCTGAGATACAGATACTATAAATATATGAGTGCCGGAATGAATGAAATGAAAAATGCTGAACCCAGATCGTAAACTAATTAGCTGAAAACAAAAGTCCACAGTTGCACCTTTCGCCTGCAAATAATTGTTATAGTGTTAATTAAAAAAGAAAACAAAAAGAAAAATAAATATATGCCCTTATATGCGGCAGCTGTAAGAAGCTGAAAATAAAAGAGAGGGAGACGCAACTTCACAGCCCAAGAAAAAGAAGAAGGCGGCGGAAACTTTCACTTGCCAAACAGCCACAATAAACAATTCCATTTGGCAGTTACACATAACACAACAGCACCAACAGCAGCAACAATGAGCATTAAACAAGCTCCATCAGCTGCTGAGGAGGAAGATTTGTTAAATTTGTTGTCTTCTTTTGTTGGCGATTGAAGTCGCGCGATAAGGAATTTGTTTAGGTGCCAGCAATTTGCAAAAAAATACGACAAAAACCAACCAAATTTCGCTGCCTTTTGCTAATTGCCAAAGATTTCTAGTTTTATATGCAAATCTCTGGCCATTTCCTAGGGAAGAAAGTGGCCGAGAAAATCAAATAAAAATACCTACTCAAATAAATGAATAAAACACCGTTAATTGTGGAGAAGCGCCCAAAAAACGCAAATCAGTTGGGAATTTAATGTTAGCTTTATTTTTTCTAGTGGCCAAAAAATGGAACAGTGAAGTATTTAGTTACTGACCTAACCCATTTCTTGGCCAAACAAAAAATATAATTTTAGGAATTATAAATATTGAAAATATAATTATAAATGGAAATTTTACGAAAATTATTGAATTTTATTTGTAACTAGTGTAACATACAAAGGTTTTTTACATGTATTATTAATTATAATTAATTTTTTTATAAAATTTGAAACATGTTATCATCTTAGATACGAAATTTTTGAAAATAAATCATAATATATCTTAATAATACAAAAAAAGTAGAACACTAAATATGATTCTATAGGTTTTTTTTATTGTTCTATACATTTTATAACAAAGAATTCGAACCTATTTTTAGTAGCAAGTTGTTATCACGATGAAAATGAGAAAACCGCGATTGCATAATCCAATCAGCTGTAGGGTCACTGCTACTACAACCCCAACCCCCACCCACCCCCTCCATTTCTCTCAAAAAAACAATCGTCAGCTAGTTTAGTGGTATCCGTTACTGTTTCAGTGGGTTAATAGTACACTTGCTCAACGCCAGCAAGCCGGTTTCCTCGGACGCTTCTCCGCGGACTTTATGGCCGCGACTTGTTAAAAACCCATTTACATGTGTTGTTTTTTATTCAAGAAGAAGGCACTATCCACCATGTGTAAAAGTAAAAACTGCCAGCCCAAGACTGACTCCCAAGTTAGAGCCAAATAAAAAGAAGGAGAAAAATAAAAAAAAATAAATATAAGCGGGAGAGCAAGTGAAATGCGTTCGAGGCTGAGAAGCCGAAGTCGAAGCCGCTTACTTTTCCATCGCAGCGGCGGCTGTTTGGCTGTGTGAAAGCTGTCAGTCTTCGGTCTTCCAGTCTTCAGTCTTCCAGTCTTCAGTCTTTATCGGCACTCGAACGCAGGCGCACCGTCGCAATCGCAGAAAAACCAAGATTCGAGCTCCAAAATCACTGTTAGCCGCTCTTTTGGGCCACTGTTAAGCTTGCATGGCCAAGTCATGCTAGAGTGCGACTGTTAAACGTAAGGAAAAAACCGTCGAAAATTAATGGCTGATCGTAAAGTGCAGCCACTGTGTGGAAAAGCCGTCGGCTGCGTTGGCGTTTTAAACTCGGATTCGGCATCGGATTCGTAGCTTGGATTTGAAGAAGCTAAAAAGCTAAAAAGCCAAGAGTTGTCTTCGCCCGAGTACTGTTATAGTGAAAATAGAAAGTGGTTCCTGTTTGGTGCGCGCGCGAGTTTTCATTTGCTTTACATAAAATGCAGTTTTCTTTCTCCGATGCGCGTGTATTATATTAACTGACACTATAAGACGGGCAAACGGGCAATTGTGGCTATTAATTTGGCTGCTTAATGACGGCCATAAAGTCTAATAGTACAAACATACGGGGTGATTTTGTTTGAGCATTATTATTAGCGTGAGATAAGCAGAAAAGCATTTTGGATAACAGTGTTTTTTAACGGTTTATAAAGCAAGTGGTAATAACAGTGTGTTTACAGGCTCTGTTATCCAAATGGTTTTCAGCATTTGGATAACAGTGGTTTCTAACGGTTTACAACTAGTGTTAATTAACAGCGTGCTTACAGCATCTGTAAAGATGGCCTCAAAAATAAATATTCGTATGCAAATCCGCCGCATTGTTTACCCTTGTTCCCCTTTCTTTTCTTGCAGACGCCACACACCAAAAAAAACAGAGAAGAGTAGAGAAGAAAGCAGCAGAGTAGCCGAGGCCGAGTAGCGAAATCCAAAAATCCACATTTTTGGTTTCCGAGGCGAACAATTTGGAATTTCAATTTCAAGCCAAATACCAAACACACAGAACCAGATCAAAATGGGACACCTGACGCGACGCAGCAGCAGCCTAATGGCCATAGTCCTATGCCTGGTACTCAACACAAAGGTGAGTAATATATCATAAATTGTATGCGAGCCATAAGATCCATAAGAAAGTGTGGGCCAGCTCATTTCAATTAGGAAGCGTACAGTTAGAAGATAGATCTCTGTGGTATATGGCCCACTTTACAGCAGCAGCAGCAGCTCATTTCGTATGCAGACCCAACCTCTAGCGGATCTCTTCACTTTCGACTCAAAGATAGACTACCGTTCGATCAATAGCGATTCGAATGCAAATCACTTGGAGTGCCTATTGACGGATTGAGTTGGTTGGGTTGGTTGGTTAGAAAACTCTATAGTATGCATATATAGCGGATTGCTGGCAGATCAATATCAATATCGAAGCGAGAGAGTCTGGACAGCCAGTGAGGAATGGCGGAAAATATAACAACTAAACGGCACTTTGCTAATCATTGCAATTAGAGTTGGAAAATTAACTGAGAGAGAGAAAAGAAGGGAGATATGTAGAAGAAAAGAGGGGGAAAACATTTATCAAAGATTTATATTTTTACAGTGAGTGAGTTAACAGAAGCTTAACAGAGAGTTTTTAGTTTATTAGGTATTTAAATATTATTAGTATTAAATTACATTATTAAAATATTTTGGGACATATATAATGCAAATATTTTTATATGGTTTTTTCTATCAATTTTAATACCAAGATATTTTTCACGATAGGAATAATCCCATTTGCTTTTAAAAAATGTAAAATCTAGCCAAGATGCTTTAATTAGAAGTAAAAAAAAATATTTAACTCGTTTTTTAATAGCTTAGTAAAAATATTTTATTTGGGAAAATAAACAAAAACACTTTCTTAAAATTAATCAGATCGTTTTTTTTTACGACAAAGAAACTTTACACCAGAGGCTTATCCCCGAAAGCTCTATAGTCGGTTTTTCTATTAATCAAGCTCTAAAAATATAGTTAAATGATTTTCTAAGCCTAAATACCACCTAAAATTCAATAGTGCCTCGGACTGTCAATCAATATTAGAAAAGGCCATAAATTTGTTCGATTTCTTGGGGCTGCCGCACGCTTTCGATTGATAAGCATGGCCAAGACAAACTGTTTTTCTCCCCTTGGAAAAAAAAGATCCAGCCTTCAGTGGGTTATTTAAAGCGCATCAATCACTGGAGGCCGATGGAAAACATACATATACACACATCGCTTTTAGCAGAGTTTAGCCGATGCAATCACGTCAAGGAAAACTCAAACTCAAACTGGCCAGAAGAAAACTGTTGGCCATTCGAGTATCCAAGTATCTGAGTATCGCATCCAACTAACCAACTGCGTGTCTGGGTGCTGAGGCGGCGAAGAAATTGCAGTTATGCTCTGATTTGTACCAGTTTTGACTTTCTTGTTTATGGCGCATTAATTCACAGAGATTGCTTTATTATTTATTTATTGTCAGTTTTCTTTCTCCAAAGCGAAGAAAAAAGAGAGAAGAAAAATTACCAATGCCATCGAGGAGGCTGCGAGCCAAGCGATCCAATCGATCGATCGATGTGTTTATATTGATATCTCCATCGCCCAAGTGCGTGGAATGTCCAAAAAAAGAAAAGAGTCGAGACGTTATTTTATTTTCTGGCTTTTCGTTAGGCACGTTATTGCTTCTTTGTTGGCCAGCTCGTTTTCCTTTGGTCATTTCACTTTCAAAATCATCTCACGACATCTAAACGCGTGGTCACCAGCCACCGAAAGCCAAGAAAAAATAATAAATAAATAAACACAGGACAAACAACCTACAGAAAAATCCACACCGTCATCGAGTTGGATTTAACTTTCGGTTTTCGTGGGGGCCCCTTTCGGAGACTTTTGAGCTACATCCGCTTCCCGTGTGCAGCCAGAAACCCATAAAATTATGAACCAGATGTGAAAGAAAAAAGAAAGAAAGTGACAAAAGCCCAGCGGAGGGCGGAGGGCGTGGCTTTTTCTCTGTTTCTCTTACGCAATGGATTAAACTCATATTTTTTTCTTATAAGCGTGCCGCTCTGGCAACCATTTAATTTCAAAATACTCCAGCTGTCGTGTAATTTTCAACGCTTCGCATCGCCTCTTTCCAAATGTCGTCGAGAGTGATTTCGGTTTCGGGCTGAGATGATTGCCATTGCATAACCCAAATCCAATTATATGACGGAATAAGATAGCGTAAAGCTATCTTACCCGAAAACCAGAGCTTTCCGCAATCCTGTGATCTGAGCCATAACCTAGGTTGTAATCGAAACATTTATGAGGGTGGCATTGTATTTTGACATCACTTTTCGTTGAACGAGATCCCGAATTATGAAAGAAAAGTGGGTTTCTTATGAAGGCATTTTAAAATTTAAGAAATTAAAATTATATAGTGCTTTAAATAAGGGAATTAGTCCGTTTTTAATACTAGATATTATTCTAGATATTATTTTTTGGGAATAATTCCATTATTTAAAATATTAAATAATATTTTGGGAATAATTCTATCATTATGAATCATCTTGAATTTAATAATTTTTTCAGGAAGATACGATAAATATTTATATTATGCTTAGTTATTCAAAGGCTTAAAGAAAAAATCAAATAAATTTCATACTAAAAAGGTTTATAAGGCAATATATGCCACACTGCGTATGCGTGATATCCTTCACATATCACTCGAAGACATATAACTCATACGCACTGTGGAAGGATTTTCTGCTACTTTGTACTTTTCTTAAAATATAATAACTAAACTTTTTTTTATTTTATTTTTATTAATTATTTCTAATAGTTTTTCCATTTACTAATAAATTTTCCCCATTTTTCTTTCCACAGCACCTTTCAGTGCATGGCGATGCCTCGCACATTGAGTCCGCCGCCCTGCCATTGGAACACAGGGCCGGCTATGGTCCGCCGGCGCCCATTTACGGGGCGCCCCAGGGTCCCCTGAGCACCGGAGCCACCAACGACGTTTCGGAGGAGGCTTGGCCGCTGGCCAGCACCAACGACAGTCCGCAAATCAAGCACCTGCAGGTGCAGTGCGAGAAGACCCACATGCGGGTGAACATCGAGTTCGACCGGCCCTTCTACGGCATGATCTTCTCCAAGGGATTCTACAGTGATCCCCATTGTGTGCACTTGAAGCCCGGAACTGGCCATCTGAGTGCCACCTTCGAGATCTTCCTGAACAGTTGTGGAATGACCAGCTCCGCTAATCACAATGCCGCTGGCTATGGAGCACCAACGCCGTCGGGCAGCTATGTGGAGAACACCATCATCATTCAGTACGATCCGTATGTGCAGGAGGTTTGGGATCAGGCCCGCAAGCTGCGCTGCACCTGGTACGATTTCTACGAGAAGGCCGTTACCTTCAGGCCCTTCCAGGTGGACATGCTGCATGCGGTGACCGCCAACTTCCTGGGCGACAACCTCCAGTGCTGGATGCAAATCCAGGTGGGCAAGGGCCCCTGGGCCTCCGAGGTCTCGGGCATCGTGAAGATTGGACAGACAATGACCATGGTGCTGGCCATCAAGGATGATGAGAACAAGTTCGATATGCTGGTGAGGAATTGCGTGGCCCATGATGGCAAGAGGGCTCCCATTCAGTTGGTGGATCAGAATGGCTGCGTTGTGAGGCCCAAGATCATGAGCAAATTCCAGAAGATCAAGAACTTTGGACCTTCGGCTTCCGTTGTGAGCTTTGCCTACTTCCAGGCCTTCAAGTTCCCCGACTCGATGAACGTGCACTTCCAGTGCGTCATCCAGGTTTGCCGGTACAACTGCCCGGAGCCCAAGTGCGGTCCTGGTTTGCCGGGTGGCGAGTATGGTCTGCCTCAGATCGGAGGTCCCAATGGTTTGTCCGAGGAGTATGGTCCTCCAGAGACCTATGATAGGAATGACTTTGCTTTGGGCGGAGGACAGGGAGTCCTGCCGCCGGCCGCCTATCCCGATCCACGTCACCCTGCCTCGGATGCCACGGGAGCTTACTCGGAGAACCAACCGGATGTGGTGCCCTCGCCCCAGGCTCAGACCTCCGCCGCAGTGCCCACTGCTGATTCGGGATCCCCTGTTTCGGGACCAGCCAGCTCCCAGAGTCCACAGCCCACGGGCAGCAATGAGCTGGGTCTGCCACCACCACCGCTGCCGGGACAGGGTGCTCAGTACAGCACAGTGAAGCGCAAGGATGACCTGAGTGCCGGCGGCAATCTGGTTTCCCTGGGAGGACGTCCTCGATCTGTAGAAGGACTAGATGATCTGCGTGGCGTTCGCAGGCGCAGGGATACCATGGACATTGTGATGAAGCCGCAGAGGATCTACAAGCGAAATGCCCAGGAGATGACGGATGTGAACACCAGCCGGATTATTCAGGTGGTTGCTCCAGGCGATGTAAACTTTGCTCTCAATAGCAACGCCAGCAATGAGACTGTGGTCATCCAGTCGGCCCGGTCGGCGGATGCGGAGACCATCTGCATGTCGGTGCCCAGCTTTGTGGGCGGACTCGTGATGCTGCTGCTCGTCCTGGCCGTCGCCTCTCTAGTCGCCGCCTTCCTCTTCGTCCGTGTGCGTCACTTCGATCGCAAGGGAGCGGGCATGGCCTATGTGAACTAAGCCGGGGAATCTCGAGGAGATCCCTCATCATCATCAATCAGCGACAAGGATCGGCGTGAACAGAAAACCAAATCAGTTTTATGTGCACTTCAAAAACAATCTCTCATCCCAACACATCAGCAATCTAAAAGAGCTTGAAAAATATCGATATTTCCGATATATTTCAAACTTCGATGTTTTCCTTGAAAATATCCATGTTATCAATACGATTGTATCGAACATATCGATATTTTTAAAGATCTACCCCCTATATCCTACATCACTATTTATTCTTCGGTTATTTATTGAGACACCCCCAAGTTTCCACTTTTACCACCTCCACGCTCTATCTTCTCTACATGTTTCCCTAGTTTTAGACGAAGCGAAATTGAATTGTCAGACTTGTTAAGTTTCAGTTATGCCTACAAAAAGGATTCGAGGCCATCTGATCGGACAGATATAGATAATCCTCGAATGTTACAATATGCAAGTTAATATCGAAAACAAAACGAAAATCATAAACGAAGTAAAGAAGCGGCAAAAATGGAAAAGCAGAAAATCGTTTACAATAAGTTAATATAGCAAATGTATATATTAAATTATTTATTTATTACTTTATTTGATAGCTGCGAAATAATAAAAAGTTTACTTTTATTAAGCACCGTGTGTTTTTAGTGGGTTCTATTATCGGGCAGGGATTGCCTTACTGATAAGGAAACGCCAACAAAGCTAATGCAAAGTTTATCAGGCTGATGAAATGTTTGGTTCGGCTTTGATAAGCCTTTGTTTTGGCCGTGACTGGAAGTTTTGCTAAAAATAAAAATAAGTTTGGTGAAAAAAATGAATAGGCTTTATATCATATGGGTTTTTAATGAGCCAAAATGATCTGAGATCCAGAAAGCTTTCACATCATCTAAAGATTACCACTATTTACTTTAAAAAACTATTATAAAGCGGTGATCAAAAGTATACTACATTCTTTGGATTGGCTTGTTAAAACTGCATTATCATTATGATATTGAGGAATAACTAGACGCGTTGCCTGTTCATTTTGCCTCAAGTGCAAAATCATCATGAATTATTACACAAAAAACATTTTTATCAGTAAAATCAAGGTATTAAATCAAGTTTAAATTAAATATTTTAATTAAAGACCTTAAAAATTAATAGAAAAATTATTTTTTTTCAAATAAAATTGCAGTAGAAGATTTAAGTAATTTATGACTGATAAGAACCTGATATCTACGTCAGAATACACCTCCAAAAGCCAAAGAAAAGCAAAAGAGATGTTCGAAAATACATGTAAATTTATTGGGAACACATATTTACATATCGATCTAATCCCTTTGAGCTTAAACACTTTAAAAACAACAGCGTTCGCAAATCCGCATCTGGAATTTATACAGATTCTTTGCACGCATCTATAATAGCCGCCTGAGCTTCGTGTCCCTGGGACATAGTATAGTACATACGAATTCATTCAAATAATATTGACTACATCTAGGTTGAACTAAAGCGATTAATTAGCACTCAAAATTGCAACAATTGATAACAATGGGTGGCGTCTGTTCTACGCAGCACGGGCGTCATTGATGGTGGAGGGCACATGGACCTCCAGACCCTCCATGTCCTTGGACAGGATGATTTGGCAGCCGAGGCGCGAGGTGTCCGTCAGTTCGTAGGCCAAATCCAGCATGTCCAGCTCCTCGTCGCCGGGCTTATCGGGCAGCTTCTCGAAGTCGGCGGTCTTGAAGATCAGGTGGCAGGTGGAGCAGGTCAGGGTGCCCTCGCAGGCGCCGAAGCCGTCCAAATCCACGCTGTTGTTGACCACCACGTCCAGCAGGGAGTCGCCCACCTTGCCCGACGTCTTGATCTTGTCCCCGTTGGCGCGCACGAAGGTTATGTTAACACTGCAAACAGAGATTGGTCAATGTTTATGTTGATTTCGGGGTGTGAAACCCTCTTTGTGAGGTGGTGGCTACTCACACATCTTTCGTTTTCAGGGCCAATCCCGCCGAGAAAGTGCGACTGATCGCAGGTGAGGATCGCAGGTTGAGGCTGCGCAGCGCCAATCGGGTGGCTGCTTTACAGGTGTTTATGACTAGCATTCTGGCGAAGATTTCTTCTTAATCCGTATCTGGAACACTGACCACACGCACCCACTCGTGTCGCTGCGATCGGTTGTTAAATAATAAGGAATCCAATTAAAATTTAGTTGAACGTGAAGTCGCAATATGACCGTGGCGGGACTTTCCAAAAAAGCTAACAAAAATAATATACAGAAAATACTAAATTCGCAAGAGCTTAGTGCTCACACAGGCCGGAGCAACTGCAAAATCATCTAATCGTATTACGTATGTTTTACTGTTACATTTTTTAATTATATTAATTAAAGGGATAATTTTGGGTTTTTTAGCTATTTTTAATTATTGTCATTTAAGTTCAATTTGCGGTATTTTAGATTGTTACTATTTTTAACTAATTGTTCGACTTTTAAAATTAGCAAATGTCTTCTTTCTTATTGTTTTCCGTCTTTCCTTACAACTCACCTGGTTAAATTGAGTGATAAGATAAACACTTTAATTAAAAATCAAACAAATCAGAAAATTAGGTATAAAAAACATGATTTTGTAGTGAACCGCTGCTGCGGCTCCAGTGTGAACACACAAAAATACTGAAATCGGGCCGCTGCAGCATGCAGTAATTACCTGTATTCCCCTGCAGACAGCCTGGCAACCCTGTGTTAGTCACAACAAAAAAACAGATAGCAGTGTAGGAATAAATTAAATTACGTTTTAAAAGCTAAGCAATGGGCGTGTTGGACAATGTTGCGAACTACTTCACAGGGGAGGCGTCCCGGAACAAGAACTCCTCCATAATTGCCGGCCTGCTGGTAGGGATACAGGAGAATACCCAGACATGAGTCGCTCACCTGACTGTGCAACTTTTTTTTCCCCCTTTAGTTTTTCGCAGGATGGTGGGTTCTAATCGATGCCATGTCCATCGATGGGAAGCACCAGATAACCACAGGACACGTCTTCATCGGGATCTTCGGGACCATCAGCTTTTGCATGGTGAACGCGGTGAAGGGGGAACATGTAAGAAGGGGGATCCAATTTTCATGGTGCCCAAGAAATGACTCACTCCTTTTGTTTACTTTTAAAGATCTCGGAGGAGAACTCCTCGGAATCCGGAGCCAGGATAGCCAAAATCTGGCTGCTGGTGGGCTTCGTCATGGGCTTTGCCTCCATCATAGCCGCCGTCTGGGTGATGATCGATGACTTCATCAACAATGGTGAGGGATTATCTGGGATTCCTTGGGTTTCATGAGGTTAATAACTCGATATCTTACAGACAAGAAGGATGGCTGGTTTGGCGTGGCCCTGCTCATGCAGAATGTCTTCATCCTGTTCGCCAGTCTGATCTACAAGTTCGGACGCAACGAGGAGGAGTGGAACGAGTAGAGGGCTTCCATCCGAAAATTCTGCACACGGGAACGCTGCTTTTAGTATCTAGACTCATACGTACATATTCAGGAGTCCCCAGGAGTTAAGGCCTCAAACCATTTTGAAAAGCATAACTTGTACATTTGTGTTTCCAAAAAGATTCCAAAGAATCGAAGAAGTACGATACGAATCCAAATGGAACGCAGACTAGGGCTAATAATCTCATTTATACTAAACACAATAAACGACAAGTCACTTGCGTAAGGTCACCGTTTGAGCAGTGGTTTATTTTCAGGCGGAGAGCGTTGTCAGTAGGACGAACAGCAGGAACTGGATCATCCAAAGCCGCCCGCCGCCCCGACTACATCTATAAGGATATAAGGATAGTGACCGGTAAGAGGAGAGACCCAAGAGCCGGTCAAACTTGTGCATCGTACGCGTCAATGGGACACTCGTGCTCGTTCTGCAGGCACCACTGCGGCTGCATGGCCTCCGCACCCAATCCATTGTCCACCAGTCGCTGGCGATGGAGCAGCAGACGCGACTCGGCCTGTCGCCATCCTCCAGCGGGATTAGACCACAAACGCTCGGCCAAAGCACTTCCTCTCGGCCAGAAGCGGTTGTCCAGCGTATGCTCATCGATCTGCTCCGACCAGATGGCTCCCTCGGCGCCCAAAACATGGTGCTCATAGTCCCCAGCAATCGACTTTAGGCTATTGTCGTACACCTTCTGCCAGCCAATATACGGCGAGCACCAGTTGTTGCCATCCGTCACCCAGCCAGCGCCGCCGCAATCCAAGTACAGAGCATCGTAGTTGGAAACTATAACCTTGTAGCCGCGCTCCAGGATCTTCTTCACCTTGGGATCGGCGCCAGTGGTCCAGATCTGAATGATGTAGCGCTCTGGGTTGAGATACTCATCGATGAAGGGCTCTTCGGTGAGTCCACTGGTCCAGAGAATGATCGGTGTCTGCGTGCCATTGGCCACCTTGTCCACGCGAGCGAGAGCCTCAGTTTGGAAGTGACCCCACAGGCGCATAAAGTCGGCGGTCTCCAGACCCCAGCCCTTCTGCTTCATCCACTTTTGGATGGGATGACTGCTGTTCCAGCAGCTGGTTGACACCTCATCGCCGCCCATGTGGAAGACATCGGGTTGGAACTGCTCGTACATGGTGCCGTAAATGTCCTCCAGCACATCGTACATCTCGTTCACCGTGGGATCCAATTGGCCACACGGTGGCTCCACGCAGAACGACTTCCATGGCTGGGCATTGAAGCAGGCGGTCATGTTCTTGTGCTGCCAACCCTCACCCACATGGGCGGGGGCATCGAACTCGGGCATCACACGGATGCCACGCACGCGCCCGAACTCCACAACCTCGGCCACAGCCCGACGCGAGTACACCTGGCGCTGGGAATAGGCTCCCAACTTGTGCAGCTCCGGGCGCTTGCGCACCTCCAGGGGGAAGCTGTGCGAGTCCGTAATGTGCCAATGGAAGGTGTTCAGCTTGACCAGGGCCATGCCCTCTAAAGGGGGAAGGAGGATAATGGTTAAACGATGGTACACAGAAAAAAAAACCGATATGAAATAGGGTTATTTCCAGGGACTGTAAATAAGCGGTATTTGAGATTTTTATTTTAAAAAGACTATTGTGATATTGTGTTTTTAACGTCAAAAAAAACGTTCTTTTTACTCTTGAAAGCAAATTAGCTGTTTTTTGTTCATGTCTATAAAGTCCATTAAAACAAGTTAAATTGTTAGTTAAAACTTGTTAAAATCTCAGTAGGCCTTTTAAAATAAAAATTTCAAATAACTGGTATTTACGGTCCCTGTTATTTCTACCTTATTTCATATCAATAAAAAGCCGATATGATTCATGTCAAATTTAAGATTCAAACATATCAACATGACATTTTATCATATCAAAAAAATACCGAATTTAGTATTTCTTGAGCAAATAATATAAAAAAAGATTAACAATATCCTTTACTCATGTCAAAATGATATGAATAACTTCATCTTTAAAAAATATCAAATGTACATATATAAACCCCTAAACCGCCCTAAACCTCCCTCAACCTCATCGAAATGCCTTACCCAACGTCCGCTTGATGGACTTCACGGAGTAGTAGTTACGCGAAGTGTCCAGGAGCAACCCACGCCACTTGTAAACCGGAGCATCGGTGATGGTGGCATTGGCAGTCACCTGAACCTCCCGGCGGATATCATCGTAGACGATCAACTGGGCCAGGGTCTCCAGGCCATGACGGGCTCCGAAATAGTTAGCTGCCGTGATGTTGGCCAGCACATGACCCGAGGCATCTGTGTCTATATCCAAAGTATAGCTCTCATCCGTATCCAGGGTGAGCCTGGCAGGAGCCGCTTCCTCCGGGGTATTGATATTAATAGACATGCGATAGCCACCGCGGGCCAGGACTTTGCGATCCGGGATCTGCGCCTCCAACATATCCATAAAGCGATCCTCGGCCGCTCGCCAGAGCTTCTCCTGCCTCGCAGTGCCATTGAGATTGAAATCGATGAAGGAGATGTCCACCTGGCGCATCAGCGTGTCCAGACGCACTGCACCCGTGGGCTGGGGCCACAGGGTGCCGATGGAGCTGCCGCAGAAGAGCCGGCAAACGGGCATGCTGATGGCCTTGGCGTAGTTCTCCTCGCTGAGCTCCACCTTCTGGCAGAGGCCACTGCGGCACTCATAGCCGTAAACCAAGTCGCTGGGTTATCAAAGAGAAAGTCAGTGATTTATATAGTATATTATATGGCTTCTTGAACCACTTACTCCGCACTGTGGGCCGTCAGGTGAGCCACCAGGGCCAGGAGCACTGCCACTCCTAGTGCAGTCCGCTTCATTTTGTCAACCTCAGCACAGAAACTCTCAAAGCCAACTGGCGAATGCTTCGGGAATTATAATTAAACAAATTGAGTATTTCAAAACAAGTTTCTGCCTTTTGCCGCCGAGCGGAGAGCTCATTGTCCGTGCCAAAGAGCCAAGTCAAGTAAACAAAGAACCGGATTTTCAGCAAGCACACTTTTGAATACCCTTTTTTTGCCAGGATTGGAAAATTTCCAGATTTGTTTTTCAACTTAGAAAAATATGTAAGTAATTGTGATTTTAATCAACTAAGACAATTATTTACCTTGATTTATTTATTTGTTTATGAGGCACTGATTTATTTATTTTGTAATAAATGCAAGATAAAATTAGAAATAAATTAAAAAATTTTAATAAAATCGTTAAATTTTCTAAAATCGAATAACTTTACAGGGAATTTCTATAAAATAAAAATATGTTTTGTTTTTAATACTTTAAATAGTCTAAGTAAAATTTCAATTGAATAACTTTTCGACAGGGGGTTATTATTAAATATAAATAATTATTTTTTGAGTACGTGTTGACCCTTAATCACATCTTATCGGAAAATCAGAAAATCGAGTATAGCAACACAGTTTAATTTCTATTTTGAGAGTGCAATTTTTAAACTATAATAAGCACTTCGTTGGTTTATAACCCCTAAAAAAGGATGCTCCAATCCGGTTTTTGGGCCCAGAAAAAAAGGCTGTAAAAATAATAGCTCACAACAATTCACCGCCGCACAAATATAAATAATTCCAAATCGATTCCAACTGAACTTGCTTGCCGTTCAATGCAGACTAAAGCTATGGCTTCCCCCTATTGCCAATTTATCTGCCCACCAGCATCGATTCTGGCCAACATTCGCACACTCACACAGTCGCTGAAAGAATGTCAAGACAAGATTACATAGTTTTGCTTTTTAATTATCTTTCCCCGGGCCGGTCGTCGTATTTTTAAGTTCAAAGCCACTGGCAGAATAGCAATCTGGTATTGTAAATCTTTCGGAATGAGTATTCGGCCACTCATTGGGACTCTCAATAAGATAAACACAAATTTATAATGCCCATTTTGGAGTGCACTTACTATACTATTGAGAGTTATTTTTATTGTCTAATCTTAAGTTATAATTCTACGTAGGATTCACGCCCTTCAGAGTTAGAGTGTTATCCTCGTAGACTTCCAGAACGTCGGCCAAATGCTCGTTGTCTCTGGGCTTCTTGAACTGCCGCTTCTTGTTGGCCGCCTTCTTGCGCTTGGGAACGGGTTTCTTCAGGCCATGATCTTGCATGGAGCGAATGCCCTGCTTTTCTAGGTACTCGTCGATCTTGGCATCGTCCATGGCATCGACCGTGGCTGAGCGCCAAAGCTTCTGGAACTCTTCGTCCACCTGAAAAGAATTTAAAAAAATTGGAATTTAATTTTTAATCCAACTTTAAATTGTGTAGAGAATTATGACGGTTTGTGGCTTAAATTCCTATAAGTAAACCTTATAAAAAATTAAAATAAATCTTAAGCGTACTTTACACTTAAAATTTTTGGCATTTTATCATAATCTTACCGAAAAATTGGCGGTCCTATCGTTGTAGAATAAAATCTTCTTTTTGTCAATGGGTCTGATAATGAATAGGATTTCAGCAGCTCGGTTTTTCAGGACCTTTTCGCAGTGCGGCAGTGATTCCTGGACATCGTCAAGTAAAATGCCACCCAGGCCCTTTAAATCGTGTTGTTTCAACAGTCGCAAAAGGGTTTTGCCATCCTTGATTTTGTAGACTGGCTTGAAACTGAACTTGGTGCCACAGGGACTGGCCTCCACTTTGGGATTATTGTGCAGAGCCTCGCTAGAAAGCCACTAAAAAATAGGAATACCATAATATCAACCAAAAGAAGTACATAGATGTAGAACTAACATTCTTAACGGACTGTCCAATATCCAGTTGGTTGGTCTCGTCCAGAATCTCCTCAATGGTCAGTGGATGATCATCGCCGTCCTGGTGGCGTGTGCGCATGAATTTCACAATCTTGGCCAGCACTCCAAAGCGGTATTGGGAGCTGCCCGACATGGTCTTGTAACTGGAAATGATTTAAGAGGTTACAACCCAATCCTGAGACAGGAAAAGTCCTATAGCAACTCACGTTGAGGCATCCAACTTGGGAGCCGTTGGAGGACGCATTTTCCGCTTGGAATCATCGCTGGGCGGCGGTGGAGCTGGTCTATCGGGCTTGGACTTCTTCTCCACGCTATTTTGAAAGGATAAATCATAGTTTTCAAGGAACCATCTTTATCGAGGGGGAAATATGGCTGCTACTCACGTGGGCGTGGCCATCGCCCTCTTCTTGAAGGCCTCGCGTTCGCGAAGCAGTGCTGGATCCATTTTGATTGTTTTTTACTCTTTATCCCTATCAAAAACTAACTTTTTGTCCCGTAAAATCAAGAATTTACAAAATCTAAACAAAATCCAACTCAGCTGTCTGTGGAACCAATATTTACCAGGGTTGCGTTTTTACAATGGAACCACTTTGGAACTAGTTCATTTTATACTCTTTAAAAGGAGTCGGTTTATTTTTAGAAGGGTAATTCATTTGTACTTTGAATATTAAAAATAAAAAACATTATTTAAACTCCTTAAATTTTTTATTATTTTCTTGTATTTTGAATGTTTTAAGTTAAAACCTATAAAATATCCAAAATACATTTTGTTACATCTCTTTTTGACTTATTTTCACCTTCATAAATTTATGCATTCCCTTCCTTTCCTCCCAAGCTTCCTTAAAATACAAAATCGCTTTTTGTTTTCCATTAAATATTATTTATTTATTGGCTTATACAGTAAAATATTGGTTAAATCTAGTATATATGAAAAGAATATCTTTCACGCACGGCTAAATCGTGAGCTTACGAGACAGAGTCAATACTCTTGGGAAATTCATTTTGCTTAAATTTCATTGCTTTGCTGGATGATCTCGTCGGAATACGTTAGTAATAGTTCAAGTTACACAGAGTTCGTTTCTGTATCACGGGTAGATTCAAAGGTCCCCTAAGCGGTATGTTTTATACGTATCTGAGTACATATATTATTTTAGCAAGCTTTGCGGTTTCGTTGGCATTCCGTTTAAAGGTCGTATAGGGTCTTTCTACGAGTGCTCTGTACGAGAGCCCCTTGAGTTATAGTCAATGGTAGTCAACGGGTGTGGTGAATTCGTTGGCTGTTTGTTCACCCGTCTCCGTTCTCCGTTCGCCGTTTCCGTTTCCGGTCTGCGTTCTGCGTACTGCGTTCTCCAGTCTTCGTGGTTCTTGTGGCATTCCGTTAAGAGAGTGTTGGTTGTTGTTTGTTTATTGTTTATTGGTTGTTGGTTGGTTGTTGCGTGATCGTTGGTGTTTGGTTGTTGTCAGTTCAACTGTTTTCATTCGGACTGTATTCTCAAGTTAGTTACGTACTCGTACATTGCGTTCTCTGTAAGTTCGCGGTTGTCAGTGGGTGGTCTGTGGAGATAGAAAGATAAAAATGGTTTGGTTTGATATCGTCGATGGCCAACCGTTGGTAAGTGAGTGTACTATTCGGTTGGTTGGTCGAACAGAACGGTCTGTACACCCAAAAGCGTTAGGCGAATGCGTTAATAGGTTTCGGTGTCGGTTTCGGAATTTGCACAACTACTTACCTCGGACCACGGCTCACAAACTCAATCCAACTATGGCTAAATTAATAGATACGGGATTTATGCTTTTTCAACTTGGTTACTTACACTCAGTTCCGCCTTAGACGTTTGCGTCCTCCATCATCGCCATCGGATCCACTGCGCTCCTCGGCCTCCATGACCTGAAAAGGGGATTGGGATTTACATTATTTAAATAAATATAATTTTTTTAAGTATTATAGGTACACACCTTAATCTTAGTACCGCATATCTCAGCCCCATTTAGGGTGTGAATGGCCATTTGGGCGCTCTCAGTCTCCGCATATTTCACATAACCGCAGTTCTTGTTGGGCAGCAGATAGACGTCAATCAGTCCCGACCAGCAGGAGAATATGTTTTTCAAGATCGAGTGCGGTAAATTCTAAAGCGATAAAACAACATAACTAATGTGCATTCGACACAGTACAGTGGTACCTACCGCTGAGAGCACAATAAACAGACGCTGGGCCACCTGGGCGTCGGGCGAGGCAAGTGGCTGTGTTGGGGGCAAAGGCACATTGCAGATGGCATCCTTTTTGGTGCGCTCTAAAATGATAAAAACCACAATACATTATAGAGAGCAATATTTTTAAAATGCATTAAAAGTCCAGCAATTTGAAGAAAGCAAAAACCAAATATAGAAGCATTTAATAAATGGCTACAGGTGATGGCGAGGCCTGTAGCCCTTAAAGGGTTTAACTCGCGTACTGTCTATGAAGGATGTGTCCATGCGAGCCGAGCTCATTCCATTGACTTTGACAATGATGCGTTCGCCCATGGGATATTCCAGGCCATGCAGTTTGTCCCTAAAGAAAAGGGGTATTAAAATCAGGTTGATAGGGGTTTCTAGGGCTGAATTTACTTGGCATAAATAGCTGCTTCCGGGTTGTCGTACACCACCAAGGCCTCATTGGTGCGCGGTCCATCTAAAAAGGGTAGAATAAAAAGTTGTAAAGGCTTTCCAGATATAAATTTGACTTTTAAACTCACGTTCCCGCATAATTTGGCAGTAATCTAGGCCGGGAATGATATCAAAGAGTCGCCACAGCTGATCCTGGTTGACGCAGTTGCTCACGTTGACCTCCAGGCAAGAGGGCTGCGCCACGGGGACATTCTGCATGCGTAGGAAGGCTGACATATCGTTGTTCTGGGAAACATTCCAATCGTTGTTGTAGCTGCCGCTTCCACCGCCTCCACTGCTTCCACCACCATTGAAATTGGAGTTGCCACGTCCCGAGCCGCTGTACAAGGGATTATCCTCGGAGGGACGACCGTACTGGTCGCGCTGTGTGCGACTGGAGCCCTTGGGCTCGGCAAAGACTGCCTTATACTTCGCAGAGCAGTTCTCAAAGGCCACGGCTGCGTAGTAAAACCTGGCAATTAATTCGGATTAGTCAGGCTCTAAAAAGAGTTAGTAACGCCACTCACTTGGTAAAGCGAACATAGCCGAAGCCCTTGGGATTGCCGTTGTTTTTCTCCTTGACAATGGTCACCGTTTCCACCTCGCCCCACTGGGCGAACTCATCGCGGATGTCCTCCTCGGTGGCCGTTTTGGGGATGACTATGAACAGTCTGACATACTTTTCCTGCTCGTTTTCCGACTTATTCGAGCCCTGATTGCGGCTGCAAAGGGGGGATAAACTTAGGATATGTTTTTAGGGGGATATATAAGGGAATCCCACTTGGCTGCCACCAGGACTTTGAGGGTGCGATCCATCTTGCCGATGGTCTTGCCGTTCATCTCCTCCTGCGCCTTGGCCGCATCCGATGTCTTGGAGAACTTCACATAGGCGATGCCCTTGTTCTCCTGCGTGTGCTTGTCCTTCACCACCCAGATGTCCTCGATTTCGCCGTACGGCGAGAAGGCCTCGCGGAAATCATCCTCGGTGTGCCCCTTGTTGCAAATGATGAACAGCCGCGACATCGGCGGATCGTCGTCGTTCGAGTACTCCTGGCCGCCGCCACGTCCTCCGCCGCTGCGAGATTGGGATCTGTAGTCCGACATGGTTCTGTACTGAATTGTGAATTCGGATTTCTGCTTTCCGCTTCTCTGGCTTTTTGCACTTCACTTTTTTCCCCTTTTTGCCGCTTGATGGCGTATACACAAAAACCGGAGGTGGGAGTTGATCGATAGAATGATGCTCTCTTATATCGATATTGGTCGATGAATCGATGTTTGGTTAAACATCGGCTGTCGAAAAAACGGTATTTTTTGAAAACGTTGACTCAGATTTTCTTCAGATTTTGAATTGAAACCTTTGAAACCTTGGATATACATAAATGGACCACATCTTATTCTAAACATGATTAATGTGCTCATGTTTATTCTTACAGTCATTCACATTTGGAAAGTTAGGAGCGAACTGAAAAGGTTTCAACGAGATGAGGAGAGGACAATACAGTGCTTTAATATTGACATTGAGACGTATGAACTAATCCATTTCCGAATTTCGTTTACTATTCAAATTCCGATTTCAGTTTTCTAATGTTTTTGCGACTCTCTGTTATCATGGGTGCGAATTTTATCACAGATGTTCTTTTTATTGGCATCCCAACCATTTTTTTAAACCGGTCTATTATTTTGTCCACTATCGTATATAAAGGGTTTTTTGATGTTATCTAATGTGTAACAATAACAAACTAATCGAGTTTTTTATAGATTTTGAATACAAACACATTATTTTTTTGCACCGTTTCAGTATTAATTTCCATTTCAAAAACTTGAAACTTTATACTTTCCCAAGTTTCGTAAAATATTTCATTTATTAGCAGATCAAACGTCAAAATCTAATAGGTTCCAACAATGGTCCGTTGTTAGCATTATAACAACGAATTGCAATAACAACTGAGCATGGAAAAAATGTCGTAGTTTCCAATCACAAGTATAGTTTTCTTTGTATAGTTGTACAGGGAATTTGTAGTAAGCAGAATATTCGTAGGTCGTAGGCCCCTAGAGTATGTTTTTATTAATAGTTTTGATAAATATTGAAGGCATTTACTATTGTAATGCACCCAATATAACCCCCAACGGAAATGTTAATAGTCGAGATTATTTTCTAGGAACTCGTTCAGTTTAGATGCAAATCATATAAAACCGAGAGCTATTTTCATCGGGACTCAGTCGAGTTTAGATCTTACATCAGAAGGTTTCTTCATATAAAATGTATCTGTATTTGAAATTGTTCATTACAATGATAATTCTAACTATTGTTAGAAATTCAACAGCTGATATTCCCAACTGTAACTATATCGATACCGTTGATATTTCGGATTCAAAAAAAGCCAACGATACTTATCTATTTAATGGCATCGAAATCAGCGGTAATATAACGAGGGAGTATAGTTATAGGGAGTTAACAGATGGATCATTAGAGCCAGTGAAACCCCATTTAAGAGCCTGTATTTGTAAACTGAAGACCTGTGTCCGAATCTGCTGTCCCCAAAAAAATATGTTGGACCAAGGAAAGTGCGATGGCACTAATGAGAAAATTAGTTTAGCGATGATAAATCTAACTTTAAATGAAGTTATTAAAATAAAACCAACTGAAATGGAGCTAAGATTGGCAACGCAGTCCAATTTTACAGATTTCCTTGGGCTAAGAGATAAGTTCCGAAGGTTCGACGAAGTGCTAAGCGTAAAAGAAGATGAGTACTCGATACTAAAGGTTTGCGCTGCGATCCGAAAACGATATCTACGATTCTAATACAAACTTTTCAGGACGGATCCATAGTTTTATACAACCATAATGAAGTCTGGACCAAAGAGGTATACTGTCTCTATTCCAAGTTGAATTCTGATTTATGGATTGCTAAGCACAAGTACAAAACCGCTCAACCGCCAGCGACCATCGAGAGTAATGGAGTTCATCAATTGACTTCAGGTTTTCAAATAATTTTTATATTTTGTATTTCCAGTCCAAGCGATATCCCTGATATTCTGTTTCGTCACGTTGTTAGTGTATTTGTTCGTAAAAAAGCTTCGGAATGTTCTTGGCAAGTGCCTTATTTCTACTTTATTCAGCTTGCTCATATATTGGCTTCTTTTCATACTGGAAGAATTGAATTTATTGAACCAAATTTGCCAATTAGCAGGTTAGTTGTTAATACTTATTTTGGATTGAATCTCAATAATGGGACAAATAACTAACATTCTTCGTTTCTTTAGCTTACAGCAGATACTTTTGCATGATATCCTGCAATCTCTGGTACTCAGTGATCAGCTTTCATTTGTGGAAATTATTGACGTCTATGAATCGTGAGGAACCTCGTTATCAGTTTGTTACCTACAGTGCCTTTGGTTGGTGTACGGCCTCTATTTCAACAGGAGTTATTTATATATTGAATCGATACTGGGAAGATCTCCATAAATGGAACTGGATGCCATTAGTTGGCTATTCTGGATGCAGTGTGAAAGGTCTGAATTAAGGAAGCACTTACCTAAACTATACTACTATATACTTCCTTTCGTCCACAGGTTGGGGCCCCTACGTCTGGATATACTTTCAGGGACCAATACTGATGCTAAACATTTTTAATGTGATCGTGTTTATTCTAACGGTCATTCATATTTGGAAAGTTAAGAGCGAGCTGAGAAAGTTTAAACAAGATGAGGAGAGGACAATACAATGCTTCGATTTTGACACTGAGACGTAAGAATTAATACATTCCAGAATTTTTTTCAGCTGGCTAATATATATACTCCAAATCTCAGTTTTCTAATGTTTTGTCGGCTCTCCGTTATCATGGGTACGAATTTGATCATAGATGCACTTTTTTTTTGGCAACCCAACAGTATTTCTGAGCCAGTCTATTATTTTTTGCACTATGCGGATCGATGTTTTGGAATTCTCGTGTTTGTGCTGCTTATTCTTAAGCGCAGCACCCTCAAACTAATCATGGAGGGGTAAGTTCTCTATGATTTAGAAAGATCTTCAAATAAACTTTGACCTCTTTCATTAGAATTCGGAAAAACCGGTAAAAACTGTTTTCCGATGCCCATTAAAAGAAACTGGATTAGTTATTAAGCTAAGGCACATAACCCTGAAATCTAAAACAAATTCTTCAACAAAATCTACTACAAGATCATTTCACTTCAAAACCGGGAAAAATCGCAGAAATATATAATGTTTATTAGCCTCTTAAAAGTACCAACCCAAGTTAGGTAATATTGACCAAATAGATCACGCCCTATGATGACAGCTGGTAAACGCCATTCTACCTGCAATCCTTCTATATTTTTACCTGAATCGCAAATTTAACTTAAAACCAACTGTCCACGCCCTCAACACCTCAGTAACAATTGGCAATTCAACATGAAATCACTTGTGAAAATCATAGTTTTTCTGTCATTTGGGCAATTAGTTTTTGCTAGCATGTCAGAAATGCAAAAGAAATCGCATACTGAAGAATTCGAGGGCATGTCAACCTTGTTCAGAGCCATGTATTCGTCGCCAAACGATGGATATACCTACGATTGGAGCGTGGTTTCGTTTTCAACTAATGGCCAACCAAATTCCGGTCTTAACTGCACTGTTTTGTATCTGGATCAGTGCACATCCTGGAATAGATGTCGACAGACCTGCCTGAAAACAGGAGCCACCAGTTACAGGTGGTTCCATGATGGCTGCTGCGAGTGCGTGGGCGAACATTGCACGAATTATGGCATCAATGAGAGCAGATGTCGACTCTGTCCTGAGCCGGGAATCGAGGATGAGGATGAGGAGGATTAAGGATTATTTTGAACTACAAATAGTACACAAAAATGAGCTTAAACATTCAAAAGTTTAAATATCAATTTATTTAACACAAATTAACGCAGGAAAAAACACCTAACGTTTCGATTTCAGATACCTTTTAGTGGTATGCCATTTTACTGAAACGCATTCAAGTTTTGGTTACTTAAAAGTTGTTCCGCTAGTCACTACCTATATAAGTTACTTCCTAATTATAAAACAAAATTGAAGCATTTACACATATTTGTTCTTAATTTTAGATGAACGTTAATAAAAAATAACTTGTACAAAATTGTTAAACTTTTTAATTGATTGTGGGCGACAGAGTGGGCTCTGCAAGTTGACGTAACAAACTTGCGCTGCGCAGGAATCCCTAGAATCTGCACGCTTATTCCCAACTTTTTAGCGTTCAAACGTTTCGTCAAATCCCACACACAACGACATCTGATTTACCTACTGTAACATGTTTTATTTCTATTAGGAACTATTGACTTTCCCTAATATTTTAAAACTATTACATTTATTTACTAATTATAAATTTCCACCTTGAAAGCCAAGTAATAATATTTAATAAAGTCAAAAAGCCCGTTAGACATTTCAAATTCGAAATGGAAGCTGCCAACAGATTTTTTACACCACTAGCGCTGCCAACCGATTTTTTACACCAGATGCACGTGCTGTCGACGCCCTGGTTGTGAAACGATTCTCCATTCCTGGTTGTTGTCATTCGAACTCCACGTTGTTTTGCATTTGCACTTCTTTTCAATTGTTTTTTAATTAGTTAAACCAAGCCAAATGGGTCGCAAGTTCCAGAATAAGAAGAAGAAGGCTGCGCCGCAGCTGGAGATAGTGCCACTGGACGAAAACCCACCACTGCCGCCACAGCGATCCTCCGATGAAGTGGTGCCCAAGAGGGCAAGTAACTGGGGCTCCTCAAGACCTACATTTAATTAACTAAAAACTCATATTAATTTACAGGAAAAGTGGGTGAACAAACAGCGCGTGTTGGTCTTCTCCGCACGCGGTATTAGCCACCGGGATCGGCACTTGATGAAGGACATCAAGACCCTGATGCCGCACCACCGGGCCGAATCGAAAATGGAGCGCTCCAAAACTCTGTCGGTGGTCAACGAAATGTGCGAGATGAAGCACTGCAACAAGGCCATGCTCTTCGAGGGTCGCCGCAAAAGGGATCTGTACATGTGGGTGTCCAATACCACCGGTTCCACTGGCCCATCGGCCAAATTCCTCGTCGAGAACATCCACACAATGGCCGAACTCAAGATGACGGGCAATTGCTTGCGAGGCTCACGGCCACTGCTCTCCTTTGACGCCAAATTCGATGAGCTGCCGCATCTGAAGCTGCTCAAGGAGCTCTTCGTTCAGACCTTTTCGGTTCCCAATCATCATCCCAAGAGCCAGCCCTTCGTCGATCATGTGTTCACCTTCACCTACCTGGATAATCGCATTTGGTTCCGGAATTTCCAGATTCTCTCCGAAGACGGTGGCCTGTCCGAGGTGGGACCGCGTTATGTTATGAATCCGGTGAAAATATTCGATGGATCGTTCACGGGGAAAACCATTTGGGAGAATCCCGACTACGTGAGTCCCGCGAAACAGCGACAGACCCTCAAGAAGGCCGCCAAGGATAAGTACGTGAACCGAGTGGAGCAGAAGGTCAAGCACGAGGCCACGCGGCCAGTCAGAGCCTACGATGGCATCGATAACGACGAGCTCTTCGAGGACGACGATCCCGTGGAGACGGCCAAGATTCTGGCTGCGATAGCCAAGAAGAAGAAGGAGGAAGATTCGAAAAAGACACCGAAATCGGCGCTGACCAAGAAGATCAAGGAGAAGCAAATGAAGGCCGTCAAGGAGGTGATCGAAAAGAAGAAGGCAAGAACCATTAAACGAGTGAAAAAGGTTTAAACACCTCTATTTTTACATTTAGATACAAAAACATTTGAACTTTATAAATACGTTTACAAACTGTGCATCCTAAGTTTTGAATATATCAAATAGACAAGATTAGTCCCACTTTTTTGTACGTCGCGACGGAGTTATATCGTATGTATATAATATATATATGTATGTATAAATATTAACATCCTAATGAGATGTGCGTTGAGTTTCGGGGGCGATTTTCTGGGATGCTGGAATACAAAAGCGAAAGCATCTAAGAGCTACTCTACTCGTCCGACATGGGAGCCACCTCGGGATCGGATTGGGGTAGTCGGGTAATACTGAATGGCTGCTTGTTGATGGGCATCATCTGAACGACCTCGATGGGCGGCTCCTCGCCAGGCTGCAGCGGTTCCTCGCCCACCAGCTTGGCCAGGTTGCTCTGCGCCCAACGACCCGAACGGCCATTTAGGGTCTTATCCTCGCAGACGCAAAGGAACAGGGTGTCCACCACCATCTGTGGAAGAATCATTATTTAGAATTGGTTATTACTTAGTCTTATCCTAAGATTCCATACCTCAAACAGCGATAGAATGATGTGAGCAATGAAGAATGAGAATATAATGATGATTATAACTGGGGCCATGTAAAAGTTTAGACCGGGCATGTCCTTGAGCAAAACGATACCAATTAGGCCGGATAGAGCGGCCACCACAACCTTTCCCAGGAAAAGGATAAAGTCGCCCACGCTGTTGATGGTGGCCACTTGCAAAACATTCGTGGCCATGGCATTCCAGGCCTAAAAAATAAAAAAGTAATTGAAATCCGGCGACAATCAAGGGATTTTCTAGTAGTAAACTTACAATGCCAGCGGCGGGACAAAAGTTAATGGACTCAATGGCCACCACAGTGTAGGCATTGTGATTCAAGAAGCGAATGAACTTCTCCAGCAGCCAGAAGCCACAAATGCAGCACTTCAAGCAGCAGGCGGCGCACTCAGAACCCTTGTCCTCGCCCTTTTTCAATCTGAAATGTCACATTTAATTAGTATAGAATGGGAAATGCTCTTAAAGAGAATCGAATTAACTTACTTGGCATACAAATACGTGAGTATCAAGCGGGGAATCTTAAAGATGGTAATGACAAAGGATCCCTTGGCCACTGTACCCAAATGATACTTAACCAACTTGCCAATGGCGTAAATCGTGGGTGTTGTTGTGGGCTTTTGGAAGTACCAAAAGGCCACAGCGGCGGCCAATGCAAACTGCTGGCAGGCAAAGATAAACTCCACTGTCCATATGAGACCCACCACGTAGATCCAGAACATACTGCGAAGGGCACCAGCATCGGCATATTCTACACGCAAATTGGCTGTTTAAAGAAAACAATAGATTAATTCTCCGGAAATAAAATTTGAACTATCTGTGGAATGCGGAATTATTTATCGTTGTATATACAATTTATATCCAAGAGTCGGTGAAGGAAAAAAACACAGAAATATGTACAGAAGAGTAAAGTTCTGTGCCCTTATCATATATCCACTTACTCATTCACCAAATCACGTTAACAAAAATACAAAAATTTAGATTATTTCGAATAGAATCCCTGCGGAAAAGAAATACATCATATGTATAAACACTTACTTCTCAGATTTGTGTTGTTGCTGGAAGCCAATAGCGCATTTGCCGGCAGGGGCTGCATGTGGGCCTTTGAGTTGTCGAACGGAGCAATGGGACTCTGGTCAGGAGAGCTGGCAGTGGCCAGGCAGATTACCACTCCCACCCAGAAGCTCAAGAAGGCGATGAGCACAAGGAAGGCCAGCAATGGGGCAATCAAAAGTCCAGGGAGATTCATCATGCACTGGCCTGCTTCCTCGAAAAGCGCCGACAAGCCGGCCAGTTTGTTCTTCAAAAAGTATATAACCACTATGAGGATTATCTGTAACAAATAGTCGAAATAAGTAACTTATATAGAGATATTTTAGAAGCTAACTAACCATAGTTATGGTGGCCAAGACAGCGAGGGTTAAAACCGCCTGCTGATTGCGCACAAACTCCTCCAGCAGGGTGTATTGTGTGTTTACTCCCGATTTGTAGCGTATATTATAGTAGGCATACCACAAAGCCACAGTTAGAGCCACGCTGGCCACTATGACCAGGACGCAGATGATCCAGGAGACGATGCGAGACAGCCAGTGCATCATGGTCACCAGAGCAATGGATATGACTAGAAAAACATACGATATTAAGAGGATATTTTTTTGGGTATTACAGCTTTCCTTACGCAAGGCCAGTCCACAGACCATGGCAATGATGTGCCAGGTGGAGTAGATGTCGCCCACGAACTGCTGGGCCACATCCCAGTTGTTGAGCATATCGTAGTAGTTCTGAACCTTCTCACCCGTGCCCTTGGGCACACAGCGATGCAGAACAGGAGCGCTGCGAAGAAGAAATGATTAATGTAAGAATTAGCATTTGATTTGGATGATATCATACCTCTCGTGAACGGGAAAAGTGGGACAGGGACCCAGGAAGTTGAAGGTCTTTTGATCATTTCCCGCCGTACTCAATTGCTGCATGTTGTAGTCATATGTGCAGAGCTGACTGCCCGTTTGGGTGTAGTATTCGAGTAGCTCACTGCCCTTTGTCATGGTTTTGGCGGGACAGGACTTGACACATATTTTCAAGGACTTTTTCAGCTCCTTCACATCGAAGTAGAAGAGCTCTGGCTTATCGAGGGTGTTCATGCCGGACAGCGGGAATCCCTGGAACTTTTCATTGTGCTTGACGCCACAGGTGTTGCCAAAGGAATCGTAGCCATTGATGATGCGCAAGGGATTGCCATAGACAAACGAAAAGATGGCTATCACGATCTGTAAAGGAAATAAAAGGTTTTTATAACTTGATGTACATAGAAAGATAGATCTTAGTCAAGGCTAGGCCAACGCCCACGACGAGTATGTCATGTCATGTCCATTGGGCATTATAATTAAATTCGCTGTGGGGAAGGGCATACCATATAGCATGCAAATTCCCGACATGGAAAAGGTTTTGAGGAGTGGCGTGTCCTGCAGGACAGCCAAAACAGCGTTTAATGATTCGATCCATGTGGGATTTATATACGGGCTTTAAGCTTTAACTCTCGAATGTTAAATCATCGCCTTCATTAGAGGAATTAACAATTCAGCTCATGAATCGCCAGCCACAAAGCGATGACGACATGAATGAGACACTTTCAAAGTAACAAGTAGCCGCCTTCCTCCCGCAAAAAGCGCTCACAAATACATTGAAAATGCGAGAGATGCGTTGCGCAGATTGATCTCTTGACTTTCACTTTCCCAATACACATATCTATATATCTTTTTATGAGTTTATCCTAAAGATTTCTTACCAAAAATAGCCAGAATATAATGTAAATGGCCAGCCAGCAGGTGTCCGTGCAGGACCGGTATTTAGGCCTATTGTCTTGCGCCTCCCCCTCGCCATCCTTGCTCTCCGCACAGCCCATTTTGCACGCGGTTTACTTAATGGGTATTATTCGGGCTTAGTTCCTCTTATCTTTTATCACTTATATCTAGTTTTTTGGTATGTTGAGCCACTTGTTTGTTAATATTTTGATTCACAACCGACGAGGCAACAACAATGCCTTCGAAACAACAACAAAAAAATCCTCGCATTCCAGGTGTGACCAGACGATGCGCAGACAGACAATGCCAACTATCTCTGGCCTACCGGAATATACTAGTATGTTGGATTATTCAAGGCGCGATATTTGAAAATGGTTCAGATCTATAAACCATAATAAATCATAAGATATATTCAGAACAAGATACGAATTTTATTATTGATCACTATCATTTACTATCAATCGATTGTCTACAATTTACTGAAAAGTAAAATATAATGTTTATAATGTTTACCTACTTTAAAAGATTTAAATACAAAATTAAATATATATAAAACATTTATATGATAAACAGGATGTTTGATTTATTATTACTTCTAATTAAAATTACAAGATTTCCCACTGTAACTTTAAGGAAACCCAGAAAAGCCAGACCATAAATAATAATAAATTATTCACATTTATTCAAAGATCGAGCTTAAACATTACATTAAATCCATAGCTAACATTAACATAAGAATCGCAATGAACTGATAAAAATAATATTCGAAAATTGTAAGATCGTATACTAAAGATTCGATACTTAGGCAATGAATGTGATGTTTGTCTTAAATACTGAGGACTGGCAGTCGCCGGAAGTGTCATTCCAAAATTGTTTTCGAATGTGTGTAAACAATTTTCGAACAAGATTTCGTTATTTGCACGATCGACCTAACTAAAGATACATTCCCTACTTATAACTAAACATATATAGAGTGGTCTAGGTCTAGACTAAATCGTAGAGTTCATAGAGAGCTAGAACTCGTTTCTCCGCTAATCTCAAAGGTGAAGCTATTTGGCCGACTCTGTGGATCACTTCTTGACCGTCACCTGGATGCCGCCCTTGACCACCGCCTCAGCGGGTGGCTGTTGGCCGAATCTCCGGCTCTGGTTGAGGTTGCTCTTGCGCCGCAGGCTGATCTTTCCGGAAGAGGGAGCAGGAGCAGGAACTGGAACTGGAGCATTGGTCGCACTCCTCGGCGTCTCCTCATCCTCGGCTGGAGGTCTATAGGTTCGTATCCCAGAGTTCGATCTCACTGGCAGCAGGGTGACCAGTCGGTGGACACTGGGTTCCGTGCTGCTAACAGCAAACTGCGAGATCTTGAGCAAATCTTCGTAGTTTAGGGGGTCTACCACCTCCACTTCCGCCTCGCCAATCACGGGAATCGCAGCTCCTAGGACTTCAGAGGACCCATCCTCTAGAAAACTGGACATAGGCTTGATGAAGGGCTCCCTCACCACAGGTAAAATAGATTCTGGGATGAGTAATGGGACCTCTGTTGTTGTAGAGGTAGAAATGGGTCTTTTTACATCCTGCTTGTTCAGTTTGCTCTGCGAAAAGGGCGGAAACTTGTTGGGAACACTGGGTGTGATGCCCAACTTGGAGGCCAGTGTATCAAAGATCAATGAGATATCCTGAATATTGCTAGCATTATTGATCCTCGTCTTGATATCATTGAGGGTCAGGTTCTCCGACTTGTCTATGTCCTCGGAGACCCAAGCCTGCAGGGTCTGGTTGAAGACCTTCCTCATATTCGAATTGTGTCCAAATCCCTGGGCCGAAGAGCTGTTCACAAACTCCCATTTGGAGTGGGAGGGAAACAAATTGGAGTCGTCCATCATGGTGGGTCTTTCGCTGGTGGTGCGAATGCGATTTCTTTTGGTGGTTCGGGGCTCTTCCGTTGTAGTTGTAGTACCTAAAGTAGTTGTAGTTGGTGTTGTAGTCGTTGTGGTAGAATCCTTTTCGAAAGTTTCATTGGAAAGAATCGAAGAAGCGGTGTTTCTCTGCAGAATGAGCTCCTTGAGATTCAAAAAGTTGGGTTTCGAGTGGCTCACAGTGGGTGTTTTTAGTGTTTCTTCTTCCTCTGACTCTATCCTGGATTCCAGCTTATCTTCTATGGGTTTTTTACTAGCGGTGGTATTATCCTCCTTGGGCAGATTAAGTAGCTCCATGAAGAATTCTCCTATGGTATCGGCCAGAACAGAATTATCTGTTGGTTTCAGTGAGGGTAAAGCTGGAGTTTTGGTTGGCTTGGGTGGAGAATTAACTGGGGTCTTTGGGGTTGAGGTGGTGACCTCCACTTTCTCCTGTTTAATCTCTTGCTTGGTGGTAATCTCAAGTTGCTCTTTCTTCTCATCCTTCTTCTCTTGAGCTTCCTTAGTTTGATTCACTTCCTTTATTAGCTGATCCAGTGGTTCCTTCTTTTCCAGCTTCTCCTGCGGCTTCTTGGCAATGACTCCACCGCCCAAATGCTCGAATCTCTCGTTGCTGGCATCCAAATTAAAGGGCAGCTTCTCCCCACTTACCATCGTAGCATCAATGGGTTTAAAAGGGGGTATGATAACATCATCAATGAGGGGAACGGGCAGCGGATGTGGTTCCACGAGGGCTCCACCCAAACGTTCGATATTCTCAGTGCCCGGCATAAAGATGGGACTGCCAAAGTTGTGGTAGAAAAGCATGTCCTGCTCCTGCTGATGCTGTGGGGGATTGGGTTTCGTCTCCTGTACCCTTAATCCCGGATTGAGGAACCCCAGACTATAGGGATCTATGGTAACTGGCGCCACAGCTGCCGTGGGTGGAGTGGGATTGTCTCCAATGAAGGGCAGCTCGAACTCATCGATTCTCCTCTGTGGTATGTGATTCACAGTGGGCGTGGTTCCACCGGGAAGAGTCTTTGTGGGAAAAGCTGGCGGTGGTCCAGGCAGTAACTCCGGTACCTCACGATGCATTGGTCTCCAGGGTTGAGTGTCCAAAATGGGAAAGGTGGTGAACAGATTGGCATCCAATTTGGGCAGGGATCCTCCTTGATTTGGTGAAGGTGTGGTTACAGATGGATAGGTGAAAGTAGTGGTGCTAGTTGTAGTGGTTTCTCTAGTGGTGCTAGGTGGTGGAGGTTGGGTGGTTGTTGAAGTACTACTAGTAGTAGTGGGTGCCTCCGTTGTTGTCGTAGTTGTTGTGGGTTTGGGAGTACTAGTAGTAGTGGTAGTTTTCCTAGTAGTAGAAGTAGTGGTTCTCTTTGTCGTCGTTGTGGTTGCCTTGGTGGGTTTAGTTGTTGCTCTAGTTGTGCTCATTGGACCTCCAGTGGGCACCTGTTGTGGCAGCACCGTCGTTAGCTTCTCAATTCCCGGCTTTTTAGGCTTAACCCTCAGCGAAAAAGGGGTAACCGCAATGGCCTTGGGTGGCAAGGTGCTACTACTGCTACTAGTACTAATCGATTGATAGGCCCGAGTGGGCGGTGTCTTCTTCCTGGCAATATCCGCATCCGTCTTGGTGATCTCGAAGGAACCCTCGAAGGATCCCTGGATAACCGGAGCATTCTCCACATCGATATCGGGCTCTTCATCCGCCGAATGACTGCGCACTAGGGGATTCTTCGGCTTGGGCGTGGTATTACCACCTCCCAAAGGTTTTGGATAAACTGCAGCCGGTGAAGGTGGCGTACTGCCCTTCTTCATGAGACGCTTTTCCAACTGGGTTTGACTAGTGGGCACCGTTTGCTGTTGATTAAGTGTAAGTTTTAGAGGAATTCTTACTTGGGGTAGAGTCTTTACTTACGGCTTCCTTTAATATAGCTGCTGAACGCACCACCTGCTCATCCATAATGCGCTTGATCTCCACCGATTCTGTGTCCAAACGCAATGAGCGATATAGGGACTTGGTGGCAGAGGTTTCCAGGAACAGGGATTCCTTGATGTACTCTTCTACACTCAGAATGTTTCTGTAAAATTAAATAATAATAATAAAATAATTAAATAATTATATATCAAAGATAACTTACTGTGGCAGTTTGCGGACATCGAGAAACACCCGGAATGAGACCTTTATCAGTGGACCCTCTCCAAAGCCCCAGACATCTGTCCTTAGTGGTTGCAAACCATTATCCATCATGGAACGCTCCACGAACCTCTTGTAGAAATCAATCTTTTGCTTGTAGGTGGTCGTATGGTTGTATTTCAGACCCGTGGAGAACAAATCTCCTTTGGCAATGCGGAAGGAACCCTCAAAACCCATAACAGCTGTAAGAAATATCAGACTTTATTAGTAAGCCAAAGTATACATCATATCATCTATAAACTTACGATCCTCCAGATTGGTTTTAATAGAGCTAAAGTAGAAGGCCAATCCTGCAATGGAAATAACGGCCAGCAGGACAATAAACGCCGCCGTGGTCAGGATAATGCTAAAGGATCGGTTCTTGGGGTATTGCGTGTGATTCGTCTTGGCCGAAAAGGTGGATGGTGCAATGTTCCTGCCATCCCGCCAAATGCCCCACGTATTGTAGCCATACTGACTGTTCAAACTGTGCTCATTTGTGTACGAGGGCTGCTTGTTCATGTGATAGTACGCCCCCAGCTGGGACCTCCGGCCAACTGTGTTCTGGTAGGTATAATCCGCACCGTTCTGTTCGGAAGAATGAAAGAGGGAAAGAAGATGTCAGTGGGTTTCAGAACTATGCCATCCCAATCGATCCCGATTAGGCCACTAATCTAAGATAATTAGCCGCCAACTTTCTCGACCCTTTGGCCACTTTCTATCGCGAGTTGCGACTCCCCAGGTACCCCAATCTAGATGACGGAAGTTGGTCTCTAACGGCCCCACTTTGGACTCAATTTGCGCTATCACGAAGAACCGCAAGTTCCCCCCAAACTTTCCCAGCGTTATGTCAGTCTAAGAATCCAAATCTCTATCGCCGCTGAGCACTTGTCATGATTTGTTAATGCATCTCATTAACGGCGCTGGGAAAACGCATTTAATTAGCCAGGGTTGTGGAGACTATCAAGTGGTATGGAGTCATTGCACCTGGTCAGAGTCTCAGACTCTGGAATCTAACTTCCGCAGGTTCCTAGTTTCACACTTGAAATCAGCTAGTTAGCACTTCTAATTATTTTGTTCTTTTTTGTTAGATTCACAATATTTCTCCATTAAAATAATACTTCATTATCTGATCAACGTATGATTTTTCTTCAAGTGCTTTTATTACGAATGCCATAAACAAGTTTTTTGCTTAAGTCTTTTGATTTGGCATTGACATTGATATTGAAAAAGTGTGACAGTTAATTATATGGCATTGATTTCGACTTAAACGGTTTATTCAAGATAATATTTCTGATATTTAACTGACTTTTATTTATAAATTCAATATAATCTAAAAGCAAATTGATGAGTTGATTTGTATTATTACAACAAGTTTTTTTTCTTAAGTCTTTTGATTTTAGCTAAGACACGAACCTTAAAAATTCTGATAATATAGAAAAACATGAAAAATTCCCAGATTAAATCAAATTATTGATCGGAAATAACAGTTCTTCGTTTTTCACGCATTTCAAAGAACCCAAACTTCACCTTTAATTACAAAGTATCAATGATTTATGTTCTGAACACCCATGGGTTATTATCTCGACCTCCGCTGTAAAGTGCATTTGCTCGAGAAGATCCGAGGAGATCCGAGTAGATCCCCAAAGGGGCCTATGGGAAAGTTTGATTGTTTCTTGATTACCATTTAACATTCGTTAGCTGCAGGGCATTTCCCTTAGTTCCTCTCTTTCACCGGGGGAAACTCCCTTCCCTTCCGCTGGCTTATTTCTCCCTGCTTTAAAAACTCAGCTGGCCAAATTGCCGTCTTCTTTGGCGTTCTCTTCGGCGACTCTTCGCTGCCTCTTCTTTCTTTCTTTGCCAGCCAGAGAAAGTCATTCACCTTTTAGAACGTTCTTCTGTCGTGTTTGGCTCGCTAGTTACTCGTACCTATGTATCGTTTTTTTTCAGACTCTCGAGTTTGTTGGTGAATGAGGAATGCAAACAGCTCGATTCCGAGACTTGGGTCCCAAACAAACAGGCAAATGAATAAATAAATATGCATGCTGCGTTCTTTGTGGCAGATAAAGAAAAAAAATAGAACTTGAGTTGATGTAACAATTCTATTGACAAAGAGATTTTTGGGGGACGATAAATGGTCTCAATTCTATTCTCAAAAAAATGCTAATCAAATTCCCCCTGCTTTATATAACTGTTAAACCTTTTGTCTACGCAAGTGATAAACGATTAGGGATTACTACTCACCATTTGCCGACATGTCTGCGCCCTGTATATATCACTCACGCCGGATAAACTCTGGAAGTACTTCTTTGTCCCATAGACGGTGTCCATTTTTCCACCGTTACAATTCTGGAAAGATACAAAAAAAGAAACAGATTTTCGGGTTAGCTATTGTTAGCGGTTTTCTTCACTTTCATTCGAATGGGGGGATCTTTGCTTTCTTTTGTGGGGACCTGAGTGATCTGAGATCCCGGGATCTCTTGGGCTTCGTGAAAAAGCCACTACTAATGGGCCAGCATGCCGGAGAACCGGCTAATCCTGTTTGCCAGCCCATTAGCCAAACGAAAATTCTCACTTTTCGCCAGGGAAAAGAGGAAAAGAACAGTGCACAATTTACCATGAGATATGCATGCCGTTAACCGGTTTGATTTGCATTTTCCTCAAAAGTACTCAAAAGTATTCAAAGGAGTAGGTTTTACACGAGGAAAAATCATTGAAATCGAATAGAAAAATTTCTTATAATTATATTCCTAACTAATCTTATGAAGAAACTTATGGGAGCCTTATTTAACAAATGAAGACATTTCCCATGCTTATAAAAATTCCAGCCAAAACTTCCACCTTCTCAATGAAAGAAGGCATCACATAAATTTCCTAATTAATTGAACTGGCCGAAAAGTGAAGACCTCTTCGTTGACCAGTCATAAAAAGCGAAAGCTCTCCGTGTTATAAACAACAAATTTAATTAGAGAATTCCCCCAACACTCGCTGATACGCTCAATGGCTGAGCCCTACAAATTTGGAATTTTCACTTCATGGGAAGCTCTCGGCTCCTCCAGCATAAAGAAAAGAACCCACTCCGAATGGCTTAAGTACACAGCAGATGGGCAGAGTTGGGCGATGGAGGAGTGGGCTTTGGGTAGGGAAACCAGTTCTCCACATCTCCAACTCCACATCCAAGATGGGGTTATGGCTTGTTCCGCCGTCATATATACACATGTAAGATCTCGGTATTTATAAAGCCACAATGTATGGTTTAGTTGTACATGTGCAATCAAAATCAAAAGCAAAGTTCACTCGGCTCAGAGAAACGTGTGTGTAAAAATAGTTTTTTTTTCCGCGGGCAGAAACTCTGATGGTTGCTTGGTTGGATGCTCTTTGGATGGATGATCAAGGGGTCTGGGTTTTTGAGCTGGCAAAAGTAAAAGTTCTGTTATTTTTAGGAATGTCTTGATGATGTTTTTTTTCGGCTGGCTGAGAGAAACTAATTTCGATACTTTGAATAATAATCCGGTCTGCAGAAGCCGCATTGTTGGGTCATCACAAATCGAACACAGATTTAATGGAGGGGATTATGCAAAATGGTTTATTTATGGGGTTTGGGAAAAGTCTTTTGCTATAAATGTGCTATAAATTTGCTATAAATTGTAAAACCACATTACTTTTTAATTGAGTTTCATTTATAACTAAATTTATAACTTGATTTATAAGAAATAAATCTTGTTTTTATTTCCCAAGTGAGTAATTGTCGAACCCCCATAAATCTTTGTATCTTCATTGGTATTCCTTTCCTGGTAAACCCACCCATTAACTGTAAAACGCAGGTCCGGAATCGGAATCTCTGTCATCGCCGCCACTTCCCATTGAAATGGAACGGAAACCCATTTGCCTAATAAAAAGACCGCCAAAAACGCGCTCAAACTGGCAGAAAAAAAGAGGCAAATTGAAGAACCAGTGCAATTAGAATTGAGCTACACATGTTCAGATTTGTAGGTAGACGTTTGTATATGGCTGGGCTGCTCCAGGGGGAATTTTCAGGTACACTTAGTTACCCTCCACCCAAGACAGTTAGAACGCTTGGGGAGCCATCGGCATCGTCATCGTCATCGCCATGGCCAAAGCCATAGCCACCAGCTTTTGACCTAGATGCGCATGCGCGGAGCCACGAGGAATGGATTCGAGGGGTTTTCGAGGGGGTACGAGGTGGGTAAAGCACGGAGACGGCCAAAACCAAAACTGGTAACTTGCGCTCGTCTCCCAGTATGTACTTACAATTGCGGTCAAAATAATGAATGTATTTTCCATTTTTAAAATATAAAGATAACATTTTATGAAATCGATGATATTTGATTTTTTGGATAGAACCTTTTTTGTTCATTAAGGTTTTTTAAAATATTTGATTTCTATTTTCTATTTCTATTTTGTTTTACAAAAAATGTAACTTTAAAATGTATTTTACCCTTAATTCTTTATATATGTTATTCTATTAAAATTGAGTATTATTTTGTGTTAAATATTACTTAAAATTTTTTTTAATAAATATTTTAGAATCATTAAACAAATAATATAAAGTTAACTTCCTATGTTAAAAACAAAAAAAATTTTAAAATAGAATAAGTAATTTCAGTGCCATTATCTTGACCTCAGTTGTAGTTACTTTGCTGTGTTTTGGAGAAAGAAAGAATAAATTGACTTGCGTTTGAGCCGCGTGAAAAAAGTTAACGAAAAGTACAGAAATAAAACAAAAATAATACTGGCACAGAGTTGGTTTTTTCTTTCGATTTAGGCATTAAGTATTAAGACGTCGCCGGCCACGCATAAGTTGATTAAATTTCTCGCATTAGCCGATTTTCTCTATCGGTGAAATTGCTAGACGAAAAAGCGTCAAAGAATGATTGATGAGAATTTGATCTCGAAACTCAGACAGTTGTCGGTCTATAGTGTATACTACCTACGTATTTATAGCTATATAGTGTATACTACCTACGTATTTATAGCTGGAAAATGTCTAACAGATAATTTATAATCACAATTTAACTCCTCAATACTAAATGAAAAATCCTAAAATTTCATTCATACATATCGTTGAGAACAAATTTAAATAAGTAAATTGATGATGATTGTTTTTTTGATTAGCATAAATCTATAAGGCGATTAAAATTTGTATGATTTTTAATTTTTTTAAATTATTGCAAGCAATAATAAAATAATAAAAATAATAATTTTCTCTATCGGTGAAATTAATTGACAAAAAAGTGTCAAATAATGATTGATGATAATTTTATCTGCAAATTTAGACAGTTGGAATACAAAAAAATGCCTAACGGAAGTCGGCCATTAACCCGCTGGCACGTCTGCATATATACGTATATATATATTCATTGACCGATATCTCGGCCAAATGCGTTGGCATTTGCTATGCGATTTTCGGCCAGATTAAGAGATTCCCAGCCACTTTCAATCATTATAGCCATAGCCTCGCCGACAAAGTGACGAAGAAAGTGAAATGTGACAGGTGATTTCTGGGGGGCGAGGCTTTTATTTTCATTTTACAGGTGAGGCATCGATGTCAATGGATGCTTATCAGAAAACGACGGTGAAATGGAAAGTTCATTTGGTAAAGCTGCCGAAAACTAGAGGAACTCTGTCCATTGAATCATCCGAACAATGCAGCATTTTTGATTATTTTGTTTGACTTTGGAAAGTGGTGGTCAAGTGATTTTTTTCAGCCTCATTATAGAGATGTTCGCAAACCGCTAGCCATATGTCATAATTGATGCCTCAATTTAGCTGGGCAGTGTGCAAATTTATGCAATCTTCTTTCTTTGCTTTCCTTTCCCAAAAGAAAGGCAGAGAAGAGCGCAAATGGAAAATCAGATAACTAGTCTAATGTAAACAGAACGGACGGTAGAAATTCGTTATGAAATTCGGTGAAAATATAATGAAGTAATTATATCAGCCATCAAATGATAATAATACCATCTATTAATAGAAACAAAATAAATAAAAAACGTATTTTATAGGTAAATAATAATAACAGATCTTAAAAAAATAATAATACAATTTTTGTAGATTTTTTTAAAGTAACATAAGATAATATAGATAATATTATAACTTTTTACTTATGATAATAATATCCGACAATAGAATATAAACCAAAATTGTGCCAAATAATTAAGATTTAATTTTCTCTTTCCGGAAAGCCCTATAAAACCCATCCGATAAGAAGACTAAGCCCAACAAAACCCGCTCATTTTCACCCGATATCCACTGTTCACCCCGGAGAAACAATGAATGAACAAAGTAACGTTGCCGCTAATTGTATAATAAATTAATTAAATTGTTTATGGCCATTAGGAAATGAATATGTATGCGTTCGAGAGAGCAATCTGTGCAGCATTTGCAGTTTCGTAATCGCTCTAACGGCGCCAGCTAGCAAGGTCTTACTGGAGCATAACCACTTTATGAAGATGGGGGAAGGAAAATACCATGCTAGTATACCTCTTGTACCCAGAACCACTCGGCATACATACAATGTAAAGCTCTTTGCTCTTTGCGGAACTAAAAGTGCATTTCATTTCTATGACAAACAGAGGGGAAAAGTTGACAAGCAGGAAAAGAACGAAAAGAATAAAAATATATTATAACATGCGAAGTGTGTGGATAGTGAAGAGAGTGTTGGGAATAGTCATTAAAAGGTTTTACCGTTACACCCTAACCAACGACCAAACTCTATAGTAATTAAAAACAAACAAATTCGCCAAGTCTTGAGAATTATTCGGGAACTTGATTACTCACTGTCGTAGAACTTTGGGTGCCAACTGTACAGGGCGCCCCATCGAAGGTGAAAAGTGTCAAGTCAGTTGGAAAGAACCGTTGGGCTGAGGTAACAGTATTAACAACAGTGCTAAATGATAGTTGACTTGTCAGTTGGGATGGGAAGTTTTCTTTATAGCGGGTGAATTCGTTCCCTATTACTTAGAGAACTCGAAATAAAATCTTGGGAAATTATCACAGTTTAGGAGGTTTAGAAACTTAGATACTCATTTCCGATCCCAATTAAAAGGAAGTGATTTTAGCATAAGACAAAAAAGAAACCCATTTCTCAAAGAAACTTAAAGGTAAAATTTAGGGGGTTTCCAAAAATTTTGTATCTCATGTAAATGCAGTAAATAAATCTATTAATATACAATATGCATATAATATTTTTTTTTTCCTTAAAAAACATGTAAAATCATTATGTTTAAAGCAATTTTCTAGCACCTTTTTAATGAAATGCAAATCGTAGATTTAATTGAGTTTTTTGGTCAATTATTTATTTCGTTGAAGTGGAAAGAAAGCCCAACTTGTTCTATTTGGAGTGGGGAACTCAGAGCCCGTGTCTAAATGCAAATGTCAACATATGGAAGACAGCTTTACTCTTGGTTCTTAGTATGCATCGACGCACTTGGCGGATAAGAACGAACCCGAACTGCAATTAGTGCCACGTTCAACATGCGAGGCACGCACATCCACTGGAGAACAGAACCACTCCGCCTTCTCTTTTCCCGAACAACCCATACACATATCGATATCCATCCCATCTGATCCATACCATACCCACTGAAACTCACATCATAGTTATGTTTTTCTATTCTACTCCGCATCTGCTTTCCATTTGCTCTAAGCACTCAGAAAAATTTTTTAAAAGTAAATTTTTTGTTTAGTTTTTAATCAAGATTAAACTTAATAATTCCAAGCAAGAATAAATAATTCTTAAATTTTTACAACTATTGTTCTCAGTTATAAATAGCAACACGTTTTTCACTATAAATCATTTAAAATATATTTTTAATGACTAACGTTTATCTCGATAGGAATAAATAGATTTTTCGATCATATATAATTGGTTTGCTCGTTACAAAAAACTATTAATGGATCATTTGGAGTCAAGCTCAACATATTCATCAGTCTTAATGGGTCAGTCAATTGATAATAATGGTCAGAAATGTCCGTTTTTTCTGTCTTTTTTCTTCTCATTACTGTATGCCTGGTTACGAAGGTAATCCCCATCCCTAATCCTGTTCAAAAACATCCTTTAATCCGTAATTTTAGGTCTATTCCCGATACGAATTTACGAACGTGAAGTGTGAATGTTTCGATAAGAAGTTTTGCGAAGTAGATTATTGTTATATAAAATCTAAGAACCGGACGTACAAATATATTTCTGTAAGATGTAAACTGCTACAAATTCCCTTGACAAATATAAAGGTATACGGAGAAGATTATGTCTCTTTTCAAGCTAATAATATCTTTTCAATTCAGGTGAATTTTGGCCTCTATCAACGTCTTAATGGCTATAAACCATTTCTGTACAACATGACCGTAGATGCATGCAAATTCCTAAAATCTCCGCAAAGCAATCCGGTGGCTAATTACTTCTATAATTACTTTAAAGACGTTTCCAATTTAAACCACTCTTGCCCATTTGACGTAAGTACGTACGGAGTTTATAAAGTAAATATTCCAATGTATCCCCTTTCCAGCATGACATCATCGTGGATAAAATGACTGCTGAGAGCTTTTTACACCGAGCCACCAATATTCTGCCTTTTCCCAAGGGAAGCTACATGTTTCAAGTGGATTTTTATATCTATAATATTAAACGAGCTGTAGTTCAATTGTTTGGCTCACTTTCGTAAGAGACAATAAAACAAACAAATGCTACGTATGTGTCATTTTATCCCCATTTCCAAACGAGAATTATTTTTAGAATATTTGGTGAACCATTAAAAAAATTACATAAATGACGAGCGATTATTTTAATAATAATAAATCACGCTGCAATAATTAATTTCGAATCGAGTTTTTCATTTTCAGCAGTGTTTTTGGATCAGTCATTTAATAAAAATGGTTAGAATACTTTGTTTTTCCGTTGTTTTTCTTCTGTTTACTATTTGCTTGATCACGAAGGTAAAAAATCCGTATTCCTATTCAAGAAACAGCCATCAAGACGTACTTTTAGGTTTATTCCCGATACGAGTTTTCGAACGTAAAATGTGAATGTGCCGATAAGAAGTTTTGCGAAGTGGAATATTGCTATATAAAATCAAAGAACCGGACTTATAAATATATTTCTTTAAAAATTAAACTGCACCGAATTCCATTGACAAAAATTAAGGTACTAGGAATCTTACCGTAATTTTTTAAGCTAATCATATTTATAAAATGCGATTCAGACGAATTTTGCCCTCTATCAACGACTGAATGGCTACAAACCTTTCCTCTACAATGTGACTATAGACGCATGCAAATTTTTAAAATCTCCCACTTCCAATCCCGTTGCCAGTTACTTTTATAATTTCTTTAAAGACGTTTCCAACTTAAATCATTCTTGCCCATATGATGTAAGTATATGTAAAGTCTAAGAAGTAAATCTTCCCATATATCTTTTCTTTTCCAGCATGACGTTTTGTTGGATAAATTGACTGCTGAGAGTATTTTACACCGAGTCACAAATATTCTGCCTTTTCCGAAAGGAAACTACATGTTTGAAATGGATTTCTATATGTATAATATTAAACAAATTGTATTTCAATTGTATGCCTCAATTTCGTGAGAGTTTAAAATTGAAATTTTCAAATTAGTTTCAAATTTAATTTTAGACATAATCAAGGTTCATTAACTAAATTTCCTGTTTTTAATAAACTCTTTAATACTGCACTAGAATTATTTATAGATGGTTTACTGATATAGATTGTATAAATAACCCAGCAATAGATTTCCAACATTTTATTCATACATGTCGAAAAACAAATAAAGCAATAAAAATATCATTAATGACGATCACATAGTTCGATTAGAACAAATAATTATTTTTTCATACATAATTGGTTCGCATCAAAAATAATTATTTAATCATGTTTTCGAGTCAAATTCCACATTTTCCTTCATTTTCAATGGAACCATCAATTGTTCATAATGGTCAGCCATTCCTGTTTTCCTATTTTCTTCCTCCTGTTTGCCGCATTCTTTGTTACGGAGGTAAAAATTCCAGTATCTCTTCAAATAACATTTTTCAAGCTGAATTTTTAGGTCCATTCCCATTACGAATTTACAAACGTAAAGTGTGAGTGCGTGAATAAGGATTTTTGCGAAATCGCGCATTGTTATTTAAAATCTGTGAACCGGACCTATAAATATATTTCTGCAAGAGCCAAACTGCTAAGGCCTCCTGTCACAAAAATGAAGGTATAAGAAGATGTATATGTTTTTTGTATATGTTTTTAATATTTTACATATGTTATTCAGCTGAACTTTGCTCTCTATCAACGTCTGAATGGCTATAAACCTTTCCTCTACAATATTACCATAGACGCGTGCAAATTCTTTAAATCTCCTACTTACAATGCCGTGGCAAATTACTTCTTTAGTTTCATTCAAGAATTCACCAATCTAAACCACTCTTGTCCCTTTAACGTAAGTATGCAATTTTCATAATAGCAGATAATATTTTGATAAATCCTTTTTCAGCATGATCTTATTTTGGACAAAATGACTGCTGAGAGTGTCTTTCACCGAGTCACCAAAATTCTGTCTTTTCCGAAGGGAAGCTACATGTTTCAAATACATTTTTTGTCTAATGACATTATCCGAATTATAGGTCAATTGTATGGGACACTTTCTTAAAGTCAAAAAGTTCTTACAAAAAAAATATTCTACTGTTTATTAAAACGTATAAAACTTTAAAGTTCAGACAGAAACATTTAATTATGATATTGAGGTATTAAAATTACAAGCATTATTTCATGGTTTTTGATTCAGCGAAAAAAAATGCAAGCAATAAAAACATACTATTAACGATTGTTTTCCACATAAGAATTAAATGGATTTAAATCGATTTCGATGTTTATATATTAAAGTGTGTAATGAAACGAAGTAAATAAATATTCTTCATAATTTTGTTACAGTGCACTCGAGTGCTCTATTCGCTTTACCGCAACGAACTCTTGCATTTGAGGTCGCTTTCCTCTCTTGGCAGGCGAAACAAAGCACAAGATCGGCCCATTAGAGGCGATTTTACATCATTTGAATGCAATTTAGCCGCAGCTTAGCGTTATGTTCTATTTCGCCCCGGCACGAACTGCTGGCCAAGTCAGCTGCAGAGATCAATCTGATTCTTCAGTCTCCAGTCTTTAGTCTTCTGTCATTTGGCTTTGGCTTTGGCTTGGCTTTCTGAGCAGAAGAATCGTGCGGCACGGATGATCAGTCGGTCTGCCAATTTGGGCCAGTCGCGATATATCTTCATGATGAGCCTCGCATTTCTTGACCAATTTGCGATTCTCAACGCAGAAGAATCTGGCGAGGAGAATCTGAGAAGAAAAAACCCGAAGAAAGAAAAAAAAATTGTGGGGGCGGCAGTTCAAAACCTGGAATCTCTGAGATCTCTGAGTTCTTCGAGTTTCGGACTCCGACTTGACCGGCCACTCTTAACGAGCGAAAGTGTTTCATTAACTCGTAAATGAATAATTTGAGTGTCGAGACAACGAAAACGAAATCAAAATAAACCGAAACAGAAACCAGCACTCCACTCCACTCACACCCGAGAAATGCTCGTAAAAATGTACATAATTTTTCAATCTCAATCTGGTTTTGCGCATTTCTATTTCTCGTCTGTCTGTCGTTTGATCCACTTCCGACTTCAAAATGAAAATTTTCATTGCCTCAGTGAAACTAATTTGAGGTGAAAATTGTCAAAATAAGAAAATAAAAAAATAATGGGAGAAACACACACTGAAAATGCCTTGGTGACAGTTTGACAGAAAGAGCGAAAGATATGGGTGTGTTTATGCGTCTAGGATTCGGATGCAGTCTCAGTTTCGGATTTGAAAGATTTGGAAGATTTGGCAACCTGTCGAGACAGCCTTGTCCAAATCCCCGAGTGTCTCGTGCTGAGTCAGTGGTTTTCTTCTCTTTTTTTTGGCACTTTCTCCCAGTCAGTCGACTGCACTTATCAATGAGTCAGTTTCTCAGCTCGGTTTTCGGTTAGGAACGTCAAGGAATTTGCGTAAATTGTCGGTTATTACTGGGTGCCCCGCCTCGAATTGGGTCAGAAAATGAGTGCCGAGAGCCACAGCCTCTTCCTGTCTTTTTTCTTAAAACGTAAACGCTAAAAACTTTAACTGCGACTAAAAATCAATTTCCGCAACGACATAGATAGGCTCATGCAAAACGCTCAATTCTCTAATGGGCACAGCTGCGGTCGAAATAATAGCACCCCGCGGGCTGCGCCCATAAAAATGTTACCGTTTGGCAATCTATAAATACTGTTGTAAAAGTTTTAATAATTAAAGCGTTCTAATTAAAAGAAATTTTTTGTTATTTTAAAACACGATAATATTCTCAGAAACAGAAGTTCAGAATAGAAAAATTACTTTTATTTTGTAGGAATATTTTTAAAATATTATTTTATTAATGGGCACAACTGCGGTGGAAATAATAGGATCCCCTGGGGCTTTGCTCATAAAAAATATAACTGTCTGACAATCTATGAATACAGTTGTAAAAGTTTGTAATAACTAAAGCGTGCCAATTACATAAGCCAACTAAAAGAATTGCATTCTTAACATATCTAAGGAAAAATTGATATTAATTAAAGATTTAGGACAATTTTAGTTCTGCATGGATAATTTTTTTAATTTCAATATTATAATAAAAGACTTTAATATATTTATATCACATAATTTATCTATGGTTCCATTATAATTTCTGTTAAGTAATTCTTCATAATACAACTAGATATAATACTTCGATCTGAATAAATATATTAATTCCTCTTTTGGTCAAGTTCGAGATTTTAGAGATTCCTCATTTTCCCTATACTTTTCTATAGATGCGACCCCATCTGTAGGCTGATCACCTATAACCATCCGGCGTCATAATGGGAGACCCACTCATCTTATAGCGGTTAGTGGGATCGGAGAATAATGGAGATGGAGATGGGGTTTCCTCCCGCGATGCGCTCTCCCCCGAGATCCGTAGATCCAAAAGCCGAGTGGAGTGCAACGGTGGCTATAACGACCAAGAGCAAAACTACAGTGAACTGGGCACTGAACGAACTGTCAATTGGCCCAGTTCATGAACGTGGTAATTGCGCGGTTAGCGACATATAAAGCGACACCAAGAAAGATTTCCGAGGAGACAACACAGCGAACACAAAACGTTCTCCGGCCTTTTGTTTTTCGAACTCTTTGGACGCGATCACCTGTCCACCTTTTTAGCCATTCTCAACGCTTTTATTGGTGCCAGTTGGTTTTTGGTTGGAATGCTCTTTGCTTTTTGCCGCCCTTTATTTTTTTTTTGGGTCTTAATTTCTAATTTCTTTCATTACAGACTGGTTTTGTGAGGGCCCCTTGCTTCTTTTTTTTTATTGCCATTTTTTCGTTTTAACATCCATAATTTTGTAGCCTTTGCCAGCTCGTTTGTGCGCGATTATTGCTCTTGGCCAGGCTTTTTCCTACCTCTTACGCTGGGTAAGTAAAATGCAACCAGTTTTAGACCTTCTACAGGCTGCTTTATGGCATGTCTAACTAGTTTATGGCTTAGGGAACCTGGGAGACTGGATTGGGTTCCCGAAGAATCCTGCACCTTTCTTGCAAATTAAGTTGTAAATTCCTAGATAGCTCACCTGCCAGGTTTTTGCTTCTTTTTCTTAATTGATCGTCCCCCGTTGTTATAAAAAGGTAGGTTCCATTTGAGGAGGAAATACTCCCTGCAATCGATTTGTATTTAAATTCAATCACAAATGTTGCACAGTTTCGTTTAATTTTAGGTAGGGTTATTCCCTCTATTGATTCGGGGATTCACGATAATATTTTTTAAACACTGCGAGAGCACACGAATTTAGAAATCCCAACTGATCGCGGCGGAGAATGAAGGTAAACTGAAGACTGAAGACAGGTAACAAATCCCAGTTGGTTGGCCTTCAAGAAGAAAAGAGAAATGAAGACCGACGACCATCGGCTAGAGAAGAGAGTAAATCGAATTCTTCCCGCTCTCACTCTATCCGCTCTCTCTCTCTCTCTTGGATCTCCCTTTATCAGCCATGTATCGTTATTCTTCTGTTATATAATTAAATCATACAAGTTATTTCTATTGTTCACTGGCTACTGCAGTAGTTTCAAAGAAAATTCAAATATTTGCAAGATGAAAAGAAAATTTACTTATCTTGTTTGGAATGTCAAAATACTTTCTTATTTTCGGAATACATTTTTATTCATAACTGTTAAGAAATAATAATTTAATTGAAAGAGAAAGAAAATAGATTTTGTCTTTGTTTTTATTTAATTGTTTTTAGCCCTTTATGATAATATGATAAGTTTAAACAAACAAAGATTTGTTTTGATTATGTATTTATAATTTAGACATTTTTATTTTCAATGTCGTTTAGTTTACTGTTCCGAAATTAAATTCTAAAGAAACTTAAGATTCAAAATTGTCCAATTAAAAAAAAGAATTGTTTACTGAAATGAATGAATCATCAACTAGATTTTATATTTTATTTACAACACAATTTGAAGAATTAAAAAACAATTTAGGTACACCACTTGTAAATATTTGCATGCTGTAGTTTGCAGTATTTTAAATTGATATTTCCGAATTTTAGACAGCTCGCATTTAACAGAACAATGGATATTTTCACTTTTTATTTACAACACAATATAAACAGTAAAGCGGTGATTATGCTGGTATACTTTATATTTTCCAGAATCGAATCCCTTAACCATCCACAATTGGCATGTTCCAGGATTTTCCAATCATAGCCACCACATCGCGCTTCAGTTTGGGCCCAATTAGAGGATTCATTTGGGCCATGTAGCAGCACAGCCAAAAGAGCCAGCAGCAAGCGGCGGTTAACATCAGGATGCATCTTATGAGGTTCTGATGAGGTCCTTTGGGGGTCATAATGGGCATGGCGATGCCAACGCCACCCCACAAGGCGGTGAAGAACAGCACGGGAAAGAAAGCTGCGCCCATTTTTCTGTTTTTAAATTATACAGATTAAATATTGACTTTGATTTTACGGTATTTTGCAAACCTACCGTTTTTTCCTTCAAACTGTTGTGTATGAAAAATCAATAATTATCGTTAGAGTCATATCGATACCTTAAATATTATAGAAACATCGATAAGTGTCATTTGGATATAGCTTAAAAATCATTTTATGATATACCTTTAATTTTAAAACTTTTCCAAAAATTAAAACTGATAATTACGTTTATTTTAATTTTAAAAATAGCCAACAACCAAGTGCGATAGTTATCGATAACATTTAATTAAAAACCAAGTTGACATCCCCCGCCCAAAAACTTAGCCAGGACGCAAACCGCCGCATCACTAATAAAAATATTTACAATTTTTAGTTTTACACAATAGATTTTAGAGACTTTAGAGAAATATCCTTACCAGCGGCACCATGACGATGCGGCCTGATGACCACCGAAGGAAATGGGACAAGAACGAGTACGAGAAGCTGGCGGCGGAGCGGCTGCTCAACCAGGTGGCGCCCAAGGAGGAAGGTGAGTGCATGATTTCTTGGGAGGATCTTACAAAACCAAGGATTTTCAATCCCCTCCAGAACCCGTGCAGCGGGAGAACCTCAAGCGACGCGACTACAAGGTGGACCTGGACAGCAAGCTGGGCAAGAGCGTGGTCATCAACAAGAACACACCCACCTCGCAATCCGGCGGCTACTATTGCAACGTTTGCGACTGCGTCGTCAAGGATTCCATTAACTTTTTGGACCACATCAACGGGAAGAAGCACCAGCGCAATCTGGGCATGTCCATGAAGGTGGAGCGCAGCACCGTCGACCAGGTGAAGGAGCGCTTCCAGCAGAACAAAAAGAAGATGGAGGAGAAGCAAAAGGACTACGAACTGGAGCGCCGACTAAGGGAGGCCAAGGAGGAGGAGGACCGGTACAAGGAGCACCGCAAGGAGAAGCGGAAAGAGCGCAAGCGAAAGGCCGAGGACACGGATTTCGATGCGGGCGGCATGCCCGACGACATGGCCGCCATCATGGGCTTCTCCGGCTTCGGTGGCTCCAAGAAGAACTCGTAGAAATTAAGTGTTGAACTGCCTAAACCCTCCTCCCATTTAGTCTTTTAATGAAATAGAAACTTACCACCAAATTAGTTTAGCTTGTGACATTTATTTCGTTTATCGTATTTTTTGTATATAAGACAATTTCACACCAGTTGTCCAGCTAATCCCGGCTGTTCCCAGTTAGAATAATTTAATAAGCAGTCGTCAGAGTGCAAAAATGACTAAAACCATTTCACTAAGTCTAAGCATACACGGCCTTTTCTCTCTTTTTCAAGGGAATAAGCTTAGGTGAACACGAATCCCTGTTCGGTGGGAATGTCCCACGGCATGGTGAAGAATTCCCCGGGCAGCTGGGTGCAGTGCGTCGAGTTGTAGTCGCGTAAATGCTTGCGTAACTAAAAAAAACATACAGAATTAAATATAAAAATAGACTAAACGACCAAGTTAACCCACCAAGAAGACAGCCATGAGGTTGCGCACCTCATCCGAGTAATCGGCTCCAATATTCATGGGGAAAGACTTGCCCTCATCGGAGGCATAAGTAATTAAACGCGACATGCAGAGCTTCTCGTCGGCGGTGGGAATGCTGTAAGGTTCCAGCGGCTTGGACAACAGCCCCTTGGCCTTGTTCAGCTGCGAAGCCCCAAAAATGTTGGGATACCGGCGCTTAAGCACGGACAAGACCAAGAAATTGCCGCGGTTGGTGTCGATGTGGTTGTCTCTAAGGGAATTCCGAGAAAAGTATTAATAAAAACCCTTTAAAAAGGCAAAAAACTAAACTTACTCTGCTATAATCTCATCCTCAGTGCGGCGTATAAAGGAAATGGGTCCATTGAACTCATTAGCCAACTCAGCATTGTTCAAGTTGCAGTAGTTGCGAATGGCCACCTTTACAATCCCCGCCAGAGCAGCCGGCATGCGAGGAATGGCCAGGTAGAGCACATCATCGAAGGTGGCGTCCAGCACCACGCCCTTGACATCCGGATAGACAGAAGCAGCGTACAGAGTGCTAAAGCCACCGATACTCCAGCCATACAGAATGATATCCTCGACGGGAAAGCCAAGATTGTTGATGGCAAACTGCACGACAGCATCGATGGCGTTCTTGTCCTGATGCGGATAAGGTGTGCCCGAACTGCCAGCAAAACCGGGATGATTCCAACCCAAGACGGAGTACTTCAGGGCCACCGGGGTGCCCATTATGCCCACTTCATAGAAGCCGGCGTTGCCCTCGGAGCAAATGACCAGAGTCTTGCCATTTCCCACATTATCGTTGCGGTTGTCAATGAACAATGTATCGATTTCGTTCGAGTCGATGGTTTTGACCTTGTAGCGGATGCCATTATCATCCTCGATGAGCTTGGCGCGTCCAGAGATCAGCATGGGTCCTGCAAGGATAGGGTATAAGTAACAGGTTTAGTTTAGGTATATAAAAATAAATATAAATATAATACAAAAGGTTATAAGGATAAGTTTGGGAATATTTTAAAGATTAAAGTAGCTTAAGGAACCTTTAAATTAATGGTTAAAATATTTACTAACTGATAGACTAGATATTACTATATATTTAGGTATGTGCTTTCTATACAAATAAAATAAATAAAAATAAATATAAATATAATACAAAGGAAATAAGGATATGTTTTGGAATATTTTAAAGATTAAGGGCGCTTAAGGAACCTTTAAATTAAAGGCTAAAATAGTTACTAATCGTTAGACTAGATATTACTAGATATAACTAAATATTTAGGTATGTGCTTTCTATAAAAACTAGTTTTTAGGTTATCTAGACAAACGTTTTTACAGACCCTACAACCAGTATTTGAGTATGACTAATGTTTCTCAAGCTATATGTATGAGTTTTGTGGAGAAAATGCGGACAACTTTTTACTGCTATGAACTTTAACAGTTTAAATGGGATTTAAGATAGCTTTCCCCTTACTCATGAATTTCTGGAGCAGCTTAACGGAGCCCGGATAAATCATGGAGAGCCCAAAGGTGTTGATAGCTAAGTAAGCGATGACCTCACAAGGGATAGTGGCCAATTGGAGCGGCTCCCGCCTGCTGGCCGTCACCACAGGCTTCTTGGTGTCCCTGGAAAGGAAGGAGTTATCATTACAGCACACTCCAATAGCTATAAAGTTACTTACCCAGTCAAGGCCTTCACATCAAAGTCCACTGGCCAGGCGTTGAACTCGATGTCGAAGCGGCGCAGCTCGCTGCTGGCATCTCCTGCCGTCTTGGAAGCCTTTGCCTGCACCAGGGCCTTCATCATGTTGGAATAGGAGCGGGATTGCTTGCGCCCCAGACCCCGCATCACCAGGGAGATGATTACAATCAAGCCCACGCTGGTGGTGATCTTGGCCAGCGTTGGCATGGAATCGGTGACCAGGTAGCCGCGGCGATAGAGGAATGTGACGAGCAGGGGGGAGGTGTAGTAGCCCACGGACCACATCACCGAGAGCTGCAAGGGGGATATATAAATACACCATATGCTCCAGTTTCCCCTGGGATCGTAGTACATACCGTGGATAAAATCTGCTCGCCGAACTTTTCCACCGCCCCCGCCTCGTACAGCTTGCGCTGCGGCTCGGGAACTCCACGGTATTCCATGAACAGATTGGGACCGAACACGTAATTGAGGAAACTCATCTTGGACTCGAAGCGGTTTTTATGTTTTGCCTGGATATATAATTTTTTCTATTTTCTATTTTATTTTGTTGTACTTGTAATTGATGTGAAAGCTGTTCCAGGGTCTCGCACTCACAAACAGATGTTTCCAGGGATGGCGCGTTAAATAACTTAACGGTTCAATTAAAAATTAAGTTGTAACTGGAATTCGAATATCTTTTTTATTATTTAACTCCTAAGGTAAAATGGGGAACAATTTAAAAAAAAAAATAGGGTAGGGATCAATAGAGTGATTTCTCTAAGTTAAATGAGTATTCTACTTCAACCAACTTAATCTGTAAAATTTGGCATGAAAATTAGTTATCAAAATTTAATAATTTAAAATTTTTAACTTAATTTAACTACATTTAAATTTCAGGCAGTAGAAACTTTAAAGTTCACTCCAATATCTAGTTCCGAAAAGAACTAGTTCCTTTAATTGCTGTTATCAACCGGCTGTGCAGCCCTGGTTCTACCCCCAAGAATTTATTCCCAGTTGATAGACAAAAACGCCGGCTAAAAAATGGAAAAGTTCACTAAAGCACAGGCAAAAAACTTGGCTGCTGCCCAGAAACTGGTGGACACCTACGCCTCCAGCTCCGAGGATGAGGGCGAACTGGATGAGAAGCATATTTTGGGTAAATCAAACGAAAGTCTAGTGACGTGTCATTAAAAAGCTTGACTACCAACTATTTTTATCTTTTCCCATAATATAAAGAACTCCTCTATAAGAACTACCGACCGACGGAGGGCGCAGGGAGCTCCAAGGATGCAGCCAAGACGAGTACGTTCCTGGAGAACACCTTGCACTCCGGAGCAGCCACCTGTCTCATCTGCATCGGCAGCATCCGGCGGGTGGAGGCCATTTGGTCGTGCGAGAGTTGCTACTGCTTCTTCCACTTGAACTGCATCCAGCGGTGGGCCAACGACAGCATGATGCAGATGAAGGTGAAGGCGGCGGAGCAGCAGAATGGCCAGGCCAGCCAGGGTCACTACAATCACCTGGGCGAGTTTGTGCCGCCCAAGAGGCAAAAATCGCTCCATTGGTGCTGCCCCCAGTGCCGCAGGGATTACCAGCCGACGGAGAAGCCCACGCAGTACAACTGCTTCTGCGGCAAGGAGGAGAATCCCCAGAATCAGCCCTTCCTGGTGCCCCACTCCTGTGGAGAGATTTGCGGCAAGCTGCTGCAGCCCAAGTGTGGACACGATTGCAAGCTTCTATGTCATCCGGGGCCATGTCCTCCGTGTGCCCAGCAGGCGCAGGTCTCCTGTTTGTGCGGCAAGTCCAGTCCAAGGTCCATGCGATGTATTGATAAACAGTGGAGGTGCCAGCAGGCGGTAAAATATGGGTTTAAGATAGTTTATTTCCCCTTCCTTACTAAAGAATCTTTCTTTTAGTGCCAGGATCTCCTCGCCTGTGGGAAGCACAAGTGCCAGCAGTTGTGCCATCGACCAGGACAGTGTCCTCCCTGCAGCAGCAAAAGCCTGCAGCCCTGCGAATGCCAGCGGGAATCCAAGATGGTCAACTGCTCCGATCGCAAATGGAAGTGTCAGAATGTAGGAATTGCTACTATTTACTTAGGAAATATATTTTAAATGTAAATTTCCCCAGGTTTGTGGCGCTCCCTTTGCTTGTGGCCTGCATATTTGCGAAAAGGTCTGCCATGCCGGTGCCTGTGGCGATGGCGAGTGTCCTTTGCAAGTCAGGAGTTGTCCTTGTGGCAAGAATGTAGGTTTATCTACTATTCAGACTATAAGGATTTTCTGTTAACTTATATTTTGTATTCCCTAGACCCAAGTTAGACCCTGTAATGAGGCGGAGGAAACGTGTGGCGATACTTGCCAGAAGCTGTTGTCTTGTGGCCAGCATACTTGCACTCAGCGTTGTCATCGTGGAGCCTGTATTTCTGTAAATTATTTACCAAGAAAGTATATAGGATCTTTTAAGAAATTGTAAATTTTTCAGTGCCCTATAAGAACCAAAAAGAAGTGTCGTTGTGGATTGCATGAAAAGGAGCTGCCCTGCTCCAAGGAGTTTACTTGCGAGACTAAATGCAAGCAGATGCGTGACTGCGGCAAGCATGCTTGCAATAGAAAGGTGGGAAATCACTCTTGATATTTTAATTTAAATAATTTATTTATTTATTATTTATTTCTAGTGCTGTGGCGATCAGTGTCCGCCCTGCGAGAAGATTTGTGGCAAGCAGCTGAGCTGCAACAAGCACAAATGCCAGTCGGTGTGCCACAATGGACCCTGCTACCCGTGCAAACTGGAGTCGCAAATCAACTGCCGCTGTGGCAAGACCAAAAGAAGTGTTCCTTGTGGCAGAGAGCGGAGTGCTCGCATTGTGTGCTTGGAACTCTGTCGGTGGGTTATCCTTTTACAATGTATAATCCATGAATACTAAATGGTAATCTCCTTGCAGGATAACTGCCAAATGCCATCATGGTATCAAACATCGCTGCCACAAGGGCGAGTGTCCTCCTTGCGGCCAAGTGTGTGGGCTGCCCAATGAGACCAGCAAATGTGGACACATCTGCAAGGCTCGCTGCCATGAGGCGGTTAGAGTTAATAAACCCAAAGAGGCTAGGCCACAGGCCAAAAAGGTAAGCGTTACTAGAGTCCTGCGTGAATCATTAAATTTTTGTTTTATGCCATGAAATTTTTTATTTGTTTAATTCAATTCTATGTGAAATAAATTGAATGTTTTTCTAATTTATTTCGAATTGAATGAATGAATGAATAATTTTTATGAATTTTTTGAATTTGCCAGATTTTATTTGTGCTTTCTTTTAAGAACAAGAAGTGGAACATTTTTAACAAATCAATGTTAACTGCATAGTAAATAAAATTATGGCTCTTTCTTCTTCTAAAGAATTGTCGTTTGAATTATTTCGGAATTCATGCCATTTATTCATTAAATTCTATTTAACTAAAAATTCAAATTAATTCAATTCTATTAAACTTAAAATTCGAATTAAAAAATTCTAATATAAAACAAAAAATTCAAAATAACTCAATGAATCCGTTCATGCAGGGCTCTATTACCTACCTATGAATAAAATGATTAGTAAATAAATAATCATTATAATTCCCCTTCTAGTATGAATATAAGTCATTACCCCATCCGCGTTGCGAAGAAGGCGTCGTGGTGACCTGCATTGGGGGTCACGAGGTGGCCACCTGGCCGTGCTGGAACTCCAAACCCACTTCCTGCCAGCGAAAGTGTGCCCGGCAGCTGAAATGCGGCAATCACAAATGCTCCTTGGTCTGCCACTCGGTGGCCCAACCACAGGACATGGCTCAGCAGCCGGGTTGCGCCAACTGCGAGGAGGGTTGCTCCGTTCCCCGACCCACCGGCTGTGTTCACTCCTGTCCCCGCGGCTGTCATCCGCCGCCCTGTGCCCCTTGCAACTTTGTGATCAAGAGCAAGTGCCACTGCGGACTCAATCAGTTGGTGTACAAGTGCAGCGAGTATTTCGATGAAACGGGCACCGTTCAGGAGATTATCGAGCGTAGGGAGAAGCTTCGCAGCTGCGGCAATCGTTGCTTGAAGAATGTGTGTAATTAGGTTACTTAGTTTACAATATAGAAACTTAATTTCCTCTTCTGTATCCATAGTATCCCTGTGGCCATCGCTGCTCAGCCATTTGCCACTCAGGCAAGTGTCCAAATCCCGAGCTGTGCCGCAAGAAGGTTCGCATTTTCTGTGCCTGCAAGCGTCTCAAGCAGGAGATTGCCTGCGACAAGCATCGGGCGGGTCAGGTTTCCCTAGACTGCGATTCCAACTGCAAGGCGGAGCAATCTCGAGCCCAAGCGGCGGAGCAACAGCAGCTGGAGCAGAAGCGTCGCCACGAGGAGGAGCGAAACCGCCTGGAACTCGAGAAGTTCGAGGCCAAGTTCGGCAAACGCAAGCACAAGGAGCGCAAAACTGTAGATGTTGGACCGGCAAAAACCAAGATCGACTGGCAGCGATGGGCCATCTATGTGGTATCCATCCTCACAGTTGTGGCTGCCATTGCGGTGGCTTTCTACGCGGACAGTTAAACAATCGATCGATTTGAACGGGAATTTCTAATATCAATTTAAACAGATAAGCAAATAGAATTAAAGCAACGACTGATAAGCATTTGTATGTCTATGTTGAGCTCTTCTAATCTCTAAGGCTGGCCAACTACTCCGCCTTGGCCTTCTTCTTGTAGAAACAGGCGGCGCCAAAAACGGAGGCGCTAAGGAACGTCGAGATGAGGAAGTTGGACAGCAGCATCCAGTCGTGGGATTGGAAGAATACCGTGTAGATTCGAGCTGTAAGAGTGATGAAAATGATGTTAATTGATGACCACATCCTCTATGACAAATGTGATCTCACTCATGTTTGTGAAGGCGGAGAGCGCCCAAGTGGTTCTGCTGACGGAACTGGCATCTTTGGTCCTCAGAATGGCCAGCAGCTGGAGCACCTTGCTCGTGGCTCCGATGGGCGTGCAGAAAGGCTGCAAGACAAGGCAAATATTTAAATATATATTAATTGCCCGAGCACATAGAGGTATTAATAGCTGCTCAAATATTATACAACAAACACCGGTGACCTTGAGAAAAGATGCTGCTCTGCCCAGTTAAGTGCAAACGGCCCTTCCAAACTAAAAACAAATCAAAGCAAACCAGTTTGCCTGATAGCATAATTAGTTAATTGGAAAAAATAGAGTGCCGAACGGGTTTTGAAGTCGTTATCTGGCCAGGCATTCCCAATTAATCAGTGACCAGGTGATATCTATAGCTTACTCACCACCAGGAACGTAAGGATGATAATGGGGAAGAGCTTCAGGTAGATGAGAGTGGCCACTATGCTGTATAGAATGGCCACCACCTGAGTCCTCTTTCCTAAAAGATCCTGGTACTTGAAGGCGTAGTAAATGAGGACGTACTCCTGCAGCAGGAGAACAGGATACTCCATATACGAGAGGAAGTCATAGCCACTGGTGTAGTTGTAGGACAGCATCACCGTGTAGCTGAATAGCTCCAGGCACAGACCCAAAACGCTAATGCCTGGAATAGAGAAATCATGAGTGGGAGGATGATATTTGTGTGGGCGGTGGTGCCTCACCTTTCGAGGACTCGTTCGCCCGTATCGTGTTGATCTGCGGCACCTTGATGACCAGGCAGGAGGATACCGTAATCAGGCTCAGCAGGTCGGCTATCACGAGCACCAGACCCCGCTCCAGATATTCGGAAACCACTTCCCCGAGAGCTCCACTCATCTTGCGACCGTAAATAAATTTAAAATTTGCTATTTTACGAGTGTGGCCAAAACATTGTGTGGACGGAAATGCTAGTGTTATCCTCTTTAATACCTAAAAATAGAGATAATTGTATAGAAAACAAATAAGATTGGTTATTTTAATTAACTTATTTTTAGCACACTATAGTCTTGTGTAAAACGAGTTAAAAATACTTAAGTTCTTCCAAAATATATAGAAAATAAATTAACAAAGCTACAAGAATTATGAATTAGTTAACAGAAAATGGCAAAATATTTTGAAAATATTTAAAAACCCAAATACCTCCGATATTTTGCAAAACAATTTCAAAATATCCAACGCGTGTCACGCCAAAGCACGCACATCTCTAGCTTCAACCCGAAATTCCCATGGTATATTTCAATGCTCGAGCGGTGGTCACACTGGATCCGCATAGTTTTTTTTTCGGGTCCAAAATCTGTCCAAATCCGCAAATTGCATGCATATTCTAGTGTCTGAAGATCAGAAAATTAGATAGACAGACTGAGAGTCGTTTGCAAAACGGCAAAAAGTTGGCCATTCTCCGAGGAGCAACGTCCTTAAAACGTATGTGAAAAATTCGATTGAACGTGTGTGCGTGCGCGCTGCGCCAGTGTGTGTGTGAGAGTGGGCCCAAACGCAAAAAGTTTTACACGCGTTAAATGTGCAGTTTTAATGGTTAAAAACAAATTGTGGCTGCCAAAGCGCAAGCAGAGTGTGTATTTTGGGCTGTCCTGTTAATATAAGCTGGCCAAACCGAAAGTTTATAAACAATTTGCCAGGCACCACGCGCATTTAAACTTTTGCTGCGAGAGAACGTGTTTGTGTGTGTGTGGCTCTGCCTCTGCCTGTGTGTACAACAATGTCCACATTTTTCTTTTGTTGTTTGCTCCACGAATTATGGGGCTATGGCTATCCCTCCATGTTCCATCCGCTGCTGCATTTGCAGGTTAGGGAAGTCAGCGGATGTGGGAAAGCCTGAAGTGCTCTGAATTTGCAACGAAAGTAATCTATTTTTGGGCGACTGCCACTGCGACTGAGACGGGGACCACAGGTCTCCGCTTCTCCTTCTCCGTCTCTCTGCCCATTTGGCTGCGTGTGAATGTGAGTGTGTGTATGCAACGATTATGACGACTCCACACCCGTGGTTAAAATCCACAGAGAGAAAATGTTCTTCGGGCGCATCCCCGATATTTTTATTGTCCTGGGGCACAGGTAAAATGCGTATCAAAATGCGGTGTGAAAGCGGAGAGCCCTAAAAAGACCCTACATGAGAATAAAAACGTATGTATTATTTCGGGAGGTCAACAGCCAAAGGCCAGGGGCGAAGGGAGGGGGAAGCAGGAGGAGGAGGAGGGTGGGAAGAGAATGAGAATAAAAGAAAATGTTCAGGAGAAATGCCTGCACATCTGATCTGCTTGGCCAGTGATGCAACAGCAGGAGCGCTGAAAATTCCTTTGTGATCTCTCGCCCCTTTTGTTCTGCGGATGCTGCGCTGCAATGGCTGATCTCTGCAGCCTCCTCCTCCTCTGAATCTTCCAATCTCTGCCTGCAGCGATCCCTTTTTCTACTCTCCCGTGTGCGTCTGCCTGTGTGTGTGTGGCGGCTGGTAGGATGAGGATGTGATGGCCAGTCAAGCTGCTGTCAAGCGTCAGAGATGCGCAGCTGCGATTTTCCAGTCATCGTGACTGGAAGCAAGGATCAGTGATCGCTGATTCACGACTTATCTTTTTCTGGGAAAAACTCTGAACTTGAGCTGTTTTTTTTTAATGTGACTAACTAAATGTTTTATGGTATTTCGTTTTTGAAATTAATTTCACATTCATAGGAAATCACGTATTTTTTAATAAATTTTCTTAAAATTGATAAGACATGTATTTTTGTAAAGACCAAAAATTCTGTGACTCAGCATAGTGGTAATATTTGCTTGCTTTCGCATAGGTTCTACAACTAGTCAGCACTTCATATTTCGTGACTAAATGCTAAGATTAGTGGCAGTGAAATAATAATAAAACCAGAAGCTGATCACAGTGACTTCTTCCTTGAGTTTCTGTGACTCATTCACCAGTGACTGCTCCTCGCGTCGATCATCTCTGAAAGCCAGTCAAAAGCGGAGGGAAAAGATAGCGGCTTGAATTGCAAGGTGTACGTGATGTTGTTGTTGTTGGTGGTGCGGCTGCTGTGTATCTTTGGTGCTTCTTCTTCTTACGTCCGTTACTTCTCGCTCTCGTCATCTCTGCTCTTCCACTTCTCTCCGCAATACCTTTTTCTGCTCTTTCCCGTGAGTTAGTGTGTGTGTTGTTGTTGTTGTAATACCCGTTTCGTCTTCTTTTTCCCATTCTACTTCGCGCCGTTTTAGCCTCTTCCGCCGATCCGATGCACTTTTGTGATTTCCTTTTTCGAGTTCCAGCGACGCCGGCAGAGGCGGCAGCAGCAGCGTTACAACAACATTTTTCCCACTGCTTTTCATTGCTTTGGATTTTTTTTGCAACCATCAGTTTGCGCTTGTTGCGTGGGAATTTCGGATCATCTTCGATTCTCAGGGCACAAAAGGATCGGATCGGATTGTTGGTTGTAAGCGGTGAAAAAATTGTAATACCCTTGGTTTTTGGAGCGTCGTTTGTTGTTCTGTAGAGCTTCTATTCTGTAAAGTTTCAAGCACTCAATTCCAAAGCATTGAATCTATAGAATATAATTTTCCAGTGAATCCTTAGAATTCCAAGGACTTAATGAAAAATGATTACATTTCCCTAGAGAGAGTTCTTTCTCTTAACTTGCCATTATTTAATTCCAAAACTTCCAACCACTCAATACCAAATCCTGAAATCTGTAGAACATTTCCTTTTCCAAAGGTCCTTTGCCCGAAACTTCCATTACTTTTCCCAACACTCGATGGAAAATTATTAAAATTCTCGAGAGATCTCTAGTTCTTAACTTCCCTTTACTCAATTTCAAATCATTAAATCTATAGAACATCATTTACTTTCCCATGAATCCTTTGCTCCAGAATTTCAAGGATTTAATGGAAAATTATTAATTTTTCCTAGAGATAGTTCGTATTCTTAACTTTCCATCTTCTTCCATTCCAAAACTTCCATCCACTCTATTCCAAATCGCAAAATCTATAGAACATTTCCTTTTCCATTGGTCCTTTGCCCCAAACTTCCATTACATAGTGCTAAATTATAAATTTTCCCAATACTCGATTAAATATTTTTAAAATTCCCTAGAGATCTCTAGTTCTTAACTTTCCTTTACTCAATTCCAAATCGTTTATCCTTCCAGGAGAGCGTGCTGCCCACTTTTGGATGCCTGAAAAGTATTATGGAAAGAGGATGCCCAGCTGCTAGCAGTGAATTTGTGGCCAGTGCAGGGGAGCGAACGCAGTCAGCAGTCACCAGCAGCTCCACCTCCACGTGGGCCAAGAGTCAGGCCTCGACCAGCCGGAAAGCAGGAGCTTCTGAAGCAGTCCAGGGATTAGGAGCAGGAGAAGCAGTAGAAGGAGAAGCCTTTGTATCTATGTCAACGCTGCGGGACGATGTGGAGGACGTGTGTGTGTCGTCAAACTCACAACATGGTTTCGCCGTAGTCCTGGACGACGAGTCCAGCACCTTTGAGATTAGCTCTTCCAACTCACTGCCCACCAGTGCGGGGGCGGCGTCGACGGTGGGCGTGGTGGCTGTCGACGATAGCTCCTCCACGGACACCCTGAACGGTGGCCATCCCGGCCTGGATCAGGACCACCACACCGCCTCCTCGGAGCACAGTCGTCAGGGCTTCTTTAATAACAATGAGGAGGATCCTCCGGTTGTATGCCTTATAAACGACGATGACGATGACGAGGATCTCGATCCCGATCCCGAGCCGGAAGACGAGGATGAGGAGGAACTGATTGAGGACGAGGACGACGATGTAGTGGACATTGTAGTGGCCGCCATCGACTGCCCATCGAACACATCACAATTGGCTTTGGCCGATGGCACCATCATGGCGGCCGATGGTTCCAAGATCTTCCTGGAGACGCCCGTCGTGGAGGAGGCCCAGCCGCATCCGGGTCAAGTGGTCACAACTGGCGTGCAGTCCGAGCTCACGGGCAAGCCGAAGAGATTGAGCGATGAGTTCTTGCTGGGCGACGAGGAGCAGGCGGAGAATCTGGCCTTGGGCAGCAGGGGCATTAAGTCGGAGGTCGGAGACAATCCCTCGGAGGGCGACGATGCGGCCACATGCTCCTCCCTGCACGATCGCCTCATGTCCGTGCGCCTGAAGCAGATGAGCTTGACCAATCCCTCGCCAGCAGCCGCCGCCAACCCCGAGGCTCCCGAGGCCTCTACATCCTCCAGCTCAAACTCCAGTTCCGCTCTGTCCAAGGCGGACATTGAGTCCATGGATCTGATCGAGCGTCGCGACTTCGAGACGGAGCAACGGCTGACGGGCGGCATCATCCTGCGCACCAGCTCCATGATGAGCCAGAACAAACTGAATCTAAGTCTGATCAAATCCGCGGCGGGGGGCAGTAATAGTAACAGCGACGATTGGCCCAGCAGCAGCAGCAACGGGCGCACCGTCTCCTCGGACAGCAAGTACACGTACAAGGATCTGTCCACGACTCCAACAAGCAGTCGCAAGTACACGAATAGCCGGCTAAGCAAGTCCACTGCCAAACTGAATCTGGGCTCCACGCTGGGCGGCTCCTCCACCTCCTCCGCCTCCTCCTCCTCCAGTTGCAGCCAGCACCATAGGAACGCCTCCAGTTCCACCTCAAAGTCCACAGAGGAGTCCACGGGAGCAGCCCGCACGGATGTGTACACCAACACCAACTCGAATGATTATCCTGGATTGGCAGCAAGCGCATCCGGTTCGTCCACATCCTCCAGTGCCAGTCAGCAGGATCAGGAGGAAAACCCAGCGGTCTCTTACAGCTCCGTGGGATCGCAGACCTCTCAGGAAGTCGGTGGCTGCAGTCGCACCACCGCCATTCAACCCACAGCCGATTGTTCCGCCGGCACAGACGCTCAGGCCTCCACATCGGCTTCCACTTCGTCGGGAGCTGCCAGTCGTTGCCAGTATGCCACGGCAACCACGACGAAAGCAGCTCGTCAGGTGAATGCGAGTGCCCAAACCCAAGAGCGTTTCCTGGCACGCGGGAATCCTTCAACTGCAGCAGCTCAACCAGCAGCTTCAGTTAGGCAACGTCGCAATGGTTCCAGCGATGTTGTTGTTAACCTGGAAGTGGTGGTCGAGGAGGGAGCTAACGGCGCAGGAGGAGGAGCAGATGGCGGCCTGGTGGAGCCCGGTGATTTCAGCGCCGAGGAGCCGTGGGCCAATTGCGATGAGGAGAACAATTGCTCGGATTTAGAGGAGATTTGCACGTGCCAGAATGGCAATGCGAGCAGCTACGGCGGCAGCAATGCCAGTCTCAGCGAGACCTTCGACCTGGATGTGATGGATCCCATGGATGAGCCCATTTCCCTGTCGCTTTCCACCAGTCTCGAGCAATCCCAATCGCTGACCAATCCCAGCTCGCTGATTTCGCAGCAGCGCAAGAGGAAATACAACGAGGGACGCCTGCTGGACGGAGGTGACTACTCGCTGACCATCTCCTCGAGCGGTGGAGTGGGAGGATCGGGCTCGGGAGTGAGTGACAATTGCCGCAAGCGTATAGCCTACGATTTTGCATCCACACCGAGATCCACGCAACATTCGGGACCCATAGCGGTGCCCTCTTCCGGGCACCTGGGCACCAATGCCTCGCCGGGATCGGGATTGGGATTGGGTCGTCGCACGCCTCGTTCCGTTCCCAGTCGTGACAATCCGCCGCCCGAACTGCAGCACTGGTTGGGCCAATTCCAGCGATGGTCGCATGTCGAGCGTTTGCTGGCCTTGGATCGGCTGATCGATCACTGCGATCCATCGCAGGTGCGCCACATGATGAAGGTGATTGAGCCGCAGTTCCAGCGCGACTTTATCTCGCTGCTGCCCCGTGAATTGGCCCTCTTTGTGTTGTCCTACCTGGAGCCCAAGGATTTGCTGAGGGCCGCGCAGACGTGCCGCAGCTGGCGCTTCCTGTGCGACGACAATCTGTTGTGGAAGGAGAAGTGCCGCAAGGCGCAGATCCTCGCCGAGCCGCGCAGCGATCGACCGAAGAGGGGGCGGGATGGCAACATGCCGCCCATTGCGTCGCCTTGGAAGGCCGCCTACATGCGACAGCACATCATCGAGATGAACTGGCGGTCGCGACCGGTGAGGAAGCCCAAGGTTTTGAAGGGCCACGACGATCATGTGATCACCTGCCTGCAGTTCTCCGGCAACCGCATTGTGTCTGGGTCCGATGACAATACGCTTAAAGTTTGGTCGGCGGTTAATGGAAAGGTTAGTGGTTGTACTCTCTTATAAAGATTGTTTTTAAACCCTTGCAGGGGGTTTTTAAGATTTCTGTCAGAAGTGTGCAACGCAGTGAAGGAGACGTTTCCGAAAAATAGAAAAAATAATGTCAAAATAATAAGAAATTAAACATTTTTGCGATTTGTAAGTTAATAGGAATGATCTGCAAGGGTATATAAGCTTCGGCTTGCTTCCTTTCTTGTTTTCTTATGAAATGATTTCCCTTTGTATTTACAGTGTCTTCGCACTCTGGTGGGCCACACCGGTGGCGTTTGGTCTTCCCAAATGTCCGGCAACATCATCATCTCGGGCAGCACGGATCGCACACTCAAAGTCTGGGACATGGACAGTGGCGCCTGTGTGCACACGCTGCAGGGGCACACGTCCACCGTTCGCTGCATGCATCTCCATGGCAGCAAGTAAGAAAAAATCACTAATTTATTAAGTAACCCATGCTAATGCTAAGGATTTTCTCCTCAGGGTCGTCAGTGGTTCGCGAGATGCCACTTTGAGGGTTTGGGACATCGAACAGGGCTCCTGCCTCCACGTCCTGGTGGGTCATTTGGCCGCTGTTCGTTGTGTACAGTACGATGGCAAGCTGATTGTGTCCGGAGCCTATGATTACATGGTCAAGATCTGGCATCCGGAGCGACAGGAGTGCCTGCACACTCTGCAGGGGCACACGAATCGCGTTTACTCGCTGCAGGTAAGCCTTGTAAACTCTTTCTGTGTGAATTTGTATTTAATTATTTATATTTCTTAACAGTTTGATGGCCTCCATGTGGTCTCGGGCTCATTGGACACCTCCATTCGCGTTTGGGACGTGGAGACGGGCAATTGCAAGCACACTTTGATGGGTCACCAGAGTTTAACCTCTGGAATGGAGCTGCGTCAAAACATTCTCGTCTCAGGCAATGCCGATTCCACTGTTAAAGTGTGGGACATCACAACCGGACAATGTCTGCAAACGCTGTCGGGTAAGTCTACTTGAAATCCTTTTTAATATTTAAAAATAAATATGTAATCCTTTTCTAATCCGATTTAGGTCCAAACAAGCATCAGTCTGCGGTCACCTGCCTGCAGTTTAATTCCCGATTTGTGGTGACCAGTTCCGATGATGGTACTGTCAAGTTGTGGGACGTTAAGACGGGCGATTTCATACGTAATCTAGTGGCCCTGGACTCGGGTGGATCCGGCGGCGTTGTGTGGCGGATTAGGTAAGTGGAGATTAGTCAAATTACCAGTGAAACTTTAATGATTTTAACTTACTTTTCAGAGCAAACGACACCAAACTCATTTGTGCCGTGGGCTCCCGCAACGGAACGGAGGAAACGAAGCTCATGGTCCTGGACTTTGATGTGGAGGGGGCATGTGTCAAGTGCTCATAGGAGTCGGTGCACGTTGTTTGGATCCAGGCGGCGGATAATGGCCAAGGACAAGGACAAGGACGGGGCAGCTAGTATACAGCTTCAAGCGAGATTTCATTGCAAACTCATCATCTAAGCACAGAGAAAACCACACACACAACAGATAGCAGATAGACAGATAGCAGCGGATGTGAAAAGTCCGCCAAACCGAAATGTTGATTGCCTTGCCAACAGAATGCAGCTGCTCACATACACCACTCACACACCATACACACTAAAAACACACAGAAAACAATTAAGAAAGGGAAAAACTGAGGAAAAGTAGGGTCGGATAGTTGGGGTGTGGCTGTTGTGGCTGTGAGTGTGTATTGTTAATAATACCTTCTTTACATTTACGTTGCTTCATAGCCAAAATTCGTTTTCCACCGTAGAATAATTTCGCTTCTTAGTTCTTATTACGTTTATATACACATCCATATGTCGAGAGTCGATTGAATTAATTCTAATAATTATGATTATGATTACGATTACGTATTATAAAAACGAAAAACCGCAGATATATCTACAGATGTTGCAGTTCCGCGTCGTGTGAAGAACATCCGAGAGAACGTTTATGAAAAACCAGAGCTTTATATTGATTAAATTGTAATTTGTTTAACTTGGAATTCGGATAAGATGTGGATGATATGTTAATTAATATTGGCCCAGCACTTGAGTTTGCCGTCTATTATGTTTACATTTGTGGTTTCGTTTCGTCCAATTTGTTTTGTTTAAATGTACTTGGAGTTACCTATATTCTATATTATCGTGTTCTGATTGTGTTTCTCCCTTTAAATTTGATTGATTTGATTTATATTTGTCATTTGTAGTAGTATATAGGGTACTTAGCTTGATTGGCTTCCAATTCCAAATTCGAAATTCCTCATTTGCCAGGAACCTGCCACAATTGCCGTATACATAGCGTTTAAGAGTCATCTGCCGAAACTCATCGAGCAGCAGCTCACCCCCAAAAATATGAAGTAAAGTAATACAATACTGCATAACAACACTGCAACACAATAACAACAACACTCACACACACGTGAAATCATTAAGCGAACATATATTTTAATTATAGACTGATTTATTAGTAATTGAAATTAATCTACAAATATGTATGTGTAATGGTACCGTATGTATTTCAATAAAATTTATCGGTTTAAGCATAAATCTGAATAAACGCAGGAATAATAATACAAATAGTTAATAACATTTGTGTGATTTATTAAATGGAACTGGGTGTTTTGGGCTATTTAATGCAATCCTTAAGAAATAAAAGTGAAAACAATATTTTATTTTAGTAAATGTGCTTTAATTTCACTTTATTTGTTCATTTTTTAACTGGAGTTTCCTCCAAAAAACAATAAAATATTCAATACTTTATGATACAACTAGTGTAAATATAAATGGACGATGCTTGGATAGTTTCCATCTAGAACTCTTTGCTAATATCCTGCGGTTATTAGCTTTTCTTTGACCAAGGAAACATTTCCATTTGCGAGGTGTTACGAATTCATTTACGGGGTAATTTATACAGATTAACCATTCTTCATTTTAATCAAACAAATCACTTCATTGCGATTCAATTCCAAAACCATAAAGGGTGTGAGTAGTAAGTAATAAACTTAAATTTAAGTTATGCAAACTAAATAACTATAAGCTAAACTGTGTAATTGACTTGAAGTATTCAATTTCCATCCTCTCTACATCTTTGACTTCTTGCTGCTGTGTCCCTCGATGCCGAGATTGCAGCGCGAGGCGACGTCCTGAGCCGAGGTGATTGTGCTGGGCACTGCACCGCCGCCGCCCAGAGCGGAAATGGTCCCATTGCTTGGTCGCTTTCGCGTGGGCGAGTGAACAGGGGATTTCTGCTTCAGGCACTCCACATCGTTGAAGACGACTTGGGCACCACCGCCGCAAGTGGGTATTACGTTACCCTTGTACAACTTCGTCTCCACATCGCCATCCGTATCCGCATCCTGTGAGACCAGGCAGTACTTGGTTGTTCCATGAGCAGTCAGCTCCTTCATGTCGGTTAGCTTCGTCACTGATTTGCGGTTCTTCAGATACGGCTGCATAATGGTGCCCAGAGGCACGGGATTGGCGGCCCGGTGCTCCAGCCACTTGTCGCCGGCGGAACGAGAGCGTCGGTGGCGATTGTTAGCCGCTGCAGCTCCCTAGGGAAAATATTAAAATAGATATTAAATCATTAAACTCATCTCATTTCTTGAAAAAGCCCGAATTAAATTCAAATAATAAATAAAAATGTATCTAATTCGACACCTTGAAAAAGCCCAAATTAAATTCAAAATCTAAATTCAAATAATAAATAAAAATGTATCTAATTCAACACCTTGAAAAAGCCCAAATTAAATTCAAAATCTAAATTCAAATAGTAAATAAAAATGTATCCCTTGCAAAAGCCCAAATTAAGCTCAAAATCTAAATTCACAATTATAAAAATAAAAATGTATCTAATTCGACACCTCAGACGAGCTGAAGGCCATAGCTGCTAGAGCTCTTTATCTTATAGTTAGCTAATAGTTTTAACTTTAAGTTTGCTTTATATAAATAAATAAATATCCCTCTTACATGACGCGGCGTGGCATAGATATCCGTTCTTGTGGCCGGCACCGAAGACTCCTCGGTGCGCGCTGTATATCCACCGCGATCCTTTTCGTTCAGTATATTCTCGGAGCTCTGGGAACGCGGCAAACTGGGCAGATCTTCGGACTGGAGAATATTCGATACCAGGCGCAACTTTTCGTCCTTGATGCGCATGCGTTCCTGCAACTTGGCACGCTGTTCGCGCAGCTTGTGCTCAAACTCTCGCTTGTTTTTGTCCGATTCCACGGCCAGCTTGGAGCTGAACTTCTTCTTTTGCTTCTCCTTCTCGTGCTCCTTCTGGGTGAGCATATTCTCCTTCTCATTGAGCTTAAAAGTCAGCTCCTCCACCTGCCTTTCGCGCTTGCTCAGCGTGTTGTTCAGCACATCGATGGAGCTCTCGTGGATGCGCACCTTCTTCTCGAGGGCAGCGCTGCGTTCGCGCTCCTGTTTGTAGACGGCTTTTAACGAAGCGAGCTCTGTGCGCAGCTGAAGATTGTCACGGTCAAGGTTCATCAGCATTTGACGGAAGTTGTCACCTAAAAGGTGAGATATAAGTATCTTATTCGAGCTTAGAACTGCACTACTTACTCTTAATTTCCAAATTGGCGCGCAGCTTCTTTCGCTTTTCTATACGTTGCTCTAAATAATGCATTAGCTCGCGGATCTTTAGCTCCGCCTCGGGACTGTCCATTTCGTAGGCGGGAAAATCGGGTCCCAAACTGTAGACCAATCCTATATCCACCTCCAAATCCTTGGCCTCCGGAATGCCCAGCTCATTTAGATTATTAACAGCAATCTTGAATAGTTTGTTGGCCTTGCGGCGACCGGGAGTTAGACCCAAATCCTGCTTCATGGGAGTGGCCCGAGCTATTTGCACCTCCTGCGTCATCTCGGCGAACTTCATCACTTGCTAAAGGGTTAGAAAAACATTAGATATTTGTATTCTTCGGGTAAAGGTAAATACCCACCATATTCTCGTCATAATCCTCAATCCTGGGGTTAATGCACACAATCATGGACACCTGCCCCTCGCCATCAAAGTAGTTTTTGAACATATGAGTGATCTTGGAGTCGCGATAGGGAATCTTCTTCGGAGCCAAGCCATTTCCCGCCGCCAACTGATTCTCCCGCAGATATTCCAGGCAAGTGCGCAGCGTCATCAGCGAGTTGTTGATGTTGCCAGCCTCTCGCAAACGCACGCCGGTGTTTTTGGTGCGCGAGGAGCGCTCACTGCCCGCCAAATCCACCAGGGACAGCTGGCTAACCGTGATATTCTGCCTGTCCTGGACGACATTCTCGCCCTGGCTGTCGGTGGGCGCCTGCACTAATCGTATGTTGAATACGGAATGACTTCTACTGGATTCAGCATTCAAAACAGTGTGTCCCATGCGCTTGCGCTTCTGGCCCATTTGGAAGACCTCGAGGGCCTCCTCCACGGTCTTAATCTCCACCTCGGTGACGCCATGGACGAACATGTGACGATTGGCATCCTCACGAATGATTTTGCTCTGCAAAGTCCTAGAAAGATAAGCATTTTAACAAGGTTTCTTTGGATTTCATGGCCTCTACCCACTTCTGTATACCCGAATCCTCGAGCAAATCGTAAACACTGTTGTTGTAAATCTCTATGTAGGTCACAAACACCGAGTACATGTTGTCCTCATCCAAACCTAGTAGAGGTGTTGGCTCCACGGAGGCCTGCGAGGCAATCTCGGGATCGGAGTCCTTGTGCCTGAAGGCAAATCGTCCGGCGCCCGCAAAACGCTGGTTCATCTCGTGCTGTCGTTCTAGGAGAGCATCCTCCTCGGACAGGATTTCGAAACCATTCAGCTTATCTGGTTTAAAGACAAACTTTTTGGCCTGGTAATCCGAGATGGTACGGAAAAGCACATCCAGGCAGCGCGGCATGATGCCCCTGTGCTTTAGATTCCCCGTCATGGTGTAGGTCTTCCCACTCCCAGTGACTCCATAGGTGAAAAGCAGACTGTTGCGACCCTTCAGAAGATTCTCCACCAGCGGCTGGGCCACCGAACCGTAGACATCCTGCTGCGTGGCCTCCGGCTGGAAGACGTGCTTGAAGATGTACTGAATCTCCCGCTGACCTCCGCCATTATGTGCGATTTTGTGGTGCTGCAGCAGCTGATCCTGCGGATTCAAAGCGATCGTTGTGGAGTTCTTCACTCGCAAGGAGGCCAAATCCGCATCGGATTGCAGGGGTCGCACGCGGCAGAACACGTTCACCGGATCCCTGGCCTTATCGGAGGTGTCTCGTCGTAGTTTCTCCGTAGTTTGTTGCAATCTCGGCGTTTTCGGAACGACGCGCATCGGCGTCCTGGGTCTGCAAATGGGTAATTTCAAAGCTAGAGACGATCTTGTCAGGCCTGTCATTGTACTCACACTGCCTTCATGTTTTCCGCTTTCTTTTGCCAGTGAATTCGATGTTTTGGCGCTGCTTTTGCTTGTTTTGGGCGCAAATCGATCTCTCTTTTGGTTCGTTACCTTCAAATTTACAGCGCCAAGCGACGCCACGCTGTGTTTTAGAGTGACCAAGAGCGCACTTTTGGTCACTCTAAGCTGGTGAAAAATACCAACTATCCATTCGATATATACTAGATGTTTATGGCTGCGTACACTATTCGTCATTTGAATAGTTACACTAGCGCAGCTGTACGAAAGTTATTCATTGTGTTAATATATATAACAGTCAGTTTTTTTACAGAAAAAATTAAATTACAAATAATAGCGAAATCCCTTAGAGCACAAATAAATGACAGAAAAACCTAATTACATAGTTTGCCTATCAAAAAAAGACCTATTCAACTGACGCACATTGTCACATTGCACAAACAGTATTTTTCCAGGGCTACTTGCACATTAAAATACCGATTCCCTGCGAATGGCAATATTTTAACGGCTTTTCAAATACCAAACAAGATCGCCTGAGGTCAATATTACTTTTTATTAAACTTAAGATTGGCGAACATTTTCCGCATGAATGCCGGTCCGTTCCAATAACCCTTCATCATTAGCTGCCAGTAGAGCACCGGCATCAGCTCCTTCTTCATAAAGAACATGGAATAACGCTCCTTGGCCTGATCAACTGGAAATGTTTCCACTGGAGTGAGATTATAGTCGAATTCAGCCAGGATGCAGGAGTTGTAGCCGGTGACAATGGGACAGGAGGAGTACCCATCGTAGATATCCGTCGGTGGCTTTCCCTCGATTGCCGCTATCAGGTTCTTAAAAACCACCGGAGACTGGGCAGCTGTAAGAGGCGAATAAATCTCATTTCGTATTCCCCAACATCATTGAATATTCCGATTAGGATTACGAGTACCCAACGGAATCCAAGTCTTACCTGCTGCCGCCGCCGTCTTTGAGTTGGGGGTGCATGCCGAATCGCCAATGGAGAACACGTTGCTGTACTTATTGTGCTGCAGCGTCATTTGGTCGACGTCCACGAATCCAGTTGGGGTCACCAGCTGCTTGCAATTGGCCACCACATCCGGAGCGGTCATCGGAGGCGTCACGTGGAGCATGGAGTACTAGGGGAAGGGGAATCGGATTTAATGGAGTCGAAGGGAGGATCATATTCAAGAAATGGGTATTATATTTCCAAGTACAACTTTGCAATTCGATTCCGATTGTAATCATTTGGTTACACTTTCTTGATTTTGAGCTAGGTCTAATGTAATACTTTCAGAAATCAACATTAGTTTTTCCAGAAGTTTTGTTTACTTCAAGTTTTCTAACCTTGTGTCTTGAATTTCTAAATGTTTACAAGTTTTTTATATATTGTGAAATTAATTTTAATTGTTTTTTATAAAAGCTATAAAATGTATCAGCTCAAAATAATCAAAATAAAAATCAAATAATCCTAAAATCATCTTTGGAATACAGTCTCTACATTTTTAGTACTTACCGTCTCTTCGTATAACTTTCCGGGATTGGCGAGGTCCTCGAAAACGGCTATATTATCACTATGTCTGACTTCCACGAGGTTCCTATTCACATTAAGAGTGATATTGCGCTTTTTAACCAGTTTCATCAAAGCATCAGCGTAATGTTTGACACCAAAAATTACGGGAAGAGATGTGCTGTAGATGATATTTACATCATTGCGGCGACCCATCTGTAAAAAAAGTAATATAATGATATTTCTTCACTATGTCTCTCTTAAATCGTATACAAACCTTCCTAAAGTAGTGATCCGATATGTAGGCTATTTTCTGTGGAGCACCTGCACACTTGATGGGGCAATGGGGAAAGGTAAAGACCACATTTCCCTTATAAGTCCTACGCAGACATTCGTACACCTGATCCACGTACTTGGGCGAATAAATGGAACACACATTGCTGCCCGGGGTCTCCAGGGCCTCCACCAGTCCAGGGATCTACGGGATAAAATATAATTATTTTAATAACCATAATAATTTCATATTTAAAACCCACCTTTTCATACTTAAGTTGCAATCCTGTGGCAATGACAAGAAAGTCGTACTTGATCGTGTTCCCACCAGAAGTGCTAACCGTATTATTATCCGGATCGAACTCCAGAGCCTTTTCCTTCACCCACTTGGCCTTTTTGGGCAGCACATCAGCCATTTGCCGGTGACTTTGGTCTAATCTCTTCATACCTCCGCCAATTAGGGTGAACATGGGTTGGTAATAGTGTTTCTAAGGAGGGGAAGTACCAGTATTATTTACCTATCATACAAGATAAGAGATATTACTTACTTCTTCTGGTTCCAGAACGATCACCTTGTTGCTGCCCAGACGGGAGGACAACTTGGCCGCCATGGCACAGCCACCGGTTCCACCGCCCACCACCAAAACTTGACATCTGTGGGGTAAAAATATTATAATTAAATATTTTTTTGTAATATCATTACTTTTTAATGACAGAATCTTCAAGGGAGGCAGGTCGCATGACCACACCCTCTGAAAACAGCTTATATGCCATCATAATCGAACCATCGAACCACATCCTAACATTTCGTTATCGCTCTTAACTAAGTATTAACTTAGAGCTTAAGTGCTAACCCCACCTAAAACATACTAATTCAATTTGTTTTGCTATGCCAGCCGGTTCGTTGAAAATTGCAAAACTTTCACAGCGAAATAAACAAACTTACTCTTGCCTCTCGTAATTCACTCGTGAGGTGGAAAGGAATCTGGTGGCGAATGCAGGTGAAGCAGGGTGATTCGAGGAGGCGAAGAGGTGCCTCTGGCACTGGTTAAAGGTCCCCGGTAGCCGACGATTCATCGTGGTAGATCAGGTGGATCGTGGATCTTCGATCTATCGAATCAGCAGGTAAAAATCGGACTGCGAATGGCAACTGCCGATGGACAACTGGCGCAGAAAAAAAGCTTTTGATGGGGGGTTATCAAACCGGCAAACACTGGCAAAAATTTAGTACTATTATAAATTTAGAAAAATACTTGAAGAATTTTGAAAAACTGCCGGTTTTTGTTCAGACGGCACTGTATATTTCCGAAAACATTTCGACCTACTTTTACGAACAACAAATCGTGTGTGCCGAAACTTGTCAATGAAATGGAACATAACAAATGATTTTAAACACAAATAAATACGTATTACAAACATTCCTTATAGAGTGAAATACATATTTTGCTAAGGGCCGGTTTCTCGAGTGCCGGCTAACATTTCTCGAACAGATAAAGTCCCTGCTAAGGCATTTTGGCTTTCTCGAGCATAAATGTGAGAGCTAACTTTGACAGGGACTCGGAGTCCCTGTTAAGCGTTTTCGACTCGATAGAATGACAGCTGATTTCCCAAAGCCAACTATGAAGAAGAAACGAAATCACAGCTGACTTTTCCTTTAAATTATACCCAAACAGCTGATAAAATAATCGAAGCATGCCATTTTTTGCGCTTCACAGCTCAATTCTGTGCGTTAACAGCACTCTGTAATTGTTTCTCGTTCAGATAAATTAAAGCAGTCGAGAAAGCGGATTTGCTTTTACGAACAGTTTATCTGGTATTTAAGTTTTTCGAACAGATAGCTATCAGGGACTTTGACAGGGACTCGAGAAACCGGCCCTAACTGTAGAAAATTTAAAAAATATGTCAGGCCTCCAGAAAATGAAATAAACATTTAATTTCGCCCATCAGCCATAAAAAGTCAAAGTGAAAACCTGTTTTTTCAGGGGTAATAAAAATAGTGTAAACGTCACAAGTTTCACTATATTTTTCAGTTGAGTGTATTAATTGTTTAACCTTGGAAGATTGCTAAAGCTTTTCAGCAGGCTTTTTTTAGTCAGCTGTTTAGCGAATAAAGCTTATAAATTAAATGTGGTACTAAATAAAATAAAGCTTTAGATTACGCGTACTAATTACTGTCTACAGTGGATCTTCGCGAAAAAGAAACCCATGAGATCATGTTTTAAAATAAAGGGTACTTAATTCTAACAAAATATCAAATATTTGCCTGCTTATCGGGGCCAAGTGATTTATTATTTGCATTTTTAAAAGGCATCTGGGTTTTTTTGAGGTATACCTCTGGGGGCAACCTTATCGAAGGGGAAGCTTTCCATAAGTTGATGAACTGGTAATTACGCAGCATAAAAAATAATAAAATAAATTCCGTTCTTTTGTTTATGTTTCCTTCAGAAAGATTTCATATCACATCGAAATAAATCCCCAGAGACCAGTAATCCCAAGTTAATTTAGAATTCAAATATTGAAAAAGTGACAATATTTTCACATTTGCTTTGATTACTTCTCTCTGCCTTATCAAGGAATTCCTATATTATGTGAACATTAAGTGGTCAATTAATAGATTGTACAAGTCTAATCGGAATCTGAAGGTCGCCTTTAAATTTTATTGATAAACCGCAGCGGTCATCCACTTGTATAAGTATATAAAATTCAAATTCATTTAATACTTGGCCGGAAATTTATTGAATTAAATATTATTTAAACAGAGTCCCAGCTAAAAAGTATAAAGGTCTTTTTGTAATATTCAAAATCGTTTAAATTTGAATTTTGTAAACTTATTTTTTACGTTTTTTGCTTCCAAAATATATTTCAGTGTTTTAATAAAATTTATACTTTCTTCGTGTTTTTTTGCTGTAGCTTGGTCAAAAATTGTCACAGATCAAAAGCAAGAACTGTTTTGTGCAGCTGGCAAACTAATAAAATGATGTTCTTTACTTTCCGGATAATTTGGAAAAAATATTATTTTTCCAATTTTTGCATTTTCTACAAGGGGTTACGTCATAATTTTTTGCGAAAAATTGACTAAAATTAAAACTTTTAGGTTTAAATGCCAATGAATGGGAAATTTTATTACGAATTCAACGAGGTATGACATTCCAGATTTGGACTATCAAATCCTTTGTTTCGGTCAAAATACTTATATTTTTAGCTGAAAAATAAGGATTTCGGTTTTTGGAATAAAAACGAATTTTTATACAACGTAATTAGGTGTGGGGTTTTTTATTATTATGTTATGTTATGCGTAATTTTCACGGTTTTTCCCCACTCGCGTAGAGAGATAGTCTTCTTCGACGAGCATTAAAGTCATGAAACTTTAAACGGTCTTGCATCATGAAAATATTTTTAAAATTTCCCAACTTAAAGCAGTGCGCATTTGTCTACTATATGTATGTTTCATTTCCAGGGAATTTCCATGGCCCACGATCTAATATATAACTTCCATTAAGTAGGTAATTAAATTATTCATTTATTTATTCTTATTATTCTTATTCAGATTTCCGATAAAAATATTTAAAAAATTTTCTCCCCACACAATCGAATTAGGGGGCTTTCCGATGAACTCGTCAATTAATGAATATAATTTCCCCTCGCGTATGTGTCACATATCCAGGGATTTTCCATGGCCCCACAGACAGACGGATAGACGGACGTGCGCATCGATGCTAATAAATATAGTAAATGTTGGATGATTAAGTGAACAATGTTGCCAATAAACGGCGGACATGTCAAACGCCACGAGACGACAACTGTGACAGCGGCGGGTTTAATTACGCCATGCTGACGACTGATTGCAGATGGATGTGGGATATGGATGGATGGTGGGGGGATATATTCGAGGTGGGCGGGACTGGGGGGCGGGTCCTGGCAAGGACCTAGCGTGGGCCCGACCCGCCATGAGGTGCCCATCATCAATTGGAGACAAGCTGGCAATTCAAATGAAGCCCTATTGACTGATGGCCAAATTGGCTGCGCGACTGCGTGGGCGACTATCTATCTGTTTCTATATATATAGAAATATATGGAAATCAATGGGTGGTTTGGGTGGTTGGGTGTCTTGTGGTTCGGGGGGTGGCGTACTTTCAGCCACTTTAAATTCTGTTGTTGCTAGGTGACCATTACCATTACCATTTCCTTTTCCCACCAGGCCATCATCATGTTGTTCCCTATCGGAATAATGACCAAAACTGGTGGTCACCATGCTGACTTGACTTTCCCCAATGGTCTGTTGTCGGTTGGTTGCCTGTGATTGCGTGAGCTCCACTTCATTTGAATATAACGGTGGCAGGCCACTTGGAGCACGTAGGCCCACACGGAGAAAAATGCCAAGGAATATGGCTGCGATAATATCTTTGCAATTTTTAAAACATTTCTTTATCTATAAGATAGATATCGTTTACGTGATATTTGGTAATTGATTTCTTTAAAATTACTTCTCTTTTTAAAACGTTAACTATAATCCTTGTCATAAATTTTAAGAAAGATATTGGGGTGATAATTATTTTGATAATTTGAGACCTATATTTGTATCAGCCTTTAAGATAGAAGTATTTTACGTGATAATTATAATTATTTTTATTGATCCTATTTAAACTTAGTAAACATCCTTCTTATAAACTGAAAGTTCTGTATTTTATTAATTGAAAAAAGATTGTTTATATAATAATAATATTAAGTTGTATTATAAACTCTTAAAATATATTATAGAAATTTATTGTATGTTCTTAGAAATATGTCATTTGCTGTCACAGATAAGAAGGTATTATCAAAAACTTATATATAGTAGACTATTTAAATTTAATTAAAATATTTGTATACCTTGGAAATATCACCACCTAGTGACGAATCGCACGGAACCGATAGAGATAAGTGCGATTAGCCAAATAAAATACATATTTATGACTCATAATTTTTCACAGTGCTTCTTAAGATATTATTCATACTTTTGGGTATTGTCTAAATTAAGAGTGGGTGTATAATAACCTAATTAGGGAGGTAGCCAATAAATCTCTAATTGGGTGCATTATATCTGTGTTGTTTCTTAATACCTGAAGAGTATTATTTGTCTAGATAAGAGTTAAGAGGGATTACCAATTTTGGCAGTGTCAATTTTTCTCCGTGCCCAGACTCCTAGACTCCGAAGTGCAATTCAATTGACGCCACACCAACCAAAATCAATTGCAGCAGCAGCCGTCTGTGGCGGGATCTTTATGCAATTGTTCTGGGGGCTCTGGAATGCAAATAGTGCAGAATTGATGTGCTCCCCTCCTTTCTGGAGGCAGCAGGTCTGCCCAGACTATATATCCATATCTTTAGCTATATATCCAAACCAAAGACATCCGCTTTCTAGAGTGATTGACTGTCTGACTGACCGGAAAGCAGATGGAACTAATTCGCGGCGAGCCGAATTAAAACCGCAACCTGCACAAATCCGGAATTATCAGCCTAAGGTCGGCTATAAGAATAAATGTTGGTGGGAAACCTCTTAATTGCCTGACATCTATTGATCCTTGCAAGAGACCCCCGCCATATGGTAATATCTGTGTGGGATATACTGTAAAAAAAACCGTACTGCAAGCAAACCATATGCATTTGGGGCACGCTTTGCATTTCCAGTACGATCCGATACGATCCAATCTTCTGCGAAATGTTAATGAGAAAAATGTGATTTAAAATAATAAATTTGCATGAAATTTTCATCGGTTCGGTTGAAGTCAATCAATCAGCAAGGCAAGGAGAGCAACAAGTAACAGAGGCAAAAAAAAAGGCAGCCCAAAACCCAACCCCCTGTGAGCCACCCCCTAAAAAAAAGCACGAGCAACGCAACGAACACAGATACATTTGCAAACCGAGATACGAAGATACAGATACTGTATCTGTATATTGTGCTTTTTGTATCTGTAGAGAGTGCCGACGCCATAACGGTTATTAAAGCCCCTGTAGAGTCCAATTTGCTGGCTCGTCCGTTTGTCCATTCGACGATTTGTCCGTTTGTCCGTTCGTCGTCCGTTCGTCCCGCTTCGCCCACTTGTTGATTTTTGGTTCGGTTCGGGTGGGCATGCCCCTTCAGATGCCTTTCGCCATCGCCATGCCAGATATAAAAGCATGGACGCTCAATCTTCCGCCGCACAGTCCATCACTCGCCACATCTCGAGCAGAACGGAGCTCCACCGAGAACCCGAGTATATATAGAGCTGTACAGCTGTATCTGCATCTTGAGTAGTGAAATCGAAAACCCCCACCCCCCGAAAACGTATTCTATATCCACCGGAAACTGCAAGGAAAGTTCTAGAACTCTAGTGAAAAGTGCCAAACGAAGCTTTGAAGTGAAAGTCATCTAAGTCATCTGAAAATATGCAGGTAGGATTACAAGTCAGTAACTAAATAAATATACTAACTTTAAGCATATGGAGAAATATCGGAAGCATTAACCTTATATTAACTAAGGTTAATGCATCGTTTTTGTGGGAATAAATTTTTGAAGCTTTGCAAAATTAAATAATTTATTAACGCTAATTAAAAAAAAATTTTTTTATAATTAAGTTTTTTTTTTTTTTTAAATTATATCACTATTAAATAAAATTCCTTAAAAAAATCCACTAAGCCCACCTTATAATAAATATAAAGGGAAAACCTGCCTCAATAATATAAATTTCAGCCTAGAAACAACCATTTCACAGAAAAGATAGCCCACTTAATTGGGGTTCGGGTTCGATACGAAGGCAACTCATAAAAAAACCCGTACAGCAGCTTCCTCCGATTGACTCATCATCGTCAGACAGTCGAAAGGTTTCTCGACTTTGAGCTTTTTTATGTGCAAATTGCCATCTATTATACATTTGTACCAGTTTCTGATCTCGTGCCATCAATTCATAACTTTTCGCGATGAGAGTGCCAAAAAGTGAGTTGCCTTGATTCATGTGACGTGGGTTCCGAGGGGCAAAAGTTAAACAATTTAATTGAAATATTTCAACTTCGTGAATTAGCACACTCGTGATTTTTAATTGTACAACAAAAATGATTCGTTATCGCCCTAGGCAACAGGCAAATAATAAAGTAATTCTTAATAATATAGCACTCGAGCTAGAACTTTTGTAGATTCTTCTCGGGAGAAGAAAAGTCGCCAGTGGGTCTGTAGATCCCCCGTGATATCAGATCTGTTGTTGTTTATCTTCGGCGAAGAGTCGCAAAAGCCGGGCAATAATGATAAGTGCATCGTATGCTTTCATCCGCCGAAAAACGAGGCATCCAAAGTAAACAAAGTCCTCGACGATCGGCGATCGAGCGTGAGAAGAATGCGAATTGTCAAACAGAACTTAAGCAAAACATTGTGAATTCTTCGCCTGTTTTTGTTTTTCAATCTCCTTAGCCGGAATACATGTCACCGAGAACTGTGCGAATTTTTGCAGTTTGATCTAGATTCTAGATTCTGCTTATCGACGACGGCTGGCAATTTTAACCCTCTGATAATATTTACTTCTTGTATCAATCTATGAAAAATGTTAGTCATCATTACATTTAATTGAGAAATGCATTCTAGAATATGTTTCATTCATAGAATGATGAAATGCTGACTGCGTGTTTATATGATTTTATTTATTTGACTAGGTTTGTTTCGAGAAACTTACTTACTTTTGCTTAGCACTTAATAACATGTTATTTTTTCCGTTGTTATTGCAAGTTATTACATAAATTTCAGATGTCACTATTGTAGTGCATGAAATTTTCTAGAAAAACAAAAACGTAAGGGTTAGTTCCAGATCTCAAAGATATCTTTTAAGGAACAGTAAAGCAACTATTAATTGTATTTAATGTTTATGTAAATTTTAATTGGTTCATGTAAGAATCAAATTATTTATAAATAATTCTGTTGAAAAAATTTAGCTTTGAAACGCAAATTTTATATATTTTGTTTGATTTCTTTAAAAACATTGGGATTACAAGATCTTAAAAATCGAACTTACCAAACTGTTTATGATTTCAAATATCAAAATATTTTTATTAGTTTTTCCTAGATGTTCTAGTTATTTCTGCTCAAATGAGGAGTAATTTGCAAATTTTACAGATATTGGAGATATGCTTCCACCTTGAAAGTTGCAGTTTGAGTTTGCAGAAATCTAATCTAATATAACCTTGGATGGCCAAGGGTTAATCCGATCTGCATTTGGCCAATTGCTGAGTCAGTTTCTTGAGTTAGGCAAAAAGTGCTATGCATTTAGTGTCGCGTCAGCTCGAGACCTCCGTGATTGGTTTTTAGTTTTCAGTTTTGAGTTTTCCCTGAGTTTTGAGTTCCAAGTGGAGCGGTGGCTACGTGAGCCGTCGAACATCTCCATATTCACATCCACATTCACATCCACCTTTAAAAGCACTTTTAAAATCCCCTCTTAACCAGAATTGGTTACATGTTTTATTTTTCTCTTTACTTTTTTTTTGAGCCTGACGTTGAGCTGGTCACGCAGGCACTAAAACCCCTTTTACCCCTTCTACCCCCACCCTGAAACCACTATCGTTCGATTCTGAATCGAAATCAATTCACAAGCAATTAATAATCAGATCGCTTTTGTAATAAATTGCAATTTTATTAAATGCAAAAAAAAATGAATAAGCAAAAAAATCATTGCCTTCGATTTTTTCGCAATGAAATTAGTTTGTGGGGGGAGGGGGTGGAGAGGGGGCGCGGAGGGGGAGGGTCAGGGCAGAGAGTCGCGAGTTCAAATGCGTCACAATCGCAATTTTATTCGCAATATTCCCATTTTTGCATGTGAATGGCGATCGATAAGAGAGTGGGCGAAAAAGAGGAGGCTGAAGAGCGAAGAGAGTGTCGAGTGTGGCGGTAAGAGCATGGAAAGAGAATACTTTGCTCTTTTGCTGCCGTCGAAGGCGTGTGTTTGTGTGCGAGAGACGAGCCCCCAACTGATGCTGTGTGTTTATCCACTCGCACACACGCACACACAGTGGGGCACTCAATTATGCTCCACACTAATGAATGGCTGGAATATCAATTGCACACATATATCACATACACTCGTACAATCAGCATGTGAAGACAATTAGGAGGAATCTTTAATTGGCGGCCCCGTCCTCGATGATACAAGCCCCCCACTGCCACGCCCCCTCTCTTCTGCCTCTGCCCCTGCATACATACATACGAATATCTGTGTGTGTGGCCAACGAGCCCCCTTTTATACGCATACATACATACATGTTTTTCGCTTTCATAATTGTTTTTCAAGCTCTATTGAACTTGGGGCGTTGATGATGACGACGATAACAACGCTCAAGTTGAAAATAACATCGCCCCACACGTCATCAGACGTCATCTGACTACCCAATCCAAAAAACGGGGGATGCTACTCGATCTTGGGGGTCTTTAGCATATCTGTACGTATGCTAGTAAACTAGAAATATTCTAAAGAAGTTCTTAAAAGCTTTGGTATATGATATCCTATCAAAAAAGAACGGATCTTGAGAGTATCTGAGGAATTTAAACATATTCGTTTAATGTAAGGATTGTGAGTATCCATAACATCTTTGGGGTTAATAACTTGGTAAGAACCAGATTTTAGTCATATTATTATACATTAACTTTCCTCACTCAAATTAACTTTAACTTTAAATAAATTAAATGACGCCAACAGTAATTCATAACTTTTTGTATCAATAAAGCAAATTGGCTTAGCTTTCACTATTATATTTTTCATTTCCTGGTAAAACTCTACGTACACCCCAAATATGCAGACGTTAGTAATAAATTGGTAAATAAATGGTAAATGCGCAACAAATAAGTGGTTAACACCTGCCTATCAATTTCCGTAGGAATTATTAAGAATTTGTTTCGATCAAGATTTGGATTCGAGGAACTCACATTCTCGGAGACTTCCGAGTCATATTTAATCTTCGAGGTATTGAATTTTAGATACTTTACTTTGCTTTAAGGGTATCCCCTCTTCGGTTAGCAAAAGTTAACCTCGTTTTCGTGTTTTCTGTTATTGTTTTCTTTTGCCAATTCATTATAATGGAATGATTACAATTAGAACGAAACATGGAGAAGATAAGAAATGTCTATTGGGGGCGCAAAGAGTTAAAAACGTGGGGGGCTGGACTGGAAGATTGGGCACATATAGCACGTTCTACTACTCATACCTCTAATATCGGAAGCGCAGTCATTGGACTTTTGTAGTGATAGCTGTAGTGACTGTACGAGAAAGTTTAAGTTATCTTTATTCATTAAGATTCATTCAATAAAACAAAGAAAGAGAACTGCAACATTTAAAATCAAAAAGAAAAATTCTTTAAAAGAGTTAAGTTCCTTATTGTAATTGTAAGATATTCTATTTATTATCAAGAAAATGGTGTAAAGTACGAAATGTACAAATTTTCCTTAAAAACTCTTTGAGAAAAATTGCTTTTCGTAACGCCCAAACATCAAAAAAAGCCAAGTCACAGTTATAAAGCATGTAAAACATGTTACATTCCAAATATCTAGTCAAATGCAGAATTTCGACATGTAGGCAATGCTAATTCCCCGCCAGTTCGATGCTCTTTTGTGTGACCCAACCCATTTAGTTTTCGAATATATTAATTTACCGCCACTGGCCGATGACTCATCGGGTCTCTCTCACGTACACACTCGGGTCTCAGGGTTATGCTCTAAAACTCGGGTTTACCTTTTAGGCTGCACTGAAGAGCGGCACCCAGACATCGGTAGTTACGGTTCATGGGTGGGGGTAAGAAAAGTAGGGGCAGGGGTCGGATCGGCTTAAATGGCTGATGCAATCGGAACGCAAATTGGGCGAGAGCCGGAGTCTCTCTTTTGCCTTTCGTGTTGCACAACATACAGAAGGTATAGCTATCGTCTGGTAACCGGAGAACCCAAAACACGAGGCCCAAAAAGAGACACCCGAAAGAGGCATTTAAGGAATTCCAGAGGGTCTCGGTCTCGTATTACCTCCGTGCTCGAATAAATCTAAATCGCTGCCGGTTAATTGATATATTATAATTACAATCACAATTACCGAATGCTGATTTGTAAGCCATGAATATGCGATGAGGAAGTCCGCTTCCCATTTCGATTCCGTCACCTTCGCCTGATAAGCTTCAGTTTTTAACATTTTTTTCAGTTTCCAGAGTCCCACAGCAGCTACATATGTATTAACAGCCCCCCAACCACCAACCACCGACCGCCAAGCAATTAGTGATAATTGCATTTCATTCGGATTTGTCGTAAAAATTTTCCACATTTTACACAAAAAGAGAAGAAACTTGATATGTGGTTTCAAAAATTTTCCATTCCATTTGTTCGGTTATGCTCCGTTCAGTACATTACATTACACACATTGCCTTTTGGGATTGCGGTTGTG